ATTCAGCCTCCACGACGAAACATACCCAAACGGGTTGAAGCTGATCAATTTCGCCGGCGACGAAATATGTTTGTCTGTAATGCGTTGTGTTGATGCGGCTGCTGTTGTCAGCAAACTTAGGCCAATAGGACCATTGTGATACCGCTGAGGCTCCTGCCTTCACCTTCTCGACGATCGAACCATTTCGTGTGCCTTATAAAAGCAACGAGATTTCCAATATTCGCTGAGGCTATCTCATCGAGACAATCGAAGAAATATTTCCCAAGAAATTTGTATCGCGCTGATGTCAAGGCTGTACGGTGGCAGAGGTAGTGCTCAGTGGTCTACTCCTATTCTTCATCCCTGCAGGTGCGGCAGAAATCATTAGAAGATTAGATTATTATTATTAGATTATTATTAGATTAGATATCCCATTCTTTTCCCGGGAAGCCACATTAAACAGTGCTCAGTTATTATGCCTGTCGTTATGCTAACGGAGAACCGGTCTAGAAGGATAAGATGTTTGTTGTATGTGCTACTGTACTGTATACTAAGTTTCAGCGCAAGAAAACTCACCAAGCTACTTGGCTGTCTCCAGATCGATAAACACAAAACATGTTATGATAGACGGAAGACATGTCTCCAGTATTCTTGACTTCCGTACACTGCGAGGACCCAGCATCGTCCCGGACCACTATCTTGTTACAGTGAATATACGCACCCGCCTTTGTTGCGCAAAGAACGCCTGCCAACAAACACATGGAAGGATCGAGGTTTAAAAGCTGCAATCACAACAGACAGCCGAATGGTTTTCTACTTGACTTGCACTCCCGCTCCCGGAGAGCACTTTCCCGCAACTCGATATAAGGGAGCTGTTGAATGACATCTCAAACTCCCTATTGGTTTTCGGCAGTGCCAGAGAGTAGTTGGTACGATGAGAAATGGCGAACTGGAGAGAAAACTACCTCACAACTTTACGATCGACCACAACACGTATGGGGTGGGATAGATACTCAGAGCTAAGAAAAGACACGGCGACTAACAGAATGTTTGAGGAACGGGGCAAACTCTTGCATGGCACAAAGAGGTGATCTGATAAATGATGACCAAGTAAATTGAATTTATGGAGGGAACACTGCCTCCTGGCAGTGAAAATGAAACATCGCCGGAGATGGTGAACCGGAAACCCCAAGCGATGACGATGGATAAGACGTTTCATTACCTACTGACTGTGAAGAACTTAGAATAGCAGTCGTCCGCTTGAGGACGGAGGTCTGATGCTTCCCGAGCATCATTAAAATATAAAGTGAAAGAACAAAGTCGTCAGATGCCGACGGCTTACACGCTGAGCTATTTAAACATGGCGTTGAAGAGCTTACAAGGTGCTTTAATTTAGAATGGAACATAAGTGTGCTCGGCCCAATTCACAAAAAGAGCGCATCCACAGTCTGCGCCAAATCCCGTGGCATAAGCCCCCTTCATATCGCATAAAAGATCCCACCGAGCTTATTGTGTGGTTTGATCTTATCAGAGTGGCTTTAGAACTGGTTAGGCAACCATTGACCATATATTCTCTATGCGCCAAATCTTGGAAAAGACCCGTGAAAAGAGAAATGACACACACCACCTCTTCGTCGCTTTTTAAAGCAGCCTTAGATAGCACAAGAATCTGCCTGTACGCAGCTATGTCTGAATTCGGTTTCCCCACACAAAACTTATACGGCTGTGTAAACTGAACTTGAGCAACACTAAAAGCTTCGTCAGGACCGGGAAGGACCTCTTCGATCCGTTTGATACCAAACGAGGCTTCAGACAAGGTGATTTCTTAACATGTAACTTCTTAATTTTTTTGCTGAAAAAAGTAATAAGAGCTGCAGAGCTTAATATAGAAGGTACAATCTTCTACAAGAGTGTACAGCTGCTGGCGTACGCCGATGATATTAATATTATTGGCCTCAACAATCGCACCGTGAGTTCTGCTTTCTCCAGACTGGATAAAGGGTCGAAGAACATGGGTTTAGCAGTGAACGAGGACAAGACGAAATATCTCCTGTCATCAAACAAACAGTCGTTGCATTCGCGACTCTGCTGTCACGACACTGTTGACAGTCATAACTTTGAAGTTGTAGATAGTTTCGTCTATCTAGGACCCAGCATTAACACCAATAATAACCTCAGCCTTGAAATCCAGCGCAGAACCACTCTTGCCAACAGGTGCTACTTTGGACCGAGTAGGCAATTGAAAAGTAAAATGCTCTCTCGACGAACGAAAACCAAACTCTACAAGTCGCTCATCAAACCCGTCCTACTAAATGGCGTAGAAGCGTGGACTGGCAGTCTTCACACGATTTATGGTCCTTTGCGCATTGGCAACGGCGAATACCACACACGATGGAACGATGAGCTGTACGAGCTATACGATGATATTGACATAGTTCAGCGAGTAAAGAGACAGCGGCTACGCTGACTAGGTCTGTCCTTCGAATGGATGAAAGCACTACAGCTTTAAAAAGTACTCGATGCAGTACCCGCCGGGTGAAGGCCTCCACTCCGTTGGAAAGGCCAGGTAGATAAGGACCTGGCTGTACTTACTATTTCCAATTGGCGCCAAACAACAAAAATAAAGGAATGTTGTTAACTCAATTAAGCGAAAGAAGTAGATATATTATGAAAAAAGTAAGGAAAACTAATTCCAGCATTAATTCATGTACGAGTACAGTCAGTGTTTTTCTAGAACTGAAATTTTGGTTATTTATATGCTTTCGAAAACAACAAAAAATCTCTTTCAAACCCCTTTTGTTAATTAAAACAATTATTTTTATATATTTTGTTAAACAATGAGTTATGCTTTATTATTAAATAATTAATTAAATTTTTGCTTTATATATACATATGGACTTTATTAAGATAACTGTTTTATTTATTTCGTTATGGTAGATTTTTTTAAATGCATTTACCGAATATATAAATAGAATAGTAAATGACAATATACTCGTTTGTACACATACACACACATGTTAATACATAAAAAAGTAAGGCACTCTATAATTAAATAAAAATTATGTATATATTTAAATTAAAATTAAATGTAATTATTAATATTAGTAGTGGGATGTTTATCCTAAAATAGCTGCACTATACAAATTTTCGTTGTTTCATTTTATTTACAGATATTGAAAGCAGTGCTTAAAATTAGATCTTAGTTGAAAATTTACTAAAAAAAAATATTATATTTTACTTTTTCTGAAAATAGTTTTTTTCTCATTTCGTTTAACAAATAAGTGTGAAAAAAGAAATTTCCACCTTAACATATCGTTATATATATTATTTAAATTTAAAAAAAAAGATTGGTTTCAAATTTTGTTTTAGATTTTCAATTAATGAATTTTCATTTAAAGTCAATTAACTTTTCTTTTTTTAATTCCAATAAATACTTATAAATAAAAAGAAACACTTTGCTAATTACTTCCGTAATCTCAATATGACATTACAAATTCTATGTATGTGTATGCTTAATAGTGTAAGTTTACATATCTATGTACAAGCCGAAAGATGTTATTATATTACTCCCTACTGTAAAATAATCTCCAATGACGTAGTAGTTAAAATTAAAGAAAGTTTAATAGAAAAAATTAAAAAAAGACCTGAAAGACCTCTGAATTTAAAATATAATTCAAAAAAATTAAATAAACTAAAAAAAAATTTTTAAAAAATTAAACAATTCAAAAAAAATTAAAAAAAAAAGATTAAAAAATATAATTTAAAAATTTAAAAAAAAATCTCAAATTAAAAAAATATATAAAAGGATAAAAAAATTACTAACAACTAAAAAAAAGCTATTAAGAAATTTAAAGCAAAAAACATTGAAATATTTTAAAAAGAAAGTATTAAAAAATTAAAAAAAAAATTATTAAAAAATTTAAAAAAAAAATTATTAAAAAATTAAAAAAAAATTATTAAAATCTAAAAAAAAATTAAAAAATATTAAAAATAATAAAAAAAAAATTTAAGAGAATAAAAAAAATAATTTGAACTAATTTAAAAAAATGATTAATATACATAATTAAAATTAAAAAAAAAATTGGGAAAAAAAATTCATACATAAAAGAATACAAAAATTATTAAAAAGCTAAAAAAATTATTAAGAAACTAAAAATAATTATTGCAAAATTTATAAAAGAAAGTATTAAAAAAATTACTAAAAAAATTTAAAAAAAAAATTTAAAACACATTAAAAAAAAATATAAAAATAATTAAATAAACAAATTAAACAAAAATTATTAACAATAAAAAAAAATTTAAAAGAATAGAAAAAAATAATTTGAACTAATTTAAAAAAATGTAATCATTAAATATTGAAAAAAAAATTGGAAAATAAATATATACATAAAAGAATACAAAAATTATAAAAAAAACTAAAAACTAAAAATAATTATTGCAAAATTTATAAAGAAAATATTAAAAAAATTACTAAAAAAATTAAAAAACAAACATTAAAAAAATTAAAAAATTATTTAAAAAAAAAAACAAAAAAAATAAGTAAAAAAATAAAAAAAGGAAAAATCAAAAAATTAAAAAAGGAAAAAATAAAAAAGGAAAAAAAAAATTATTAAAAAACTAAAAAAAATACTAAAAATAACAAAAATTGAAAAATTAAAAAAATATATTCACAAAAAAGATTAAAAAAAATTATCAAAAAATTTAAAAAAATAATATATAAAAAAAATTTATTTAATATACATTTTAGCAGCGCTTCCCAGACCAAAGTTACATAAACAATTATCGCTATGTGTCAATTTGTGTATGATTTAATTTTTTTTTTTTTTTGTAAATAAAAACTACTTTTGAAAAAAATAGCACATTTTTAATATAAATATTGCGTTAACTGTCAACAATAGCATTGAAAAAAGAATAAAGCTACATACACATACAAACATATACATATATGTATGCATTATTAATTAATATTATTTACATTAATATCTCTAGTATTTACAATGTTTTTTATTTTTATTTTTTTCTTAGTAAAATCTAGTTAAAACTGAATAGCGTAAGGGCATAAGTATAAATTAACTTTAATTAATTTAAACTAATCGTAATATAAGGCTTTGCTTAATAAAGGCACTTGACAGACTTTATGTTTGTATATGTATTCAGAGACATATATTTCGTAGCTACACTTCGTATTCGCACAGTGAATTTGTGTTTTCGAATACGTCTATCGAGGTAGAAACTGCTAATAAACATAATATTGATTATTTTCATACACGTTTTTTCTCTGTTAATTAAAGCTATAATAAATATTTACTAATACCGATGTGATTTAGTTGTAGTAAATTGTGACTGTTTTGGCCAACCGTTGTGATTATTATTATATTATATTTATGTATATATATATATGTACTTTTTTTTTTTTTGGTGTACTTGATACTTTAGTTTACATTTTAAGCTTTTTTCCCTTGGCCAACAAACAAATTAATTGCCTTTTCATGCTCTTACTTTACATTAAAGGACACTTTTGTGTAGGAAACCCTCAAAGCAGAAGAGTAGTCGTATTATCCAAAAGCACAGACTCACTATGGAAATCTTAATTGCACACAGATTGGAACATTTCTGTTTATACTTTGCTGTTCCCTTAAACGTGACATATGTAGCCTTTCACCATTCATGTTTGACAACTATTTGGTTGTACATAACCGTCAGTTGCGCCAAACGGACATTTAATGGTGAACGGTTTTTCGACCATATTCTGTGGCAAGTCATTAGGACGTACATAACCATTACTCATTATAGTTGGATTAAATACGCTCGCCACATTCGTCGACTCTTTCGGTTGCGCTGACAAATCAGCTGTGGGTGTGTTCATAATCACATAGCCCGTTTCAGGTACGGTGTGTAGAAATTGTGTATTTGCTATGGTCATTGGGTCCTGTACACAATAATCTGTCGGACTATCGATGCTTGGGCAATAAGTACTTTTCGAACCAATAGTCCAAGAACGATCACTACCGTCATATGAATATTCAGTATCATTCGAAATACTTGGCAGCAAACGACCGTATTCGCTGGAATTTTTTTGTTTTGTTTCGTCGCTATGCTCGGCCGCTGTATGTTCAAGCGTTCTTAGTATTTTATCATCATTTCTCTTAACTAAATCTTCGAACGTGTCGGGTATTTTGCAATTGATAGATGCCATTTGGTGGCAACGCCTATAGATGAAGAGACCGCCAATAACTAGCCCTGCAGTGCCCATGATAATACAAAAAATTATCAACCATAATTTGCCATCAGCTTTAACCATTGCAATACATATAGAATTGAATACATTCACTTCAACGGAGCGATATTCTATACTCTGTTTGTTTGCTCCGTTCATTGCATCTTTATATAGTTGAGGTGTCGCTGCTTCCATACAACCCAAATCCTCATTTTCGCCATTAATGTAATTATCATAGCGTTGACTATTATTGTAGTGATGAAAGAGTTTTTCATCTGTTTCATTTGCATATGCAATATTAACACTACGTACACTTATCGTATACTTAATATTCGTATTATCGCAATTTGGCTTTCTAATCGTGCATTGCATGCCATTTGCTATGCGCGAAATATATCGACTTTGTATAGTGTCTTGTAATTTAGTTTCTACAATTACTTCATAGTAATCAACGCGTCCCGAAGGCACCTCAGGTTTTCGCCAACGTATGGCAATGTCATCCGCATCATCCACCTTTACTTGTGTGGGGCTTGTGGGCACTGCAAATAGATTTTTTGTTTTTGTTTAGATAGATAAATATTCACACATGGAATTAATTAATAGCAAAATAAACATACCTCCCACGAACGTTTTGACATTCACACAATTACTGGGTAATGACTCTGCAACTGTATAGGCTTTTATGCAAATTATATATCTAGTAAAGCTGCTCAAATTCGTCAAGGTATAGGATAAATGCTCAATATTAAAATGGTGTTCACTGTGACTCAAATTAAAACAATTCGGACCAATGGTATTATTGCACTTTAGAATATTATTTTCACGGTTATAGCTGTAATATAGGTTAAATGAAAGTCATAAGTCCATGAATATATATGAATATATGTATGATGTATGTATAAACACTCACGTTATGATATAATATCGTATTTTACCATTCGCCTTCTCCGGCGCCAGCCATGCCAGTGACACTGACTGGCTTGTTACCTCGGCGTAGGTAAGATTTCGTGGCGGTGCGGAAGCTGAAAAATTTAGTAAAGGAAAATATTGTTAATTTCACTAAAAACTTTTGTATTTTTATTTTTAAATTTTAACATCTAATTATTTTATCTTTTTTATATCTAATTTTCTATAATTCTTAAATTTTCTTCCAATTTATTTTTATTTTTTATAGCATTTTTTATTTTTATGTTTTTATGCATTTTATATTATATATTATACGCCCTTTTATTTTTAATGATTTCCATTTTAAGTCTTTTAATATATTTCTTTCATTATATTTTTATTAAGCAAATTTGCTTGTTATATTTGTATTGTTAGTAGTTACTTTTAAAATATTTTTTTGTTTCTTTTTTGAATTTTTTATATTTGTTTATATGTATTTTTTATATTTTTTCAATATTGTTTTAGAAGACTTATATGTTTTATATGTGTCTATATGTATTTTTTATGTGTTTATTTTTTACTTATATTTTTTTCATTATATTTATTGATACTTTACCTTTTTCCCCTTTTTTGATTTCAGTACATTTTTAAATAAACTTTTATATGTCTTTGATTTATTGTTTCTATTTTTTATTTTTACTTTTTTACTTTTTAATTTTTTATTTTTCCTTAATTTTTTTTTACTTTTTTATTTTTTTTTACTTTTTTATTTTAACTTTTTCTTATATTCACTTTTTTTATTTTTACATTCTTTACTTTTTTTTACTTTTTTTACTTTTTTTATTTTTACTTTTTTTTATTTTTACTTTTTTATTTTTACTTTTTTTATTTGTACTTCTTTAATTTTTACTTTTTTATTTTTACTTTTTTATGTTAACTTTTTTATTTTAACTTTTTTATTTTTACTTCTTTATTTTTACTTTTTTTATTTTTGCCTTCTTTATTTTTGCTTTTTTATTTTTGCTTTATTTATTTTTGCTTTTTTTACTTTTTTTATTTTTACTTTTTTATTTACTACATTTTTTATTTGTTCCTTTCTCTTTTGTTATGTGTTTTATTTTTAATTATTTTAATTTTAAATTTATTTACCTTTGCTTTGTGTTATAGTTTTTTTTAATATTAAATTTTACTTTTTTAATTGATTAATTTTTTTTATTTGACTAAATTTTTATTTTTTTTTAATTTAACTAAATTGTAATTTAGTTCTTTTATTTAACTTTTCCGCTTTACTTCATAATTTTTTTAATTTGTATCCCATTGTTTAACTTTAATCAAGTTTTTTCAAATTTAACTTTTGTTAGTTTTTTTCATTATTTTTCTTAATTTAATTTAATTTCTTCTTTTAATTTAATTTCATTCTTTTCCTTAAAATAATGCAAATAAATTATTTTTTATATTTTTTTATTTTGCAATTATATTCTTTTTTTTCATAATTTTTTTCTTTTCTTCATTTTTTCAGTTCATTTCATTTATTTTTTTAATTTCGGTATTAATTTTTATTATTCTCCTATTTTTTTATTATCTTTTACATTTTTAATTTTCGTCTTATCATTTTTTACTTTCGTCTTATCATTTTTTTATTTTCTTTTTATTATTTTCTTTTTATTTTTTTATCAACTTTTCATTATGTTTTTATTATTTTTTAATTTGTTTATTACCTTTTTATCATTTTTTTACATATTTTTATTAGTTTTTAATTTGTCTATTATCTTTTTACTATTTATATTGATTATTATTATTACTTTATAATTATCTTTTATTTATTTTTATATTTTATTATTTTAATTTTTTTTAGTTTTATATTTTATTATTTTTATTTTTTATTAGTTTTATTTTTTATTATTTTTTATCATTGTCTTTTCATTATTTTTTATCATTTATACTTTTAATTTTTATTTATATTTAATAATTTATTTTTTTGTTAATTTTTTTATTTTTATTTATTTTTTCTTTTTTGTATTGTTTTTAATTTATTTGATATTTTTTATAATACTTTTGGAATAGTAAATAATTTTATTACATACATACATATTCATATCTTTTATTTTTTATCTCTATATTTTTACATGTCTTTATTTTATTCTTTTAGATTTTAACTTTTTTTTATATAAATTAACTATATATTACTTTGTTTATAATTTTTAAATATTATATTTATTTAATTATTATTTTCATTTTTTCTGGTATTTTTAAGCCTTTGCATTATTTTTTTATTCCACCATCCTTACTATTTACTTATTTCAGTTTTAGTTTATTTAATTCAATTTATTATATTTTAATTGACTTTTTATTTATTACTTTTTTATTTACTACTTTTTTATTTATTACTTTTTTATTTATTACTTGTTTTGTATTTTATTATTTTTTAATCTATTTAATTAATTAACTTATATTGTTTTATTTACTTTTATTATTTTGCCAACTTTCCTTTTTTTATTTGTTTACATTTAATTTCATTTTATTTTATTTATTTTCGCTACGATTAATTTTAAGTGCAACTTTTAAGTAAAAATAAGTTAAAAATAAAACCATACATACCCGCCTCTTGCGTTGACATTACTAGTACATCACTTAGCGGACCCTTCTTTTCATCAGAATACATAAACATTTGCATTTTATATACACTATTTGGCTCTAAGTTAGTAATCTCATATTTGTTATCTCTTTTATCGACATTAAGGTGAACAATTTTATCTATACACTTTAGATTCGTTGTGAATTTCGTTCGGCAATATTCGATTTTATAACCTTTGATAAGCGAAGCACAAACACGTTCCGAACTCCAGCGTACAGTCATAGAGTAAGCCTTCTTATCGACGATTTCCGGTTCTAGTTTCTCCAAATCATTTGATACATCTGCTGTACATTTTGCCCAATGCATACCAGTGTAAAAGTTAGGATAGTTGGCGGCTACAGCAAGTACTACCGATTGATTTTGTTGTATTGTAAAATTGCGCGCATTCTTATCTAGATGCGTAAAGTCGATAATGTTCTGTAAAGCAAATAAATTATTTACACATACAAACAGAGTTCAATCAAATTTATTGTATGTAAATAAAAATGTATTGGTGTTGATTTAGAGCCCTATTCTGAACTCAGAATGAAGTATATAGAAAAGTAATGGATAGTTGGGTGAATGACATTTCGGTGAGATTTTGAGGTGGGTAATATGGAAATTTCAACGTTTTTTAAGTTTTTACTCCACGACATTTGGTTGTTATTGAGACACTGCGGGGTAGAGGTTCAAGAAATTTCACGCGATAAGGCGATAAAAATCCTTTCTACCGGAGCGATCCTCATTTTCATCCGCCCAAGTACTTTCAGGAATATTTTTGCGGCTTCAACAATAACAACACCAACATTGAAATCCAGTTTATTGTGGGAAATCTAGTTTTAGCTTTTGTACTGCTAATAAATTACTTTTATTTTGAATATAAACCATACATACGTAACATTCATTGGATGCGACGCTTTTAGGTTGACACCAAAACACCGTATAATTTTCCAGATACTTCGCATCCTGTGGCGCATTCCAGAACAGTGTATAATTGCGATCCAAGGCGTGATAGACATTTCGTATGCCAAGTGGTGTATGACTATCATAATTTTTCGGCAATGCTGGCACATAAACACGGCTATTAAGTAAAGAGACACCCATTTCATTACTGCTCCAGATGCTGAACTCACAACTGTATGTACCATCACAGGAGAAAGCTGCAGTAGACACTTCTGTATGTATAGCAGAACGATTTCTGAAACGAAAATTGAATACTCTCTTAGATAAAATGTTGGCAAACTTAAATAGTCTCTATACAAAGTAGTATACTTACATCGCTACACCATTCTGCTGCATATGCTTAACAATATAATGAAAATTGGAACCATTTCGATGATACTCTGCCACTGGATGCCAAAATAAGCGCAGATGCGTACCATTCAAGTAAAAACTGCTCATATCAACTGTGGGCGGCACCTCAGGCGCTTTGGGTAGTGTGCGAAAGGCAATCGTGTAGGGATCACTCCAAGTTGCCTTTCCCCTTCTCATTTTAATACGTAAACTTACATTATATTCATAGTAGGCGTAGGGTAAATCATCGATATACAGATTAAAGACTGCATGATTATTGCATTTTTTGCATATATGTACTTTTAAATTTTCATAATGTGGTGATTGTATATGCACTTCCATTTGCAAACCGTTTCTTTTATACGGATAATAATGTAACATTTCCCATTTTAGTGCGCAACTGTTCGTTGTGATTTCACTGACTTGATAGTTGGTAATGGCGGGTTTAACTGGGAAGAGAAAGAAGAAATATATTTTAGAACCAATAATATTTCACTTGGAATCAATTCAAATGCATATATGTATTAAAATTTACATACAATTTTTTTTTTTAATACAAATTAGCGATGCATTCACTTCATACTCACCAATTTCTTTATGATTTATAGTAAAACTCTGATTGAGTGAGCCCAAAGAATTATTGCTGGTCAAACGAAAGTTGTAAAACTCAAAATCGCGTTTGTAGCTGCCATCTTCCAATGTAAAATTACATGTAGCCCTATCGCCTTCTCTCACCAACTTTATGCAATTAAGTATATAATTCTGTGAATATATTGTGCGATTATCAGCCGTTCTCGCCTTATAATAGTCATATATTTATTTTATTTTTTTAATATTGTTATTGTAACCATTTTTTTTATTTATACCATGCGATTTAGTTTAAATGTATGTTGTTGTTGTTGTACAGTTTAAATGTATATTTACATGTCGTGCAGGTGCAATATTTTTTATTTGTTGATAGTAGTGACGTTATGTATGTGCACGTGTGTAAATGTATGTTAAAGAGTGGTAGTTGCAGTAGTGGTGTTAGCGGTGCCAATCGTTTAAAGTTAGTAACAAAATTTGATGTTAAGAAAACAACACATGCAAAATCAAAATAAAACAAAAAATATAATTATTATAAAAAAAACGCTGTTTTTCTTTAATATAAAGGATAAAAATTATATTATGTGTGTGATTTGAGGAAATATTCCAGCCAAATGCAAAAAAAAACTATCTATAATACCTAAAATTTATTTCGTAAATAACTAATGTGGTTCGTAAATAGTTTAATAATGTGTTTAGAATTAAATTAAAATTATTTAAATTTTAATCACCTTCAATATACATACTAAAAACTATTTAAACCGTTACGATATGTGAGTATACATGCATTTTATACTTGTGGAGTATTAATGTAAGTATGTTATTATATGTACATATATTTGTATATTTGTGATTATTTAAAATTATTTAAAAATTAGTAACTTGCGAATACCTTTTATATAAAATAAAAAAATTCGTAGCTACATATTTATATATATATATGCAAACATATACAAATTTGAATAAAAAATTGTAGACTATAGTATCAGAAACAACATTTACCATGTCATCGTCCGAACTTATTCGATACTTTAAGAGTTAGTACTTATTAGAACAAAAATATGTCAATATTTGTATGTGTAAATAAACATAAAAACAAAATAGAGAATGGCATGCGATTCTTGTCAAACACAACAAGTTATAAACATAATAAATATTTAAAATAAAAAAAATATTTTTTTTTGTAAAAATGTATGTATGCTAAACAAAAAGTATTATATATGTACACATATTAAAGTCAATTATTTGTTGCATAAAATTGTATTTAAATCTTACCGCATTTTCTGCTACATATTTTAAATTATACGTAGTTGGAACTGTATTTTTGGGTATCGTGAATGAACAAATCATATAAGTGTAATCAAATGCTTGACAACTGAAGTCCTCTACCTTAGTGGGTTTAGTACCTAAATAAATAAAAAAAAATAAAAAAACAATAAAAAATGTACTTACATCTTTGGCATGCCATACTGCTATATGATTCAATGAAATCATATTAATTACATATTAACTCACCCACAATGACGTCCGTAGTGGCAATTGCATATTGACCACTTTTACACGTGTAAATTGTGTACTGCTCAGTCGCATTTTTAAGGGTATACGCAATCGTAGTTTCATTAATGATCTGTGATGAAGAAACAGTTAAGTAAGTACGCACATATATGCATGTATGTACATGTGTTTACCTTAACATTTGTGTGCACAGCCTGATGATTTGAATCATCTGTCGTAAAATACAATGATGAACTATTCTCACCATCAAACATTTTCAAATTCATGCGGCATGTAATGTTTGCACTGTCTCCGATCTGAAGCACAATGCGTGGACTAGTTTCTGAAAATATATGCAAATATTTAAATGTTCAAAATTTGTAATCTTAATGATAGGATATTTTACATATTTATTATTATTTATAAAAAACAAAAAGAGGTCTCTATATGTAAGTATTTTGTGTAACAAATTATTTTGGCGATTGCACTTACCACCTGGCGATTGTGCATACACTTTTAAGATCATCCATTGCGTTAATATGCAGTACAGAATAGCGAATAGGCAACATTTCATGCTGAAAAGAAATCATGTAATGTTATTGCGGTGTAAAAAAAAATATTTTCATAAATTTATAGGGTTGAAGAAAACTTAACGCACTTTTGTGTGCATATCTTTTAAACAAAGAATTATTTTCCATGAAAATGATTGAAATTCCCTGTGGCGGCGCCATAAAATAAAAATTTTAAAATTGTAAAAGTAATGTTATCTAAAAAATGTACATTTGTATGTACCTACATACATATGTATGCATATAAAATAACGTTATCTAGTTTTGCGCATTTCGAAAGATGTTGACTTCCTAAAAGACAACAAAAATCTCGCACATACGTACATATAATTATTGTGCAAATATTTTTCCAACCATCTTTTTATATTGCACACGAATAATTTGATGTTTAGGTACAAGGTTGCTTAACGCAAGCAAATGAAGAATTTGCTGTAATTCTGCGAAAATAAAACCTAAATATAAATAATTAATTATAAGAATAAATCTATCAGATAAAACAAATTTTAAAAAATGCAGCACATATTAGAAATATAAACACTACATATACTACATACATATGTAAATATTTGTACATATATACTTATGTGCTTATATGGTATTTTAAATGATAAAAATAAACAATTCCACGAATTTAAAGACATCAAGGCGATTTCTTATAATCCATTGTATTATACGTGTGTATTTATTGCCAGCTTTTTTTGGCATGTTCCAATCTACATATTTCATTTGAATTCATAACAAAACGTTTTAAAATTGGAAATGTGTAAAAACTAGTTTAATACTGACGTATTATTTTTTCTAAACACCTTTTTAGCATATCTTTGTAAACACAGGTAGAAAGATATCTGCATACATTTGCACATATATTTATGCATATATAATTGGTCGCTTGTTTTTCTCTTCAAATTATTTTTCTCATTTGTATCACACAACACTACACTAGCTACCAATGCCTTCACAGATATGTTTGTATGTATGTATGTATAAGCTAACTAAATATCTATAAATTTTACGGCGCCCCTCTAAATTACCAAACACATTGTACTCACTTCATTGCTTTGCGTATTTCCTGTGATAGATAATAGTATTCTTCGAATTATAAATTGATAAAGGTATGTAGGTATTTGGAACTTCGATCCTTCAATGAATAGATTTTATTTTGCTTTATATTTGTATTTAAAAAGCAGCCATTGAAAAATCATATATTCAAGTGTTTGACACGCACAAATATATCACCAACATTATGGCCAAGTAGCAGCACTCGCGCTGGTATACGCCGATTTATTTTACTTCGCACTCCTTATTTCTTTTGCCTTTCATTTAGGCAATTAGTAAATTGCATTATAACAATTCAAATAAATAAATTAAACGTCAAGGCACAATGGAATATACCTATATATGAATCGTGATTTGTTTTAATAAATACACAAAAATATGTCGTCACACCAAGAAGCCACTCCGAAATTTCGTGTTGACGATGGTCTTGTGAATACTCCCGTTTGATAAAAATCGTTTTATTTATGCTTGCGCGGTTTGTGACCTCGACCAAATTACTTGTTGTGATAAAATAAAATTTATCGATAATTACCGATTTGTAAAACACTTGGATATCTCCATTGTGAATGGCAAATACAAAATAATGCGCCGACGATTGAAAAATTGGCGGCGTGGTATTGAATAACAATCTTGCGCTGTAATTGGAATCATAAATAGATACAAACAATAGTTCTGACGTTGAGTCCAATGCTTTTGATTGCAGGAGGATTTCTGTTCAAATGAATTAAATCCACTGCCATCTTTCGAACTACAGTATGAGAACAAGTATTTCCAAATTTGAGCTCTCAGTTTTGCGTCTTCATGTTTTTCCAGCAAATGGAAGGACCTACATTTTATACTAAGCCGCATCCGAACAGCTTACGGATTTTTTATGAGGAGCTTTATTTAATATCAGTAATACACCGAGGGGTGACCGTAATTAGAAAATTTAGCTTCATTTGTTGTTTTTTATTTCTTAAATCAATTTTCTATAACTTTTGGATATTGGTCGCACGGGAATTTGAGCCCGAGCCTTCCAAATGGCAGTACGCTATGCTAGTTACTCGACTACCGCGGCCGCCGATGAACATATACAATAATTAATATTCTGCGCCAATGCTTTCTCCTTATCACTTTAGAATGTGCGCTTGATGATGATCATCCTAGCGAATGTTATAGCATAACTGCTAGAAAATTCATCCGCAACTGTCCCACGATATTTCAGTTTTTTAATCTATTCCTTAAGTTTCTTTTTATCCCGTTGTAGCTCATCTATTTTTGTTTAGTTCCCTTGCTCCAGTAAAAGCGAGCGGGCTTCGCAAATCGCTCGCGGCTGTCTACATCAACTGAGTCCACTTCAAAATTCTCCGGAAAAAACATTGAGTCTACATCTAAGAGTTGGGCTACTCTATTAAATTCTATAAGAGTATCATCAGCACCCCCCATTTGTCTACCGCCATTGGATCTCTCGTGAAATTGAATGTTAATGGTATGTGGATTAAGCTCGTTGCCTTCACCTTCTCAAATGATCGAAGCATTTCGTGTAACTTATATAGCCAACGAAATTTTTATTTTTTCGCTAAGGCTATTTTATCGAAACAGTCGAAGAAATGTTTTCCAATGAGCTTTCGTCGCGTAGGTGTCAAGCCTGATCAGTATCGGAGACAGTCCTCTTCTTCGTGCCTACAACTTCGGCAATAATCATTACGAGTGATAGCTTATTCTTTTCCTATGAAGCTCCATTAAACAATGGTTTGCGTTCAAACCTCGGCCATAGCTGTCTGGTTACTTTGCATGTGTTTATGAGTTTGATTCCCTGGCAAAGGCCAGCTTAAGCATGTATTTTGCATGATTGCGAAGAGTACCACTTGGAAGACGCTGTGTTGGTCAGATAGTCTCATGATCATGTTTATTGAGAGCATGAGAGAATAAATTCCACAGCCCACTTTTGCATCAAGCTTCGACCAGTCTATGGGTCCCTGATGGTGGGTGTTGGTGGTTTCCCACTCATATCTGTTTGGGATTCTCGTGGAGAAAAAATTGTCGAAGCACATGCTGGAGGTGCGTTACAACCCGCTTGTGATTTTCCGTGTAGATCCAGAGGAAGGAATTGGAAAACCCCAACCGATTTTTCAGATATGGAGTAAAAACAGGGCTTTCTAGTAAGAGATGCCATTCAGACATTAAAAAAAATTGTATTTTTGAAATAAATGATCGAACGTTTATTTCAGTGTAAAAAGGATGAGATGTCATTAATAATGGAAAGCATTATCAGCCAAATGGCTGCCACAGTCACGCTTACAATACCGTATCTTTTCCATGCTCTCAATAGCTTTACGAATTCCATCAGGACCTCAAGAATCGTCATTGGTCTGGTGGCGTAGATCTCACATCTTTCATGTGGCCCCAAAGGAAGAAGTTGTCAATTGCGATCACGACTTCGAAAGACAAAGCGGTCCGAAAAATTTTCCGTTAAAATATCGATGGTTTCGTTTCTTGTGTGGCACGTAGCGTGATCTTATTAAAAGTAAACGTTATTCAGTTCAATATCATCCAATTCCGGTATCATCTCTTTATAGCGCAATCTATTCTTCGTAAATGTTGTTCCGGCCTTAGCTTCGACAAGTAATATCCAAAGATCCAGCCGGACCATAAATCGAACTAAAAAGAATGAAGATGCTAATCAACAATAAATCTCCGAACCCTAATTGGGACTGTTTTGCTTATTGGCCTAGTCATCGAGGCGGAAATGGGCCTCATTAGTCAAATATAATTTTTCGATGAAATTCTGCATCATCATCCAATCAATGTTTTCCAACAGGTTTTCACCTTTTTTGTAGTGAATTTTAATAATTCCAAAGCGTTGTTGAATCGCGTATCGTTCCATTTTCACTTGTTAAATGTCAAAAATTACAACTTCAAAAGTTATATCTACCGGAATAGTAGGTTATTCAAAATAACAGCTCCTATTGGAAACCCCTTTATTTAGTCACAAAATGCAATACCTAAAATTTGTTATGCTCATGTAAGGTATAAAGACTTCGGCATGGCTGAATACAGCTTTTCTTTCTTTTTTTTTTAATTTAAGAACACTCTAACGGCCATTCATACTTACGTTCATATATCAAGTGATTCCATTTAAAGCCTGTATCATAAATATGAAATAAGAGTAAATAAATATGCATCTTAATATACAAATGTAGATTTGGCTTTAAGCTTACTTAAGTAAATACACACGGCATTATATTCTAAAATATATATCCATATACCGTGTGCCACTTTTGGCGCAACAACATAGTAATTATGGTCCAAAAAGCTCCAAACGTAAAAATATCTCTAGACAATCAACACGTACGCTGATAAAATTAATTTTCCCCTTAATTCACAGCCCCACTGCGTTGATCGCTACTGGTAAATCATTGAAAATGTATCGATTTACCCTTTCTTATCGATTTCACTATATGTTGAAATTGCAAGACATAAGCCGTTGGTTTAGTTATTTACATTCAGTAGTTATGTTGAAATTGCAAGACATAAGCCGTTGGTTTAGTTATTTACATTCAGTACATTTTAATTTTAACATTTTCTTCTTAACTTCCATGACAACAATTTATTAGACATTTACGAGATTCGCAAGCAAATATGTAATGTCTGCATACTGTATTGCGCAAATAATTATATTTTCACTTTAATCGCACTCTCTTTTATGGAAATGTTTTTAAACAAATAAATTCTACAATTTACATCTGAAATAAATTTAATTTTAAGTACTTCAAAGCTTTGAAAATCTTGCGATTATCTGCACACATATGTACATATGTATATATATACCATGTTAGAAAACTTTTACTTCAAATAATCAGTCACATTTCGAAACTCATATACTAAGTATCATCCGTAAGCAAGCCCTTAGCCAAAAAAAAAAAATTATGCACACATACAATACATACAGGTAATAGAGATATTTAAATAAAGCAGAAAAAGCTTTTTCAATGGCATTTGTGAACGGTTAACGATGGGGTTGCATTTAATTCCACGGGCGTAAATTCAAATCTGTGGCGGTTCCTCTAAAGTGAATTTGTAGTGATAAAGCAAAATCAGCAAGCAAGTGAAGATCAATAATTTTGAAAACGGCTGATTTCTTGCTGAACGGAAAAAAATGTCGCACGATATGAAAGAGAAAACAGTAGTTATAGATGAGGCGCTGGAAAGGACGGGTGAGAGAATTTGGAAAAAATAAACCTAATGAAAAAATCTATAAAAATTGTTTGTGCATGCATACATACATACATATGCAAATGAAAACACGTCTTCTTTTGGTGAAACGAGCATATCAAGTACAACCCGGTCATGCTCTACCTGATCTTTCCAAGAGAGTGTGTAGTGTATCCATCCCGACCACATGATCTAGCTGACTTTGTCGCTGTCTCTTGAATGGCTGAACTACATATGTCAATGTCGCCGTATATCTTGTACAGCTCATGTTGTTGTTGTTGTTGTTGTTGTTGTAATCGCGAAAATATTCCCCAAAGTACTTTTTGGGGAATGTTGCGGGAGTGATAGTCCTTGGCCGGTTAAAAATCCGGGTCGTTGCGGTATAAACACCCGACTGTCGCGGGTACTATTGGATTTTAATCGCCTCTTATGACAGGCATGCCTTACAGCGAGTAAATTCTTGAACCCCTAACGCGTAGGGAACCATAAATCTTACGCAAAACTTCTCTCTTGAAAAAAAACTCCTAATGCCGACTAATCAGATGTTGTCATCGGCCATGCCTTCGCACCATATAACAGGCCGTTAATGATGCAGTATGGTCGAGATTTAATTTTCATTTGCCTACTCAGTCCAAAGTAGCAGCTGTTCGCAAGAGTTATACCGTGTTGAATTTCAAAGGCCGATATTGTTGCTGGCATAAATTATGACTACCAACAGTGACGTGGGAGCCGAGTTGTGAAACTTTGTTTGATATCAGGAGATATTTCGTCTCCTATCCAGTCTGAAAAAAGCAGAGCTCACGGCGATGATAGGGCTAATAATGAAGATATCTTTGGCGCACGCCATACACTGTACACTCTCATAGAAGATTGTACCTTTTCTGTTACGCTCTGCAGCTTGTATTATTTTCTACAGCAAAGTATTTAAGAAGTCACATGATAAGGAAATACCTTGTCTGAAACCTCGTTTGATATCGAAACAGCGTCAGTTTAGATAACCGTATTAAATTTGCGGCGATAACAAATTCAGACATAGCGGCGAAGGCGGCTTTAAAATCGACGAAGAGGTAGTGGATCCGCTTTTCACAGGTATTTTTTAAGATTTGGCGCATAACGAATATCTGGTCAATGGTTGATTTACCAGGTCTAAAGCCAAGATGATAAGATCCAATCAGTTAGCTGACGGTAGGCTTTAGTCTTTCACATAAAACGCTGGAGAGTACCTTATATGTGATATTAAGGAGACTTATCCCGCAGTAATTGGCGCAGACTGTGAGGTCCTCTTTTACTCACCAGTAATTCAACTTTCAATGTTAGACTTATGGTTATCAAGGCCACAAGCTTTAAAATTTGCGGTTTAATTTACTTTGGTTTGCCATTTCAGGGTCTATGAATGATATTCCACCTCCGTTGGCTGGTCATCGAGTTTTTGGTGTTAAGAACTCTGGAAAGAAACAGATTTGTATCCTTGCTCCGTCATTGTTTCGAGTACAATCTGTCTATGATAGACGAAGTACTGTGTGGAAAAAATATTTCTTTAAAATTCAGGAGACAGTATATTTCCACGTCACTTGGAAAAAAAAACTTGCACTTAAACTTACATGATCTCACGCTAGTCCTAACTAGTACAAAGCGCCATTTATATATATACATATATGTATATAAATACAGTTATGCACTTGGAGTCGAAGTATTCTTTTTTTTCGAAGGTATAAACCAATAAAAAATGCCCAAAAAAATAATTTTTAAAAGAGTCACATTGGTTGAGCCCCTTAACTAAGGCATATACATACATACATTTAAGTTGAAATAATTCCGACTTTTCTTTCTTCTACAGGTTTTGGGAAATTTAATATTTTCATCATTATATTTTCCGGATTTGTACTCAATAACGTCGTACTCGAGTCTGTTGGTGTTAGTTTTGCCCTACCGGTCCTAGAATGTGATTTACATTTAACGCACAAGGAGCAGGGCATAATAGGTGCTGTATCCTTTGCCGGTGTTATTGCGAGTTCACACTTCTGGGGATTTCTAGCCGACACTACAGGCCGAAAACGCATAATGCAACCGGCATTAATTTTGGGATTTATCGTTACTGTCTTCTCTAGTTTATCGCCCAATTTTATAACGTTCGCTATTTTGCGATTTTTAAACGGGATATTGTAAGTATGGTAAATGTATTTGAATAAAACATAAAAAAAAGTCCAAGCAAAAACAGTTTAGTCCCTTTCTTATTTAATTTTCATATATATATGTTGAATATATATTCAACATCTTTCTTAACAGGCTTTCTGCTGGTTCCGCCACAATTTTCGCCTACCTCGGAGAGTTTCATTGTCAAAAGCATCGTAATCGCGCCATACTCTGTGGCGCTTTAATAAGTGCAATAGTCTCAATTTTTTTCCCCATCATCGCTTGGGTTTTCATCAACCAAAATTGGGAATTTCATGTGCCATTCATCAATATTGTTTTCAAACCATGGCGTTCCTACTTCCTTGCTTGTGGTCTGCCAGGATTTCTTTGCGGTATTACACTATTTTTCCTGCCAGAGAGTCCAAAATTTTTACTATCTGCTGGTAAGCCAGAAGAAGCTATTGAGGTGTTAAAACGTATGCACCGAATAAATCTTATGAACAAGGAACCGCAAACGGAGTTTATGGTAAAAATAAAATAATAATAAATAATGTTCAAATTTTACAATACAATTATATATATTCCACTTTTGATTTTTCGCAGATTACATCCCTGCTGCCCGACGCTGATACGCCAATGTCAAAGATGAAAGGCGTAGGAAAGGATACAAATCTTCTTGTATACATTATGCAATCAATGTGGCATCAAACTGCACCACTGTTTAAGCGCGAGCACATTAGGAAAACATTTTTGTCTAGTCTCATATTGTACATAATATTTTTTAGCGCCCATGGCGTATACATGTGGTTCCCGTACATTCTGAATAATGCAATGCTGTACACAGAAAAATATGAAGAACCGAAACGCCTTTGTGATATCATTAAATTTGTACAATCGGGAAATCTGACGATTGTTGAGGATGACAATGTAAGTTCAATTATTTCACGATACATCACGAAAAAATATTAATTTCATTGTTACTGCAGGCTGAAGTTTGCTCCATGCACTTGGAAATTTCCACATATCTACATACGATATTTCTGGAAGTAATTTATGTATCTCTGCTGTTAATCATAATGTATGTTATTGGTAAACTCGGACGGAAGCCAATGCTCTGTAAGTCATAATAATTTATCTAATTAAGTTTTAATTTATTTTCATTTGCATTTATACCAATTGTAGTTGTTATCCTATTCGTATGTGGAGCATGCGGCATTCTAGCATTTTCTATTCAAGTGCCGCTGTTAGCAATTTATCTGTTTGTCATTGAACTTTGCTGTGGCTTGGGCATCACCGTGGTCAATGCAATAGTTGTGGAAATTTTCCCAACAAATTTAAGGTAAATGGCCAAAAATACTTACATATTAATATTCACCTCTCCTTTATTACTCGTTCATGAACAACCGAGGACTCAGACAAATAGCAAGTGTCGAAATTTATCTAACTTACTAAAATAATATAGCATTTCCACGGCACCCAATGTTGTTCACTTTGTCAATCGTAATTCGCACTCCAAAAACAAATCAAATTACCTAATAAGTAAAACAAATCCCTAAGAGCGAATTACGCCAAAAGTGGATAATTCATTCTCAATTAACATGCGAATTACGATCAAATCGTTGTCTTCACTAATTTCCATCGGAAATTTATCGAAATCAGCTGACAAAAAAAAAAAGAATTTTAAACCAAAAACTATTTCTGTATTGAAAATGAAAAAAAAAACAGTCATTATTAGGAGGATTTTAAGCTGGTTGAAATTATAAGCAAAGGAAGATAGTATAATTTTGATTGAATGTGTGGATTTAATGGATTTTTTCTCTGCCGGATTCCACATGCTGGCATTTACATCATCAATTCAATTCAATCTTTAATAATGAAACAAAACAAATTAAACTAGCGAAACAGAGAACTATCAAAGTGTGTGTGGAGTAATTCGTGTGGTAGTTGAGTGGATTACTAATGTAGTTCATCATGCTGTGAAAAAAACCGGAAAAGTTTCCTTTAAAAGTGTTCTCGAATGCAAACACCTTATGAACGGAAAGTGGTTATTTTGCAATTTTTGCGCTAGCAAACAACAAATCGTGTACCAGATTTCATATATTCAAACAAATATTTTTTCAACTAAATTCAAGTACACGGAGATCACTATTATAATTTAAAATTGGCTCCCAATTTAAGAAGATTTTGCTTTTTTTTGGTTCTATTGCTATTTACTTACATTGGAGCATAAAATCGATAAATTATGAATACGCAGTAAAGTTGTTGCCAGACTTTTCGTGAATTCATACTTGCGGAGCTAAAATTTCGTTTTCATTGTACAAAAAAGAATATATTATGATTATAACAAGAAAATGTTCAAATTGTAGCTAATATCGTGAATTTTTATTGTAATAAGAAGTTTTTTTTATAGTGCTTGATTGATTTATTCAAAAAAATATATTTTTATCAAATTTTTTTTCTCCTTTCAGGGCAATGGCCGTTTGTATATCTCTTATGATCGGACGTATTGGCAGCGTCACTGGATCCAATATTTTGGGTGTTCTCATCGAAACACATTGCGAGCTGGCACTTTATGGTCCATCAGTGGCGCTTATTGTTGCTGGCGCTTTAGGTTTTCTTCTCCCTAAAGCAAACAATGTAATAAAACCTAAAGATCAAGACAATACTCCATAATGTACAAGAAGCAAATATAAAGTATTCATAATATTTAACAAGCAAAGGAAATTTCCTCTTTTCAAAAAAAAATGGTTTCGCAAACAAAAAATTTTTAATTAAAAGATAACTTTAAATTTTATTTTTTTTTTAAATAAAGTATATAATTTATTTATTACAATATCTTCTTTTGAAAGTGTTAAAAAATGCTCTCAATTATTTTCACGCATATTAGCGATGTGTCAAACATATCTACAAATGAGTAGACGTTCACGGAAAAAAACTTGATTAAAATAAATAAAAAAAAACAACGCAAAATTAGAATATTCCGGTGCCAAATTTTCTACAATACTTTTCGGTAATTTTAACAACTTATAAAGGAACGAAATCGATTTGATGCCATTATATTGAGTAATACTTCGATTCAAACCAAGGCGAATTTATAAAGGAGAGAGCAGTAGAACAAAAATAACAATAGCCATCCTTACAGATGGCCCAAAGCCCGATGGAAAAGTGGGTTGCGGAATTTATTCTCCGATGCTCTTATTAAATATGAGCTCGAGGCTACCAAACAATTTTAATAAAGTCTCAACTAAATGTAATACTGCTGTGGTATGGTACCTGGACACAAGGACATCCCAGGCAATTAAATGGCGGACGAACTAACGCAAAAAATAACCCTTCTAATGGATTTGGGCTAAATACGTCTCGATGATTTCCGAAATCCTTTGATAATCGTATTGCTAAATAAATAATAAAGAACTTAATCATGATCAATAACTAACAATTTACTTTAATACACGACTCATTTTACAATTCAAACATTTTACAAACTATTGTATAAAACTCTCTATTAACACTCACTTCATTCCACTATATACTGCACTTCAGCAGCACGCACTTCATTCTTATATGTATGTATATGTATGTAACTACAGATTGCTTACATGTATCTTCTAGAAAATTCTGTTTGAATATTCGATAACGAACATTTTCACTTTGTGATTGCCTCACTTTCACTTTGACAAGAAAAAATTGGGAGAAAAACAATAAGTTTCTAGAGCATTTACTCAAAGCCAAACATACATACATATATGTATAAAAAATCTTAAATAAAGCCCTACAAACCAACTACGTTAAGTATTTAATATATTTATTAACCCTTAACTACTTATATCTATATTACCCCGTTACAAATTTTCATTTAATCAGAAATATAATATTTTTTTATAATTTGTTTTTGCGGCCATGCTATATATTGCAATATTAATTTTATTAAGTAAACTACGAGACCTTGTTGTTTGTATGAATTGAATATTTGTTATACAACAAAGAAAAATGGTAAAAGTGACAGCTGTTTCGGAGATCACCACATCTCCTCATCAGACTTCTTATGGCCATATTACTTAATAAAATTATTATAATATTTTTTGCTTTAGCTCCCTTCAGCCATTGGATATCCTTTTTTGGTATAAAGCCATTCGATGTTGTTCCATAAATTCCATGGCATTGCAGTGTGTTACAAAAACAGATTGTTATCAGAATCATAATTGAAACCGACAAAATTCTGTTAAAAGTGTTACACATTCCGATTATTGCTTTGAATATCGGTTTCATTATCGAAATTGTGTCGATTTTAGGTGTTACAGAAACCGATTTATCGGTTTAAATGTCAGAATTAAACCGATCAGTTATTCGTTAATAGTGTGCAAATTTCTTTGCATGATGTAAAAATGGGAGCGTTTTCCATTGTCGTTCGTTCCTAAAATTATCCAGGTGGACAATTTAAATTTTCATAAGCCTTTAGCATTTCTGTTGTAACCATAGAGACTGTAGGTCACGCTAAGGAGACATTTGCGTGCCACAGACTATTAATAGGAACCAATTATAGTGGACTTTGTTTTATTCTCAGAAAAATAAGTGGCAAAAAAAGTGAATCTAAAATGTCTCAGCGGAAAATAATTTTATCTTTACATAAGCAGGCAAATTGCTGAAATAATTGACAGAAGCCGCTACACCATAAGAAGCATTGTGAAACGATATGAGGAGGCTTCATCTTAACAAAACGCAATACGTACAGGCAGGCCCAAGGCTTTAAATGACCGCAAACGCTGTAAGAACGGTAAAAAAAACCCAATATTATCCACACAAATCGCAGCGGAAGATAAGGAAAACTTTAGAAAGTATATACATCCGATAACGTTCCAGAGAGCATTGCACGAGGCTAACTTTTATTCTCGTGCAGCTAGACGCAAACCCCTAATTTCAAAAGTGAACCAAAAGAAACATTTAGTTTAAGGTAAGGAGTATCTAAGCAAACCAATTGACTTTTGTGGCAATGTACTATTCTCGTATGAAAGTAAATTCAATATCTTTCAATCTGTAGGCCGTCAAACTGTGTGGCGAAAACCTAACATTGAACTTCAAAAAGAGAACCTCTCTGCGACTATAATCATGGTGGTAAAGGAGTCATTGTATGGGGTCCGCTGCAAGTGTGGGCGAGCTGGAATTCATTGACGGCGTTATGGACAAAAAAATACTATTAGGAAATTCTTAAAGGGAATGTCAAAAAAAGTATTAAAAAGTATGAAAATAAAGGAGAAGGAGCACACTGATATTAGCTAAACTGGCATTTAATCATTCGCATTAACCCTCTGCGGTAATTTTCGAATACCAAATCTAAAAAATGAATCTTCCTTTTCCTCGATCCAATCATTAAACTTTCTTCAATGACTTCAACAAACCAGAACCGATGAGCACCCATATCGGTCTCCATCCTACGAAAAAACCTTTAACCAGAAGTAGCGGGGTGTGCAGCATGCGGCGGGTGGGGCAAGAGCGTTGTCCTGTTGACCAATTACCTTGCTATGCCTTTTGTTCGTTTCTGACACACAGTAAGTACACTAATCAAAAGCATAGGTTATAGTGGATAACTTTCAAATCAAATATTTTACTTTCTTGATCCAGTAAAGCCTCCAATTCCTCATCTTCAAACTTTTTTAACTGGTTGAGCCTTCTTTTAATAAAGGGCGGTATTAATTTGTACCTCCACGACTTTATTAGTTTTATAATAAATATGTCAACTTGCTAATCTTTTTTGTTTTATTTTTCTCGTGTCAATACACGTGTTTAGGCTTACTTACCCGCGAACTATCCAAAAGCAACTAACAACAATTCATTGCACAATTTCTTTTTGCCTACAAAATTTTATCAATAATTTACGCTTGTTATTGTTTATATAATATAAAAATAACTATGTTTTTTGTTAAATAAGATAAAAAGTTGTTTAGGTGAATTGTAATGGGTTTTCCAATAAGGGTTGTTATTTTGATATTCAAAGAAATTTTTCCCTTAAAAGATCGATGGTTTGATTGCTTGTGTGCCAGGTAGCGCCGTCGTGTTAAAAGTAAACGTTGTCCAGATCAATACCATCCAATGCCGGTCATAAAAAATTATTGATCATCTCTCGATAGCACAATCCGTTCACCGTTCAACTGTCGCTTCAGCCTCATTTTCGAAAAAGTAAGGTCCAATAATCCCGCCGGACCATAGGCTGCACCAAACAGTTACAGCTACCCGTTGAGAATGGAGCGGCTTTTAATATATAAATCTTGGCTTTTCCGAGCCCCAGATGCGACAGTTTTTACTTATTGGCTTACCCATCGAGGTGGAAATGGACCTCATCAGTCAAGATAATTTTTCGATGTAATTTTTGTAGAGAATTCTAATAATTTCAATGCGTTGTCGAAACGTGTATCGTTCCATTTTTATTACTGCCGTAGTTTTTACTTGCCAAATGTAAAAAAAAAAACAAACATAGCTTCTAAAGTGACATCTACCGGAAAAGTAGGCTATTCAAAGTAACACCTCTTATTGGAAAACCCTTTAGTTAACTGATCACAATTTTTCTAGTCAAAAAATTCATGACTGTACTAATAAGTTTAAATTTTTGTAAAAAAAAATCAACAGCACATGGAAGAATTTCTTCGCAGATAAATAATATCGCAATATCTGCGGTGCTAAGGTTATATTAATGGCCATAACAACAAAATATTAGATTATCTCCAAATCTTGTTTACATTCTTAAGATTTGTATAGTTTGTCGAAAGAGTACTTTCCGATTCTCCGCTCAGTGCAAAGCAGCACCTGTTGGCAAGCGTGATTCTGCATTAGATTTCAAGGCTGTCAGGTCCTTTCCGAACCTGATGGGGTTTTTGCTGTTACTTATCGTCAGTTCACACAGCCTTTTAAGTGTTCCTGGGACACTAAGTCGTACACAGCGGCGTAGCAGCAGCTTATTTTCAAGCTGTCGAAAATTGCTGCTTTAAAATTGACGAAGAGATGATGTGCATCGATCCACGTTTCACGGGAATTTCCCACGATTTGGATAATTTTCTTTTTCCAGGTGTACACTTGCACTGATAAATTCCAATCAGTTTAATGATGGTGGACTTTAGTACTTCACACATGATGCTTGATAGGATCTTATAAACGATATTTATTAGGCTTACCCAACGATAGTGGGCGCAGACACTGGATATCAGTCGCTACGTAACCTCTCTGGGTCCCACAAGTCCGATCCGGTCTTGAATCCATCTGTAAGTCGCATTTGCAGCTGTCGGTTGTCTGTTTTGATTACAGCTTGTGTCACAACATGATGATTGTGAAGTTCTCGATCTGAAGACAGCCAACAAGCTTAATGAACATCGATATAAAGGACCTCGGCGAAATTGATCAGACTCAAACCATTTGTATATATCTCATCGTAAAGGCTAAACTTTCCGACACTTGTATCAAAGATATCTTCTTCGCCCACCCTGGCGTTAGAATCGATAAGGACAATTCGGACATACTTACCTATCTCCATCCTTTCCCCATCTATCGAACTTCTTCGGCGGTGGTGATATCAGCCTTTATTCTTACGAAGACACCAACCAGTTGGGTAGCGGCACCCTTCCAATTAAGGGATCGGACATTCCAGGTGCATGGCTTTAAATTATAGTCCTTAATACCTATGCAGCTGGTTTCTAGGTGGCGGTTCCTTAACTGGCTAATAGAGGCTGCAAATAGACTTGAACGAACCCTTAAGCGAAGTGGCTCTGCTCGGCACGGCTTGGTGGGTGACGTGGACGCAAGAGTAGGAATCTATTGTAGTACAGCACCGCGACTGTTACCGCAAACCCATAAGCTTGACTACGCCCCATAAAATGTATTTAGTAATCGTGTGAAAATTTTGTCTTATCTCGGGGATAGTCCTTTTATACATGAAACACACATATAATCTTATTTACATTTTCAAAACGTGGAGCATTACTATACATACATATGTATTGCATCAGCTATACCGACATATGTATGTATGTACATTAGCAAATATAATATACAGAGGGGTACAGTCAACACATTATTTTTGTTATGTGGATGGTAAGATTTTGATTTTTTTTTTGCTCATAGATTAGCGGTTAGCGACAATTCTATGTTAGGAGACTACCTTCGCAACAGGTACAACTATGTACATAATCATGTGTAATCTATTTTTATCAAATGTTTTTTAAACTGTAAACTGCATTAATAACTGAGTCAAAACATGTTTACATTACGCTCCGGGACATCTGATCTGCTTTCGTATTTCAAGATATAGAGATTTTTCTTTAAAATATTTTGTGGCACATACATACATATGTACATGTATATACACAACCGTACATATGTACTCTATTTAAAGCTATTGCCATATTTTTTGTGTCTAAATATACAAATGCAGAATTTACTTTAAACTTATTTGAGTAAATAAATATGTTTTTCACAGTCTGGACTAAGGTAAATAAACTATGTTCATGGTGATTTTGCGAAAATAAGTGGGTCCAAACCTCAAAATCTCCTAGCGAGCAGCAGTGTAGGTTTATAGGCAAAACAACACTCTTTAATCGAGCGTTTATCGATTATCGATTTTCTCACAACCAGCATTGGCGGTTTAAAATATTGTAACGAGTTTCCCTAATAACGCCTCGATGATTTCCAAATCATTATAGCTCAAAGTTCGAATATTACATAAAAGTCACCAAATTTGCTGTACAATTTCTTAATTGTTACGTACTTATACTCAATAAATCATAAATCGTTTTACTATACACGATGACTTATTTTAAAACGAGTTTACTTGGTAACTGACTAACGCTGTGTTAGCCACTCTCTTATATACCTCACTGATTGTGCTTACGATATACAGAATAGTCGATACTAGCTACGTTCTAGCAGAAAACTTATATTAAAGAGAAGTACCGAGGCGTGCCGATTGCCATTTGATTCATCTAAGGGATTGCTAAGAGACTATTTCACCGCCAGTTAACAGCGTACTACCAGAAACTGACAAATTATTTACAGAATAATGATATTTGGGAGACAATTGTTATATTATTATCTTGCTCAGAAATGTTGACAAACCGAGTCAATTGCTGGCGGCAGTGGTGAAATAGCCTCTTATTTCTTTCACCGATTCTGGCAGTTCACATGCTGTCTACAATCGGTCCTTCTCGTTATTTGCCGTTCTCTATTTCTAGTACGTGATTTTGCTATCGGTCTCTCCTTCTCCAGGCCTATTCTGTCGAGGTAACAAACTTTACTATTCTTTTTTACAATATATGTATAATTGGCGCTTTATAACCGCTGAAGCGATTTTTGGCCGACTCCCCCAATTTGTGGTTTTGCATCTTGATATTTTCCAACAAAATGGAGGGACCTACAGTTTATACTAAGCCGCCTCCGAACGGCTGATGGCTTTTTACGAGGAGCCTTTATTTCATGTCCAAAATACACTCAGAGGGGTGGACATTCCCTGCCGAGGGGCGTCCGCAATCAGAAAATTTAACTTAATTTATTATTTAAATTATCATAGTTTTCTGTAACTTTTGGATGTTGGTCGCACGGGGATTTGAATTCGAGCCTTCCGAATGTTGTACGCAATGCTAAGCACTCGGCTACCGCTGACAGTTTACTATAGCAACTGGCAATTGTAATTTGGCAAGGACGAAAAAAACAGTGCTGCCCAAGTTTTTTCAAACATTGTTACCAGTTCGCCAGAATACCAAATTCAATTTAAAGATAACAGTGAGAATAGGCCTGTTCGTCTGTGATTCGTATGTGGCGTTTTCACTACAATATCGAACTTATTCAACAATTCTTTTTTGTCGATTTCTTTGCAACTATGGGCAGCAATTTAAAAATATCGAACTTATTTATCGAACAATTCTTACTTTGCTGCCCTTTAATGTCACAATTTTCGCATTAGAAAAATTCATTCATTAGATATTTGAGTGAACCGCAAGCAAATATTTAAATTATGTCTGTATGCCTGTATCAGAGATGCTCAACAAACGATATCATTTCGTTTCGCTTGCAAGAAAAATTAACTGAACGAAATGAAATCGTTGATAGCGTTGAAATCGCAGAAGCTCATCGTTACCGTTAATTTGAAAAGTTCTGTTTGCAACACACTTCAATTTTAACGTTTAACATTAACAGTTAACGATTTAACATTAACGGCAGCTTTTCGTTTCGGTTAAAAACGAAAAGAAATTTCTTTTTATAACTGCTTAAACGTTAATATTTCCAAATGTTTCAATCGAAACGATAGAAATTTTTCGATAAACGTGAAAGTTACCGTTATGATGCTGACTTAGTACAAAGAAATATATATGTATGTATGTACATGTGTATGTATATATTTTCACTTTAATCTTACTCTTTTTTATGAAAATGGTTTCAACAAACAAATACGTCATACATACTATCTATGCATGTACATATGTACATATGTATATAAAAACGAAATAAATTTAATTTTAAGTATTTTCAAATTTCATGTACAAATAAAAAACATATGCTCAGCCATATTTCTAAATCCCTGCAAACAAATACGTATGTATGTATATACATATGCACAGATAATCTTAGATACCGCTACTGTCTACCCCAACTTAATAATTAGTATATATATTTGCGTAAAAAAGAAAATTACTTTAATGGCATTTGCGAACGGTTATCGATGGGGCTTCATATCTTCACAACGGTGTTATTTCGAATCTGTGGCGGACTTCATAAGTGAATTCATAGCGTTCAAGCAGGCTAAACTTACCGACACCTTGAACGAATTCCACATTGTGATCTCAAATAGCAGGCGGACTTATTGCCGAATTGAAAGCAAGAAAAAATGTCGAAGGATATAAAAGAGAAAGCTGTTACTATAGATGAAGCGTTGGAACGGACGGGTGAGAAAAGTGCACGAATCATAAAACATTTTAAAAGTTCACAAATTAATTCGCCGACGTCAAGGAGTTAGAATAGAAAAACATCTCTGAGACATATGTCCCGGGCAATCTATTTCAAATTATGATTAAAGGACGAAACTATCTTTTTATGAAGAAAAAGTAAAGGAATTGATCGCTTTTCTAAGCAGTCTGATATTTAATGTCAGTGACGAAAAACTTGATGTAGCGAGGGGAACGCAAAAAATGTTGGGGGTACAAATGAATTCGGTCACTTCTCAAAAGAGGTCTGCAACTGCAAGTTGTGTGCGATCATGGAGCCGATTACGTATTTCATTGAAAGGATTTCATATTTGTCAAATATAATTAGTGACATTTTTTTCCTCGACGAAAATGTCCGGATTTGTGCTAAAAAAAAAACAGTATTTGCGGGAAATTTTGATTCTCAATTTTAATTGGAAGCAAGTGTTGTCCTTCGAATGATGTGTAAGTTTATAGTGAATCTGTGCCGACCGATAAGTCTTGTAGAGGGTACTTTTAACCCTACAAAAGTGGTGATTTAACCGTCGAAGACAAAAAGTGTCCAGCGCAAAAAGTTTGAAGATAATGAGGATATTGGAGGCTTTACTGGATCAAAAAAGCAAAACCATTGATGCAATAAAAAGTATCAACTATAGCAAATGCCTTTGAGCCGTGGGGAGGGGTCACGGGTACCGGTTCTTTTTTAAAGATATCGAAGAATGGCTCAATGATGTGATGGGTCGCTTCCCAGGAACTATACTTTATATGATGTACAGTTTACTTTTACCTTTGAAAGAAAAAACACTTTTTAACACAAAAAAACGGACCGATTTAATTTGTACCCACCCAATACCTTTCCTGTACAGATTTAGTAAGTCAGTTTTTTTTTAACTTACTGTGCTTGGTTTAGATTTTAAAGAAGCAAAAAAAAAAAAGTAATATTTTTTATATCGTTTAATTATTAGTTGCTATTTTTATTCTCTCTACAAATGCACGTGGCATAATTTTTTTTTTAAATAATCCTTTTTCCTTTTTTTCTGTTCCTCAGGTTTTGGGAAATTTAATATTTTCATCATTATATTTTCCGGTTTTGTACTCAATACTGTCGTACTCGAGTCTGTTGGCGTTAGTTTTGCCCTACCGGTCCTAGAATGTGATTTACATTTAACACACAAGGAGCAGGGCATAATAGGTGCTGCATCCTTTGCTGGTGTCATTGCGAGTTCACACTTCTGGGGATTTTTAGCCGACACTACAGGCCGAAAACGAATAATGCAACCGGCATTAATTTTGGGATTTATAGTTACTGTCTTCTCTAGTTTATCGCCCAATTTTATAACATTCGCTATTTTGCGATTTATAAACGGAATAATGTAAGTTTTACAAAAGTTGATAAATCCCTTAAAATTAAAATAGAAATTGGATATATTAACAAAAAAAAACACTTGCATCTTGAAAAATCTCTTCAAGATTTCTTTTCCCATAATAAGCTCAACAAATATTTTCAAACTTTTTCTCTTTGCAGAATTTCTGCCGGTTCCGCCACAACCTTCGTCTACCTTGGAGAGTTTCATTGCCAAAAGTTTTGTAATCGCGCCATTCTTTTCGGCGGCTTAATAAGTTCTTCACTTGCCGTTTTCTTCCCTATCATCGCTTTGGCTTTCATCAATCAAAGTTGGGAATTCCATGTGCCATTCATAAATATTGTTTTCACACCATGGCGTTCCTACTTCCTTGCCTGTGGTCTGCCAGGACTTCTATGTGGCGTTGCAATGTTCTATTTGCCAGAGAGTCCGAAATATCTGTTATCTGCTGGGAAGCCAGAAGAAGCTATTGAGGTGTTGATACGTATGCACCGAGTAAATCTAAAGGACAAGGAGCCACAAACGGAATTTACGGTAAAATAATAATCCAATTGTCAATATTAAATTACAATTTATTTATTTATTATTTATCCCACTTCTGATATTTCTCAGATCATTTCACTGCTGCCCGATGCATATGCGCCAGTTCGCAAAGAAAAAAGCCTAGAAAAGGATAAGAATGTTTTTGTTTATATTATGCAATTGATGTGGCATCAAACAGCACCACTTTTTATGCGCGAGCACATCAGGAAGACATTTTTGTCCTGTCTCATATTGTACATAATATTTTTTAATGCCCACGGATTATACATGTGGTTCCCGTATGTTCTGAATATCGCCATGCAATACACAGAGAAATATGAGGATCCGAAACGCCTTTGTGATATTATTAAATTTGCTAAATCAGGAAATCTGACAAACGTTGAGAATGACAATGTAAGTGCATACGAGTATATTGGTCTTTGCATGGATAACGGGATTAAATAGTTTTATTGTCTCTACAGACTGAAGTTTGCTCAATGCAATTGGAAATGTCCACATATTTTCATTCAACAATTTTGGAAGTAATTTATGCGTCTATGCTTTTAATCACTATGTATCTAGTCGGTAAATTCGGACGGAAGCCAATGCTTTGTAAGTCGCTACTAAATTATTAATAATTTACCCCAAAACATTTTAATTTCATTTAATTTAAATTTAATTGCAGTTGTTTTCCTTTTTGTTTGTGGCGCATGCGGCATTCTAGCATTTTCTGTGCCAGTGCCGTTGTTGGCCATTTATCTATTTGTGATTCAACTTTGCTGTGGTGTAGCCGTCAACGTGGTGAATGCAATAGTTGTCGAAATATTCCCAACGAATTTAAGGTAAGTCGTACGCCTACAGTACTGTACAGTTTCTCCGCTGAACGAAAGCGGTCCAAAATGTCGGTCCCCCTCTGGGAAGATCACTCAGTAACTGTGTTTCAACCCACCGTTGGTGAAAGGGATATCACTAGAAGCCGTCCTGACCTCTCATGATTCCATTCAGACGAGCTGAGCTGGTGCAAGGCCCAGTCGTCCATAAGCAGACCACAACTTGGCAGAGAAGAGCACATAGTTTTTCCCCTGTCCGACAATAACAGACACAGAATTTTCACAGTTCCATATATATAGAGAGAATACGCATTTCCACGCAATCGAGCATATTATTCTTGAACTCAAGAGCAGTATAATCACCTGAACATCTGTCTAGGTTTTTGTTGATATACTCATTACTTTACTTTTCTATTGCCTACTCAGTCCAAATTCTATGTTGGATTACAAAGAAGATATTGTTGGTGCTGTAGATGCTAATAGACGATTCGTTTCATCTTTGTTAGTTACCAAACTCATTCACTACGCATCATTATCTGATCAGGAGTAAGTAACAGTAGCGACACAGTTGCTAAAGCTGATAAAGAATCACATTGTCAGAACCGCGTTTAATTTCGAACGTAAAAGTCCTTCCAGATGCTGACGAAGCTCAGGCTGTAGAAGTAACTCTCTATCGTGTAATCGTGGCCTCTGTAAAATCGACGAGCAGGTGGTATGCAACGATTCATTTCGTGCGGATATTTCCCCAAGATTTAATGCATAGTGAAATCACTGAACAGTGGTGCGTTTTTTATACGAGAGGACTTGCTGTTCCATCGCCATCAACTGAGAATTCGACCTGCCCATCTTCTGGACACGCTTTCACTGCAATGCAGCAGGCTGAAGGAGAGTTTCCTCTATCAAAAAAATAATATAGTGTTTCTGACATGAAATAAAAAGCTTCTCATGAAAATTCATTGGCCTTTTGGAGGCGGCTTAGAAAAAAGTGTAGGTCCCTCCAATTTATAATAAAACATAAAGACCCACAATACACATTGAAAGAAAGCGCCAATTTTTATATAATTTCTGCCATTCATATGATAAAAATTTCGATTACAATGTGTGATCAGAAATAAACGTTATTTTAAATTTTTTCAAAAAACATTTATTTATTCATCAATAACTATCTTGTTCCCTTCAAAGCAATCCTCGAAACACGTCTGAAACGCGTTTTATGGTATCGCCAAAAGCTGCTGTTTCGATTTTTCTTTTCTCACCTCAATCGTAGCAAAACGCTTTCCTTTCATCGGTGTCTTCAGTTTTGGGAAGCGGAAAAAGTCAGCGGAGGCCAAGTCCGGTGAATACGGTTGATTGGGGCATGATATTTGTTTTGTTTTTGGCCGAAAACTCACGTACAAGCATCGATGTGTAAACTGGTCCGTTATCAAGGTGCAAGATCCATAATTGTTTTTTCTTTTTAAATCTGTGCGTTTCTGATGAATTGCTTCGCGCAAACGGCGCATTACTTCTAGTTGGTATTCTTTATTGACCGTACGACTTTGTAGCAAGAATTCATGATGCACCCTGCCATTCCATTCCTTCCTTAAACCGGTTATACCACAATTCAACTTGTGTTCTGCTCATAGTAGACTCGCCAAACGCCATAGTCAACATTTCAAATATCCTTGCGCATTTTTTACACAAAACTTAAGGCAGTTTCTTTGATGCGCTCTTTCGAATAGTAATAAACATGACTAACTTTTTTTATCTGTCAAAAACAAACTGACAATTCAAAATGGCTGATATTGCCATCATATATAACAGAAAATATAACAGAAAAAAGCGAAAATCGAAAATACATAACTCACGAGATTTTCAAATAACGGATATTTTCTGATTACACCCCGTGCATATAAGACTTCCCAAATTCAAAATTAGATACTCTTAAAAGAAAAAAAAAACTTATATTCAATCCCTTTGTATATACTCGTATAGAATAATATTAATTTATATGAAACAATTTTAATATTTTCAGAGCGATGGCCATTTGCATATCTCTTATGATCGGACGTATTGGTAGCGTCACTGGATCCAACATTTTAGGTATTCTAATAGAATCTCATTGTGAACTAGCACTTTATAGTCCATCAGTGGCGCTTATTGTTGCTGGCGCTTTAGGTTTTCTTCTTCCTAAAGCAAACAATGTAATAAGATCTAAAGATCAAGAAAATACTCCATAATTTACAGATTTTGATATTACAACAAAAGAATAAATGATCTGAAAACATAATAAAAACAAAAAGTACTAATCATAAACAGTTTCTTTGCTTTCATTAACTGCATAATCAACTATATAGATAAATTTATGTAAGAAATTACTTCCGAAACTTTCTTTGATACAATTGAAAGATTCTACAATCTCACGGTGGTAAAGGCGAAAACGAAAGTCTACAATGTGTGTTACAGTAAAATGGTGTGGAAGGCCAGCTGTCGAAAATGTCGATAGAATACTGGAAATCGTAGAATCTGCACGTCATCCGAATACTCTATCGATTGCCCAGGAGCTACTAAATATTGCACAAGAAACAGTTTGGAGTTACTTAGAAAAAGACTGTATACACAAAGAAGCTCGATGTATGGGTTGCCCTTGATTTTGGACAAAAATCCGGCAAAGTTGTAATTTTTTTTGAGGTTTAATAGTTTGTTTATTATTTGAGATTTCGAAACGAAAAAAAAGTCGAAATTCAAAATGACGGCTACAAAATTGCGATTTTCGGCCTCTGGGCGAAAAACCTGGCCAGTTTTAACGATAAATTTATTGCATAGAGCTTTTTGCAATTATAAAGTTATAGTTTTTGCTACTTTTTTCACTTCAATTATGTTAAAAAAATTTATATAATTAATTATTAATGCTAATCTTAAGTTCAAGACGTACAAAAAACTGTATACTTTGTAACAGTTTACAGATAAAAGAAATTGGACGAATAGATCAAGCCCGGGGCTTGAAGTTAGATCAGAGAACATGGTTTCGAGAAAAACGCGTTCAAAGTTTTTTAAAAGTCTCTCGGCGTACGAGAGACAGTTGTGTTCAAGAAGCTGCCATTTCAAAAAAAAAATATTCATCGTGTTGCAAAATCCCCTTAAATACATACTCTGCAAAAATATGGCTTTCAATTTTCCTTAAAAAAATCGATTTTTTGATCCAATATTAGGAAGAAAAATCCTCATGGAGCGAATTTTCTTTTGAAAATCGTTGCTGAATCGTAAAAACCCCATCGACCCATTTCTGAAGCGAATGCTGACTGGCGATAAAATGTGAAACGTTTACAACAACGTCAAATGGTAACGGTCATGATCGAAAGGCAGTGAGCCAACGGAAACGGTTTTCAAGCCAGGGTTGACTATAAGCTGCTCTTTTACGGCCAAACTTTTAATTCGGACCTGTAATGTCATTAATTGGACCGTCTGAAAAAAAGTAATCATACAACACACATCGATAATGATGCGCCTGAAACTCGGAGATCTTGGTGGGAAGATTATTATGCATCAACCCTATTGTCCGGACCACGCACCGGTCAACTAACCGAGCTGGTAGTTGTCCTAGTAGTAGTAACTTCAACGACAGGGTGAACAAAAAAAGGTATCCTCGGCACAGCTGTCGGAAAATTCAGCCTCCAGGCTGATCGACATCGGGGGCCCGACATATGGTTGTCTGGCTGTCTCCTGGTCGAAAAACCCACAACCTGTCGACCATGTTGTGATAAACGGAAGAAATGTTTTAGATGTGCGTGCGTTTCGAGGTCCTAACATCGACTCGGATCACTATTTTTTTGCAGCAAAGATAAGCACGCTCCTCTGTGTAACAAACAACGTCCGTATACAAGCAAAAAAAAAAAAGTTCGACGTCGAAAAGCTGCAATCACAACAGACGGCCGACCAATTTCCTACTCGGCTTGCACACCTGCTTTCTGAGAACAATCATCAGCAACTTGACATAAGAAAGCTATGGGACGGCATCTCAAACTCCCTACGTAACGCCTCAACGGGAACAACGGGTTTTCGGCAGTGCAGAAAAGGAACTGGTACGATGAGGAAGAGGGAAGCGAGACACATTTGCAGACTAAAGAGACCGAAATGCTTGGGTATGAAGAGCTTGAGAAGCTGACCGACAATGGATACGCACGAAACGGCGACTTACGGAAGGTTTTTCTTTTATCACCAAAATATCGATTACTGCCGAAGTCATTTTATTTTTAGTAAATAATCACAAATGTGTTTACACCTGATTCGAATATCGGTTTCGCTGATCTTCGAAAAAAGCAAAATCAAGTCGGTTTCATAACATTATTTCAAACAAGTATTGATTTTCAATTCTGACAAAACCGTAATTCTGTGCATATATTCAGAAAAAATCAAAATTTTACCGACTCAAATGTACATACGAGGTGTGTTCAAAAGGTATCGCGAGTTTTGAATTTTCGCCGGTTAAGTATAATCGAATTTCGATTTTTTTGCGGCGTTATGTGGGAACTCATGTCTGTCACTTATGCCGACAAGCTCGGCCATTTTGAATGTTCACTTAATTGTTGACAGCTGCTCAGCTTGCTCGTGTTTTGGATGGTCTTCGATTTATAATTTTTAATGAAAGTTTTCTTCGATTGAAGGGGCGTGGTGCATGATGTGTTCTTGCCACAGTAGAACGGTCAATAAGGAATATTACCTGCGAGTTATGTGCAATTTGCCGAAGCAAACCGCCAGAAACGCCAGGATTTGTGGAAGAACAAAAATTGGCTTTTGCACCACGATAACACCCCTGCTCACACATCGTTGCTTGTGTGCGACTTTTTGGCCAAAAACAACACACTAATGATGCCCCAGCCACCGTATTCCCCAGATCCCCCTGTCACTTTTTCTTGTTCCCTAAACTGAAGAGGCCCATGAAGGGACGACGTTACGCTACGCTTGACGAGATAAAGACGGCATCGAAGGAGGAGCTGAACAAGACAAAAAAAAATGATTTTTCGAAGTGCTTCGAAGATTGGAAAAACCGTTGGCACAAGTGTATAATAACCCATGGGGATTACTTTGAAGGGGACAAAATATATATTCATGAATAAATATATAATTTTTGAAAATACACAAATTTCTCGATATTTTTTGAGCACACCTCGTATGTACATAAAGTTCTGACGTTCGTAATCATATTTTACAATTTTCTACCGATTATTGGAGAACCCTTTATAATATAGAAAAAATCTACTTCTTTTTACATAATATTTTCCGATGTTACAATTTGAAAATGTAAACTTTTTTAAATTTATTTTTTCAGAGCTAATTTGTATGGGAAATAAGAAAAAAAAAATTAAAACATGAGTTGTAAAAAATTAGATTTTATGGAAACCAAGAACGGGCTCACAAAATTTTCAACGCTTTATTCGTTGTGAGCGAACAGCCTTCCCGAAACTTTATCAAAACTTTTAAATTTCGCAAGTACAAGTTGAACAAGGTAAAATTTGTTCTAGTTTTTTGCAAAATTAAATAAGTTAGCAATGATTACAAATAGAGTCAAAGGGAATCTGGCATCATGTAGCGCATTTATTTCTTTGCATTCCCTCAAAATTTCAAAATATTTTTACTGAATATTTGCTGAGAAAACCAATATTTAATAAAACATTCCATTTTTTTCAATTGCATATTGCAAGTAGTGAACTAATTAACTTTTAGCAACAATATTCATCGTGTGACTTTACACCAATACCTCAAATATTTTTCCCTACTTACGTTTTAATTTTCCTTCCAGCATGAAAATTCATGGTACCTTTTTAGAAATTCCTATTCAGCCATTAATTTAATTTAAATATATAGATCACTTCTTACTACTTTTCTTAATTTATATCATAAAATTCATAACAGTATGTAATTGGTAAATACTAGTGCTTGCATTTGCTAAAAACCTAAAACAATTTGATTTCTCCACTAAACGTTTAACAAGTGAATTTTTCAATTGATTAGTCATGTAAATGAACTTTGAATCAATATCCACATGAAATATTTAATAATTTCTAGTCTATGTTATTTTTAATTCACCCCTATCGGGGGATTGTCGCCCTCCTTTATGCGCCATTTTATTGATTTTCAAAACTATTTTAATTCACCACAATCGGCAATAACAATTTTCTTCATCGGACCGCCGCTTGCACAGCCCAAAGCTTCCATAGCTTTCACCACCTCCATACCTTGTATAACTTGCCCAAAGACCACATGTTGTCCGTCCAGCCACGGTGTCTTAACAGTACAAATAAAAAATTGTGAACCATTGGTGTTCGGACCAGCGTTCGCCATTGACAACACACCAGGGATGGTGTGTTTCAATTTGAAATTTTCGTCCTTAAACGTATTGCCATAAATGGATTTTCCACCAGTACCATCATGATTTGTAAAATCACCTCCTTGGCACATAAAATTCGGTATTACACGATGAAATGTACAACCTTTGTAGCCAAATCCCTTTTTACCGGTGCATAGAACGCGAAAGTTTTCAGCCGTTTTGGGTACGACGTCCTTACGGAGCTGTAAATATGTGTATATGTAAGGATTGTATTTCTTTTGGAGCGAATACATGCATACATATGTATGTATGTGCTTATGTGGTTAATGCTCTGATCAAATGGATTCGACTGATGTGCAATACATTATCTCACCTACAGTGTATGCTAAAGCCATGAAGAGTAGTTTTTAAATATCTTGATTATGGAAATCCTATAAATATTCTACATGATTTAAATTTAATTATCCATCAAATCACAGATGAATAACGAATTTATTTAGCTAAATGTTGAACGATGTCATCATTCATATCATTCCAACACAACAACCAAACCAAATTCATAAAATATATATTGAAAAACTACTTATAAAAATTCACTCCAATACACCAGAGTCCGCAATTACAATCTCGCTCTTGGTTTTGCCAGAATCTGAACCGAAACCTTCGATTTTCTTCACTATATCCAAGCCCTCAATAACTTTGCCAAAAACTACATGCTTATTATCCAACCATTCAGTCTTCTCAGTGCAAATGAAAAATTGAGAACCATTGGTATTTGGGCCAGCATTAGCCATAGATAAGATCCCCGGTCCTTCATGCTTCAGAGTAAAATTTTCGTCTTTAAATTTGGGACCGTAAATAGATTTGCCGCCAGTGCCATTATTATCGGTGAAATCACCGCCTTGGCACATAAAATTCGGAATGATGCGATGAAATGTGGAACCTTTATAGCCGTATCCTTTCTCACCCGTACACAAGGCACGGAAATTCTCACAAGTCTTGGGTACAACATCGCTGCGAAGCTGGAATTTCGGAAAATTTTATTTACTTTTGATGAAAGCTTTATATGTACTGTACATAGATACTAATAATTTTCAATAACTTATATGCGAACTGGTTAGCTACACTCACATACGAATGCTATTATTAACTTTAATGTATTGTCAGGATATGTCCGCCGCCTGCAATTTTGGGTATTAACTCTATAGAAAATATTTTTTTTACCACTTCTTGTTAAGTGATTTTCACTTTACCTCTACTAATGTAAAAATAAAACAAAAAGATATGATTATTCTAATAGAATTCCAAATTGAATATTTATTAGGTCATGATAGAAAAAATAAACTTCAGGAAAATCATTATTAAACTCATGTTTCCAAATACTTTACTAAGAAAGTTGAAGTATTTATAAATTTAAATGCGACAATGCTGCATGCTTGAATGTTACATTATACTTAGCTATTGTTTTTTTTTAGCTTTTTTATTATTTTTTTTTTAGTATATTAAGATTTATACGCTGTTTATAGCGCTCCACACTCAGCAATGACAATCTTCTTACTTGTCTTGCCGGACTGTGAACCCAAACCCTCAATTGCTTTAACTACATCCATGCCTTCAACAACCTTGCCGAAAACTACATGCTTGTTATCCAACCAAGCTGTCTTTACGGTGCAGATAAAGAATTGGGAGCCGTTGGTGTTGGGTCCAGCGTTAGCCATTGACAAAGTACCGGGTTCGGTATGCTTCAAGGTGAAGTTTTCGTCAGCAAATTTAGCGCCATAAATGGATTTTCCACCAGTGCCATTGTGGTTTGTGAAATCACCACCTTGACACATGAAGTTGGGGATCACACGGTGGAAACAGGAGCCTTTATAACCGAAACCTTTTTCGCCAGTGCATAAGGCACGGAAATTCTCAGCAGTTTTGGGCACAACATCGGGACGGAGCTGTAACATATTGCAATTTGTTTATAATTAGTATTTTTGTGAGTCATACTATAAATTACATATATATAAATGTATTTAATTTACGGGTTAGTCGACACATCACACGTACTTATACAAAAGTTAAGGCATTGTAATTCTCTTTGCATCCAACATTCATCATTAACGCTCAGCATGTAAAATACTCAAGACACAAAACATTAAAACACAGTCAACACATTTGTAGGTAAGTTAAATTTCATATTCATTGCGGTACAGTTCTTTTCCAATTCAATTACACGCCACACATGTACATATTTACATGTATCCGTAACAAATTTTCATAAAAATTAAATGAAGCAATTTACATTTAATGAATGTTTATATTATTTAAGTGAAATCATAAGCAGCTGTCTACAAAAATAACTTATAAATTATTGCATTGGTATATATATGTAGGTATGCACATCTTTTTCAGTCTTTATTCCAATTGACCGGAATCTTCGATAACAATTTTTTTCGAAGTCTTGCCCGACTGACTACCCAACGCCTCTATATGTTTAACAACATCCATGCCTTCGACAACTTGTCCAAAAACGACATGGCGATTATCCAACCATGTAGTTTTAACGGTGCAAACAAAAAATTGTGAGCCATTTGTATTTGGTCCAGCATTGGCCATCGATAGAATACCAGGTCCAGTATGTTTCAAGATAAAATTTTCATCATCAAATTTATGGCCAAAAATTGATTTGCCACCAGTGCCATTATGTTGGGTAAAATCACCGCCTTGGCACATAAAATTCGGTATAACTCGGTGAAAAGATGAACCTTTATATCCGAAGCCTTTCTCACCCGTGCATAATGCTCGAAAATTTTCAGCAGTTTTGGGCACAACATCTGTACGAAGCTACAAGGATGACGGTAAAAGTTTTGTACAAATGCATTTAGAATAAAGACTGAATTTTTTTACATACAATTTTTTATTCTAATTCAAAAGCATTATAATTACCATATGCATATATAAATCTGACTAATAATATCCAGAAAAGTATTTTGTTATTAACACTAGCTATATATATATATACGTTCACATATGATTAACACTTCATACATGCGAGGAGCTCCAAGTCTTATTTCGTTGAAGAAATACTTGTTTGTAAATTATGACATCAAATTCAAATTTGCGTTACGTGAGCTAATTCTCCAAGCTAGTTATAATTTACAATAACAACGAGATACTTTTAAAACCAACAAATCAAGTTATGAGTCAATTCCATACACCCACCATTGCAATGGCGATTATTGAAGTATCAAAAATATAAAAGAAAGCTTGGTGGTTTTTTAACAATATATGTTTTATAGACGATAATAACGGATTTGTAATTCAGCAAACACTTAACTGTATATAGACATCAGCAATTCGTAGCAATTTAATTGGACGTTTAACCGCAAAAAACCTCCACTTATTTTGAGTTAAACGATAAGTACTGAGGTTAATAAATATATTGCACATACACATGTATGTACATAATCTTGCATATAAATGGATGTTTGTTTTGTTGTGGCCAAATTCCAATGGTAAATAGCATTAAATATTTACAAGCCACTACAATGAAATGCTGATTTGTTTTGGAAAATTACTTTTAAAATAAAAACTATATAGTTATATCGATCGATTGCAATTCAAGTTTACATAAATCAAACATTGCTAAAAATTAAAGGGATATTTTTCAACCTTTTTTTCTACCTTTAAATGTTGCGACAGGTAGCTTCAAGCCCTCGCGATACTTAATTGTCAATCATATACGAACATCTAATTAATTCAACACATGAAAACATTCATTTATAGCCGTACATACAGCAATAAGGACAAGAGGCGTAACCTCACAACACTTGGCACTACTATTTGTGTTCCAACCAAATATGTCCCTAACATAAACAACTAGATGCATAAACTCGCACATATATATATTACTAATATTCCATTCACTTTATCATACCAATATGAAAATGACCTAATATAAAATTGTAGCAATTATCAGAGTAATGGCATTTGATATTTTATACTCTTTTATACAAAAAACAACTCCCTCTTTGTCATTCTCATACATAGTAAAAAAAAAAACATATGGAAGGAAATATGTATACCCACAAACGTACTACTAAATGCAAGGATACATGTTCAAAGATTATTCGAAAAGCCTTTAAAAACTTGTTTTTAAAATGCCCTACATACAAATTTTATGTAAAGTTATTAAACCCAGTAATTATTCAAAATTTCGAAAATACATTTTCCGTCTTTGAAGTTATCAAAGTTACACAAATGACAGAAAAAAGGTGTGGCTGTGCAGAGGTAAATTGAATTTTTTTATCGTATTTAGATGTTTATTTATAGCGCTATCGTAAAAAGTACTTGAATATTAAGACTTGTATATTGCATGGCTGAATAATTGGAATTCCATACTGCACTTTAGCTTATTAATAATTTTAAGAAAAGAGTAAGTAGCAAAAATGTAGGCATACAAAAAATCAATATTTTCATATTTAAAATTAAAAACTTTGAACACGGCCCATAGAATTCATAGATACCAAACCTAACCCAAGTAGCACATATCACTATCTCTTTCTTAGGCCACAAACCAAAGCCGTAGTACAATGCCATTTACAACTTGTACATTCAAGGTCACATGGTCATTTCTACTAATATACCTGGGCTTTTTGAACTTTTACACGTGCATTATATGTAAGCACGTTTATACTTATATGCATACACATCACATCTAAATCAATTATGTGAAATTAAAATCGATGCTTTTCACACCTGAAAAGACTTGATAAACTCAAATAGTAGTGGATTTTTGGGGTCGACAATGGAAAAATACTAATCAGTGACTCCCATGCTACCTACTTTGGCACATACACACCGGCAAGTAAGCAAACACACAACTACATTGTACAATACATGTAAAATCGCTATTATCATCGGCATTTCTACGATTTCGATCACAAAATTCATCTCAAATTGTGGCCGATTAGATATTCTTAATGTGAATTACTTGATATTTTATAAAATGTGTTAAATATCTAGCTATAAAATTTTAAACAGATGTTCTTATTAGGCTTTTAGTAACACGTGTCATTCTTCTACTTGAAAACGCTTTATTCTGACTGGGAGCGTTCAACATAAATTACAAGCATGTATATTTTAAGAAAACTTAGCTCATTTGAATAATAATTAATTGCTTTCAATATGTAATATACTATTAATTAAACGCTACAATAAAATTTTTCAACAAATTTCAAGTCTATAAACAGGCCCACTTTGCCGAAAGTTGGCGTCATCGGCCATAGCATATACCAACACTATCAAAATCCGGCAAAAGTAATATCTGCGTGTGTATTCCTGTTTGTATACGTATACGCGACGATATAGAGAAATTGCAATCGGGCTCCACCACTCGCTTTTGCTTATCTGTATACTTGTGAATTGCAATTTAAATCACATTTCGTTCAAATTAATTGTTCTTTTTTACGTTCCATAATATCAACATAACCTCTAAGCAATAAAAATATGTAATGTTGCTTAAACACTTACATACACACACACACACATTTCATTAAATTATTATTTTTTTTATTTGTTAAACTTTTACTCATTGAACCTTTCACTCAAACCACACTTCTCTACACAATGCATACCCTTTACTTAAAATAATGAAAAATGTGCTTCACTCTATTAACTACATGGATGAATTATTTTCTAATTGCCATGCAAATCAACTACTTACCTCCATAACAATGCGTCCAAGGGGCTGTCCGCCAGCGGTCATATCGAAAAATACACGGGGAAGACCCATTTTGCCTTTACTACGAGTACTATTACTTGCGAAACGAACACCAAGAAATCCTATTTGAGACTGAAATTCAAAATGAAGCTGTCCGTACGATTGAATTCCGGTTTGTAGAAAATTCGATTTTTTTGCCAAGATGGCGAGCGGTCGCTGTTGGCGGCAGCAGCCTCGTATCAGTGTTGCTGTTGTGCCGAAAAGCGCCATTTTCACTCGATAACAACACGTGGGTATAGATAGCGTCGATTATGATTTAATTCAGAATTCAAACCGCAAAGAACAACCAGCAGCAAAGATTTTAAGAGAAATATGCCTGTTAGCAATATAAAAATAACATCAATTTTTCCTATTTACAATTTGCCGGTTATCGCTAGTGTTACCTAATCTTTCTTCTTAGCGATGAGAATTATGTTATCGATGTGCAAATGGATTCAATTGATGTATAACCAGTGCTGCTATTTTCGTACTTTAGGGCTGATCGTAAAAAGGTTAAATTCTTTATTTAGCACTTTAACCATTTATAATTAAAAATATATTGGATTTGAATAATTATTTAAATCTTTATCTGTAAAGAAGTAAGGCTAAGATCGAATATTATATTTTTTAAATCATATATTTTTATACGACAAAGTATATGTGTAAGTAATTTTTATTTTGTTAAGTGTTCTTTTGTTAATGTGTAAGTATAAATTCAGTATTATAGATTTTTTACAATCCTGCTCAACTTACCAAATACTGTAAAATAAAAAAATATAAAATTTAAATGAATGTACAATATTTGCAATACACCTCTGAGGGTTGATCATCTTTATTTTTGTAGTTTGCTTAATATTTCCTCTCGTTGGGATTTTTTTGATTTGGCAGCATCATTGCTTATATTGGACATCAAAGGATGCATATTTTCATATTAGAAAAAACACCAATTTGACAATCTAGTATATTACATTTTGTAGAAAAATAAATTATTAAATTTGATCTGTCGAATTTGTAAAGGATTTCTTCTGACTGTAGCAAAAAAGAGACAAAGATTAAAACACAGAAAACAAACAGTCGAAGGTTAAAACTAAGGTATGCCGTCAGAAGGATATTTTGACCTTCAAATAATTTTTGATGATGAAAAAAACAATAGTTTCATTACTTGTTAAGTTCTAAGTGAAAAATAATTATTAAAATTCTGTGATTTTTCAACAGAATGCCAATGGGAGCAGAACCTGTTTATCAACCAACGACCGTTTCAGTATCCTATGAACCTCGACCAAGGAGAAACAATGGGTATTCAGTGCCATTAAAAATATTAAAAAATTCCCGATTTCAGGTAATAATCAAAAAAGTGACTCACAAACCGATTCTCATTTATAAATATGGATAAATTTGTTTATTATGTCAATGCAATGTTAAAAATTTTCAAGATAATTTGGTTGCAGATGGACAGTTGGGAATCACAATCTCATGTGATGCTTAAATAATACTTCTGTGTTACTCTTGGAAGAATTCACGGATGAGTTCATTTCTAACAATCGAAACTACTCTTATCTCTAATAAAGTGATATAAACATGCTCTATTGACAAGTTTTATGAAACAAATTCTTGTTAATAACAGAAAAAGAAATTTACTTTATCTTTTTTATTACCGAATAAATTAAATTGTATGAACTATTATATAGGCCATCACTATATATTAGCGCAGTGATTCCTAAATGTATGCTATGAATTATCGAAATTTCTTTTGGGAAAATGTTCTATTTTAAAATTATTAAACCAATACAATATGGCTGCATTTCCTATTGATAAGAAAGTAGTTTGACTGTATATACATATGTACTTAGTTTATACGTATATACTCATGAATGTATGTATGTATATTTATATTTTTTTTATAACCAGATTTCCAATTGCTTTATTATAAGGCTAAACTTTACAATTATTTCGTTTAAGATAATGCTGCTTTTCCTTGGTTTTGCAACGTTGGCGATTGGTATAACAATATTTGCTAGCACCATTCAAGGTATGCAGAGCAATCAATTTTACCAGAAACGTACCAACGAACTAACCGAGGAAGATATTGTTGTCGCCGGAGCTGAAATTTCGATTGAAATGCTTTCGTTGGGATGTTTTTTTGCAGCCATCGGCTTGGGTTGCATAAGTAAATAAGAATCTTTTAACCACATATAAATTTCTATGTATTTGAATAAAATATTTTCTTGCTTCCTTTTAGTTTTATACCTGAGTGTAGCTAATTGGCGACGTAATTGTGTCTGCCGGTGCCCGTTCTTTGATAAGAAAAAATCTCTAGCCAGACAATTGCAATGCCAAAATGGCGGTGGTTGTGGTGAAGGTATAATGGCGTTAAATCCTTCAACAGATCCACTGGTATCGCATACACAATACGCACCTGTTTCAGAATTGCCACATCGAGGGGACGATGAAGAGCGTCGTAATCTGATGCCAGACAACAAGGATTGGTAATTTTCTTTAAAAAAAAAAATGAATAAAATAAAATTACACATTATGACTATTAAATTTTTTTATTTATATAAAAAAAATAGTCTCAGCAGCGCTGAAGAATCGGATCGTATGTTGGAGCCTGATCCACGAATTGTTTTGCGGCCAATGGGACGTGTCGATGATGCTTAAGGGCGATAATAATAGAATTTATGGGAACGATTATGCAGTTGGGAATGCGATCGGTATCGTTATTTATGCTATGAATTTAAAAGTAGTGATTCTACTTATCTTATGTGTACCCACTAAATGAATACAAGAGTAGTTTTACGGTTATTTCGCTTGGGTAGAGATATTGGTGGGATAGGCTTTATCTCAGAATGTTGTAATGTTTTTTGGAGAAAGAAAAAAATGAAACATTTAATTTGTTCTTATCCCTGAACCAAGGTTAAAAAGAGAATAGAAATTATTTCAAAATTATGTATGTGTTAAACTCTTGATATTGTCAAGAGTGCCTAGCTTTTACCTAACATATTTTATTAAAATTTTATATCAACATATTAATGTATGTAGCATAAAAATTATAGATTAAATAATCTTCTAGCTGTAAGTAATTACTTAACGCTTAAGCAAAGTCGGCAATTTGTTGAGCACGCACACAAACACACAGGCATTCGCATTTATGAATTCGGTGTAAATTCGAAAAAAAAAAGAAAACTAACATAAAAAATATTTTAAATTAACGAATAGAGCATAATTTGAAGTAAATATTACATTTGGAAAAAAAAATCCCTCGCTTATATTTACATGAGGTGTAAAAATTAGCACATTTACTACATACATGCATGTATGTATATTGTATATACAACACAGTACGGGTTTGTGCATATGCAATTTTACTCTACATGCATTTCTTAGAACTTACTCAAATTTTTTGCTTTCACCAACCAATAAAATGACGTACGTACTTATTTTTTAAAATAAGAATAAATATACCAGTGCAGTTTTATTTGTTTATTTGGTTTCAGCGGGAATTGAGAGCTTCGGCTGATATCCACAAACTGTGTTGCTGAAGCAATTTTCGGCCGAAAACCTCCTTCGATTCGGGATATATGTCCTGATGATTTTTAATAAATGAAGGGACTTTTAGTCTATACAAAGCTGCCTCCGAACGGAGGAACGGTGGAGCACTTCTATTCCAGGTGGAGCGACGATAATTAGAAAAATTATTATTATTTTTTTAATTTTGGCGACGACGGAATGGCAATATTCAATGCGAACCTCTCGGCTATTGCGGCCGTCATCCAAATAATAGTTTTTTAGGTAAAATCGATAATCACCATTATAAAATTAATTTTTTTTTTAATACAATACATAGAGCTAGAATGAAGAAAACCAATTCAATTTATGTTAGCAAACCCATGTAGCTTTTTATTTAAATCAAAGTTTTGTAAATTCACTCAATACATATATGCGTGTGTGTGTTACGCAGGTTTTAATGAGCGTTCAAAGTTTACCCTAAGGTATCTACACATACAAGTCGTTATGAAAAGTAATTAATTAATTGATTAATAATTCTTTTTAAAGAATATTTCCCAATTCACATAAATCGATAATTACTCTTATTATGCTTTTTTCATGTTACATCTAAATATGCCAATGTGACTTCTAAATTAAATGCATTTTTAGTCTTCCATTAAATCTACTACTTCCTGTTGGTCTTCTTCATCAGCCTCCTCCATTTGGTCATTAGCAGCAGTTTCCTCTGCTGTTTCATCAACTTTGTTGTCATCCTTTTCTTCCTTTTTATCCTTTGAGTCGTTACTTTTAGTGCTCTTCTTAGTATCTTTGCCTAACTCTTTGGGCTTTTCTTTTTCTTTGTTCTTCTCCTTTTCCTTTTCCTTTTCCTTCCCCTTATCCTTTTCTTTTTCCTTCTCCTTCTCTTTTTCTTTCTCTTTATCCTTGTTGGATTTTGAACTTTCTTTTGCCTTATCTTTTGCATCCTTATCCTTTACATCCTTTTCCTTGTCTTTATCTTTGTCCTTCGTATCCTTCTCTTTGTCTTTCGTGTCTTTATCCTTATCTGACTCTTTATCGCGGGTGCTTAATGAGGTAGAATAAATATATTTAAAGTTTCAATTAATTAGCTTGGTTATATTGGCATATTTAGAACATTACCTCTCCGGTTTGTGGTCCTTCTCCTTTTCACGTGCAAAGTATGGCGCTACACGATTGTAGATAACCGAAAGCGTAGCATGCTGATCACGATACTTTCGCTAATAAAATAAGGAAAACAATTTTAATTGATTATTTTTTGCAATAGAATAGAAGACATCAAGTTGTCAATATACTCACATTTAGCGCGAATAAATCTTGATCTGTATCGGAGAGTTTACGACTCAAACTCTTTACTTCGGTTTGCAATTCTTTTACTTTATTACTGGATCTCGAATTGTCACGCTGCAGGTCTGTATGTTGTTTTCGCAGATCGTTATATAATTTTTCTAAATCACCATAGTTCTTTTCAGTGCGCTTAATTTGCTCTAACAATTTGCCAACGTGTATAACTATACCTTTATAGGTGACTAGACCTACGAATTCGAAGGAAATTTATATTTAAGAAATTCACATTGCATTTATTGTAAACAATCATTAGATATATTATAAATTACCGTCGTTATCAGACGATTCCTTTTTAGAGATGATAGCATTCTCCTCACCACCAAACTCCTTTACCTCTGGTATATAGATGCTGTTGCCTTGTGCAATTTTCTTCAATTCTTCACTGGGTATATCGTCTGCGTCTTCAATTTTGGGCGGCGCTTCAACCGACTCTTCTCTGTCAGTAAGTTTACTATAAATAAATATATGTTTTGGTTAGAATCAACATATTCCTTAACATATTTCCGGGTTACTACCGATAATAGAATGCCTGCCGAATAGAGAGTTTGCCGAGTACACGTCTTATTTGACCACGCGACAAATTCAAACCTAATATAGTGAATAAATCTTCCAAATCTTTCTCAAATATATAACCACAGTGGGTGGTATCAAAGTAGACGAAAGAGAGCAAAAGTTGTGGCTTTACGACAACCATTTTTTTGTCCGATACGTGCTCACGTTCTTTTTCCTTGCCATTTGCACCGGTGGACTTGGGCTTGCGATCGCTACTTGCTTTGCCTGCCTCAGCGTCTGCCTCAGTATCAACACTACGTTTCGAAGCTCTACGTTCTGATATGGATTTATCGGCAGTGGCAGCATTTGTTGTCTTGTTGTCAGTTGTAGCAACTTTTGACTCTTCATCGACTTCCATAACTTGATCATCCTCTGTTTTAGCGCCACCATTACTGCCGCCTTCTTCACTTTTATCTTTTTTATCGGCATCTGTTGACTCATTATTTTCTTCTTTGAAGAGATACATCTCTTTGTAGATATTGAAACCGAAGTCACGCATTAACATCTCGTTAAATAATTCCGCGAAAATGGATACCTATTTTGGGGAGAGAAAAGAGTTGGTTGAGTTTTCTTTCCTTTTTTTTAATCTTTGGAGAATAACCAGGCGTCATGAAATAACGTGGAGTGGTAATGTAAAAATAAATAATAATAAAATTAAAGGATTATTATAATCATCATTATATTTAGTTTTTGGTTTCCATGCCTTTTCTGTACCACTTTGTTAGTGCCAACAAAAAGCTTTGTGATGTTTGTCATTGAAAAATTGAAGATTCAAATGTGTTAAGCAACGATAACAAATACCGATGAATATTACACCTTGCGGGTTAGGGGCTCAAGAATTTACCCGCGGTAAGGCATGCCTGTCGTAAGAGGCGACTAAAATCCAATAGTTCCCGCGACAGTCGGGTCTTTATACCGGAACGACCCGGATTTTTATCCGGCCAAGGACTGTCACTCCCGCAAGGAGGAAGGAATAATTTTGCGGTTACAACAACAACAACAACAACAACAACAACCGATGCATATTTGGTAATTACATCTGGGAAGATCTCATGAATGCATTTTCATAAATATTAACTCCAAAACAACATTTTTTTTTTTTTCAAATTTAACTCAAACAGTTGAAATAAGCTAACGATATACTATACTTTCTTTATTTTTTTTTTTTATTTACCTCAAAGAAACGTTCCTTTGTATCCGCAGGACCATAGTCCAATAACACCGATAAGGACATTATTGAACAATCAAATTTACCACCTTTAGCGGTTTTGTTCGGATGTACGATAATATGTTCTTTAGTTGGTAGTTTGTAACGGCGAATCAATTGATTTTTCTCCTTCTCATTTAATTCTTTAGGGGTTTCCTATAATTAAAGCGCATTAAATTTGTCTGCTACTACTTATTTTTCTTGTTATTATTAAAAAAAAAAAGAAGCAAATTATGTTAAACAATCATTACCTCTGGATTTTTGCTTGAATCATACTCATCAAGGATGACAATATCACTCATATCAACATCGACATCATTCCATTCTTCTTGATCTTCCTGCTCTTCGTCGTTGCTTTTATCAATATCTTCTTCTTTTATTTCAACTGTTTCCTTTTTCGTTTCTTTTTGCTGTTCTACCTTCTTATCGTTAGCTTCGGCTACTTTTGCTGGCTTAGCATTAGCAGGTTTACCTTTTGCAGCCTCGCTTTTAGCCGGTTCACTCTTCGGCGTTGCTTTTTTAGAACTCTTATCTTCTGCCTTCTCCGTGTTCAATGCCTTTGCTAACCGTGCCATAATTATATGGCGTGCACCTATGGCGGGGAAAGAGAAAATAAATATTAATAAAAAAATTTTAAGGAACTTTTCAAGCACACAGTTGTGATGCGTCGTACAAATCTACCTTTTGATGGAAGATTACGTGCTTCTAATTCATCGCGCATTTCCCGCACCTTCATTGATTTCAAGTCCAGTTTGGAATAGTGTGTAGGCTCCTTTTGGTCGTTCTGAAATCAGCGACAATCATTAAATTGGAATTTATCAAAATTTTCTTACACACTTTTTTTTTTTTTTTTGAATGTTTTTAATCTGCTATGATTATAAACATCATTTGCATTTTTCTTTTGTTGTTCTAAAATAATTACGATTAATGATACACATAGAGATAGATATGCAAAATTATGGTGCCTCAGCAACTTTGTTGATTGACCTATTGTAGATCAACTTTGCTGAATTGCTCATGGTTATTTTTTTTTTTTGTTAGTTAAAAGTATTCAAAGGGATATGAATATGAATTTTATAAATTTGAATAGAATCTGCGCATAATACTGAGTGCTAATAACTAACGGAGTAATTCGATTTGAAAAATGCTCGAGTTTGCTTAAATATTATACTGCTCTCTTTGGCCATTGCATTGGCGTGTGAATGCATTATCACATTTGTATATACATATATGTATACCAAAAAAACGAATTGGTTCTTAATTGACTTGATTTAAGGGTTTACAAAACTACATATATTGGTTTATATGTATGTATGTAATATGAACTTTGCCCTGTTGTTTGTTAGTAGACAAAGTGAATATTTGAAATTTATGCGCCGCAGTTTACCAATAATTTCGTTAATACACTCACTAACTAAGAGTGAGTGTGAGTGGTGGCGTAATAAAATGGTACGAGTAAAAAAAAAAATAAAATAAAATAATTTAAATAAAAAAATAAACGAGATCTCGACGAAACATAAAAGTAGTAGTTCGAATACTTCTACAACGGCATACATACAAAAAAAAACATAGTAAAGGAAAAAAGAAAACCTATTTCATGTTAATAACTTATAATTAGCATTTGCATGTGTGCCTTTAGATCGTCACTGTCGTCACCATCAGCGCTTATTTCTACCTCCTCAATAGCAATCACTTCCGCTGAAGTATCCGCAGCAGAATCAGCATCAGCATCAGCTTCACCATTAGTTGTTGATATATCCCCGCTTTCAGCTGTTGCGCCTTCATCAACCACAGACTTGTTTGCGTCATCCTTGGTAACATCAGCATTCGAAGTGTCAGCTGCTGTTGCATCGTCACCTTCACCGCCGACCTCAGCTTTTGGCGAGGAAGTGCCTTCTTCCTCAGTGCCACCACCAGTGGTGTTACTAGTAGCAGCTGCCGCCTTTGCAGCGGCACTTTTGCGTGCGATTAAATTTTCAACAGCATTCTTGTAGACTTGATTCAGCTCTTGCCACTGGGTTGCATTCGGCATGCAGGAATGCACGTCTGGCAAATAAATAACTACAGTTTCAATACGCGCGGCGGCATCCTTCTTCTTGTGATCTTGACGATGATATTGAAGCTCCACAAAGCGATACCTATGCAAACAATTTCGAACAAAAGAAACCCCAAATCGATTAAATATTAATATCCGGTCGCCGTTTCAATATTCAACAGTGCCATGAAGCCCCCGATAACGCAATCAGTTTTGTTGTTGCCAGTGTTTTGATGAGTTCATCGAGTAGTTGTCAAAGATGATGATGATCCGATGCAGTTGTGGGTGTTGATTTTTTTTTTTTTGTTGAGGTATCACATCGAGTAATAATGAGAAAAATAACAAAATTATTTAGAGAAGGAACGCAGTTGCAATTTCATTCGTCCAGTTCCAGTGTTGTAGTGCCCAAATCGTCAAAACGAGTAGATATTCATGATGATTTTGATTTGAGACGTTTTAGTGTTTGTTTTACCATGACGTCGAAGGTTATGTTTGCCGATCCGTTGGGTAGAGTTGGGGGGCGATGCCATCCAGTATGCAGTTTGTGAGTTTTGTTTTTGATTATTTTTTATTGTTATTGTATATAATGAGTGCAATCACCAGTGAAATGGTGAAGCAGACGCATTTACGAAACATGGAAAAGAAAGAAAAAAATCATAAGGAATGTGGAAAATTTTTATGTGCACTGTTTTTTGTTTTGTTTTGTTTTATTATTATTATTTTTTTTTTTTTTTGAAAGTTATTTAATTAATATTAATGAGAGTGGTTGGGGAAAACATGGTGTACAACACGCAATAGATATACGTATAGATTTTCGTTAAGAAAAATAATTTTGTATTCGTTGCTTTAAATTTTGTGCGTCTTGCTGTAAAGAATTATATATTTTGTTATTAAAAATACAAATTAAATTGTTTATTTTTTTCTTCATAACATATAAGAAGAGTCATGTATGCATGTTTCTCCATGTACGAAATATTGTATGAAAACTTTAATAAGAAAGCACTTACACCAAGATTAAAGTATTAAGTATTTGTAAGTAATAAGTCAGCGAAAAAGTTCTTATTATAGCTAATTTTGAATTACTAGTTCCATTATTGTCTAAAATAAATCTTTTATCGCAATTATCAGAGCTATGAACACTGAAAACTTTTACTATACTATACTTTTCTTTAATTTGGGTTAGTAATGTTCTTTTGAAAAATTTAATACATAATTCCGTAAACGGGAAAAGTATTAATAACTTGCACATTTAAATGCAGCCCAGAAAAAACACTAAAAATAAAAATTAAATATTATAAATAAATTTTAAGAGTAAAGAATCATATAAATACCTATATTGTGCCAAATCTGAAGTGTATATTTTATTTATTCATACACTTATGTACGTATGTATATAACTCAGACGAATACGCTGCGATATAACCTTTATACCTCTATACCTCTAACCTCTAGCGTTCAAAAACTGCTTATTACTTTCAAAATTTCTTTAACTTAGGTTTTTATTAAATCGATTACAAAATATATACTAGAAAGTGCTAATGGAAAAGTATGGTGAAAAATGAAAACCCTAGTGAGATTTACAGTGTAAATTTTCTTTCTAAATAATTGAAAACATTTGCAACTTCCTTGCTTATTGTTCTGGTGTTTCAGTGCTATCAACCTTTAGCTGTTCTTGGAAGTTGGTAAAGAAAAGACTTTAATGAAACTAAACCACTGTGTTTTGACATATTCATACTCATACTAGCTAGTTCGCTCTTATCATGGCTGGAAGAAAAACTCAATAAACAGCCAAAGTGTTAACAGTAACCAAAATGTATAAAACTAGAAGCTATAAAATTTAATTATAGTAATTATAGTAACGTAATTAATAAATGTGAAGGCAATACCCATATTTTTCAACAATCATCAACTTTTACCCCTATTTTCGCTGGTTTTCCGAATAAAAATCGGCACATTTAACTATAGAAGATATTTATAAATATCCAAAAGTACATACCATTGTGTACATTGTGATAGATCGATGCCCGTTAATGCCTTGCAAGTACGTATGGCTGTACGTATTAAAACGGCTGGATCCTTATCGGGATTTTCGCCATCAAGCGAAGGGCTCCATGGGCCACCAATAGCCATGGGTTCATTACGTCCTCTGGTACCAACGAGGAAACTAATTAAACGCGATGGATGTACGGTATGTTGTTCGTTTTCGTTCTCCTCATCTTCAAAACATTTCTGATATAGATCAGCGATTGGTGGGCAAGCCATGAGCATTACTTTAGCAGAATATAAATAATTTGCATCTGATGGTTCAAGTATATCATTATTTTGATCGTTGAATGGTGAGTCTACTATACGATGCATAATATGAAACTGGCATGGACGACGTAATGAGAAAGCATTTTCGGGTGTGAAAACTTTCGGCCATAAAATGTTGGCATTAAAGAAATCCGATGGAATGTAGAGTGTTGCATAACGTTGACGTAATTCTTGTATATCGGCCGATTTACTAGAAATTATAAAGTTTTTATTTAAAATATACTATATGGATATAAGTCATGGCAGACTTACTAAGCCAAAATATTTTTTGGAATTTGCACCACATATCGGCGTATAGCACGAGTTCGTCGACCCTTCGCTGCTGGACGATGTGGACTGCGTTCAGCACGTTCGCCGCGCTCTCTTTCTCGTTCACGTTCACGTTCCTTCTCACGCTCTCTTTCACGTTCGCGATCTCGCTCACGTTCTCTACGCTCCAAAGCAAGATCCGGCTTACTTTCCGGGCGCGGACGATCACGCTCACGATCTCTATCATGCCCTCTTCCCATGCCAGACATTGTGCGTTCACGACTTCTTTCCGGATCTCCTCGACGACGTTTACGCTCTCTCTCAAGGTCCTGATCATAAAATGACATATTGGTATACTTCATTTTTTTTTTTTTAAGAAAAAGAAAATTATATTACATCATCTCTGTCTCGAGATCTAATATTACGATCACGTTCGCGGCGGTCACGATCACGATCATTTCGTCCAATCGATCGATCTCCACGCATGGGCGAGGAATGCCGTGGTGAGCCGTGGCGTTGTTGTTGCATTTGCATTTGTGCAAGTTGATACTCATTCGGCGGTGGTACGGCATTATAACCACTTCCACTCCTGCCACCAGCACTATTACCCATTAGCGATGGTAATTGTTGAGTTTGATGACCCATGTTATTTCTACGGAAGTTAAATAATTATTTATAAACCATTAAGTGTGTATACATATAGGATTTTTTTATATTCATACACACATATGTATGAATATTTCAATAAAATATCTAAAGCTTACCCCATTAGTTGAAGCATGGTAGCATTCCATTTAAATTGTCCGGTGGTAGAATACGTAGCTTCAAACATGACACGATCACCCAATTTCGGGATAACGCCCTTACAAGCATTGCGGTAGAAGAAAACTTCATCGTTAATAAGACCACAATCATTATTGATTTTGGTAACGGTGCCAATAGAATTTGTCACGGATTGACCACCATTATTTGGTTGCTGGAAAGCAACGGGATTCAAAGTATTGGATCGCTGTTGGGGATAAGCCACAGAGGGTGCCGCACCACCTTGCGAAAAAATGGCCGAATGACCAAATGCAGACTGCGATGCTGCATGCTGTTGCTGTTGCTGCATAAACATGCTATTCTGGCCAGTACCTTGATAAAATCCGCCTTTCCTTTGCCAAGGCTGGTTTTGTTGCCCACCAAATGACATTTTCGGATATTTTAAATATTATTTTATGCGCAAAAAAATTATTTTATATCGACAGAAAATTCACACGATGGTACACTTTTTATTTAATGCCGTAAATTGCAAATGTCAAACGTAAAGCCGCCGCAGAGTCGTATTTTCAAGATACAGGCTTGCACTCGCAGGAGTATCTATTGTGAATACGTAACGGTTAGAAAGGAATATTTAATTTTAAATTCTAAAATAGCATTGTTTCCCAAAAAAGCTATAGGAATTATTTATTATAACTTGAAATTTTACTTCATCGTAGCATTGCATGGATTCCATACAACCTCTTCAATGGTGTTGTTGTTATAGCGGTTGACTAGCCCTAGTTAAGGACGGGCTGGTTAATCTAAGTCATCGATATCATCTAATGAGAGTTTCAGGAAACGTGTTGTTTCGATGGGTTCGGACCAGAGGGAGAGGAGGATTTTAGTGTTGTGCTGAGACTCTATATGCAGGACATACGTTAGGTATGTTAGGGTCGAGTCTGGATAAATAGGAGTTTAACCTATCACAGTGTACAGACTTAACTTGCGCTCTCTACAATCGTAAGAAACACCGAAAGTTAAGTCTTCAGAGTGGATATCCAATATTTTTGACGAGCTACGGTTATTATATAGATTTTGTTTCTATGTTCACTGCCAAATAAAAAACATTTTCTCCGAGGCGATTTTTTTTATATGAACTCACCTTGATTTTTTCTTTTTTATTAATTAACCCGACATTTCTATTAAAATTATTTAAATTTATAAAAATCAGTTATCTGTTGTAATCAAAATTTTGAGCAATGCCTCTTGCCATCGACACTTACAGTCCAACTGAAAATCCGGTTGTAACAAGTTCGTATCCTTTAAATAACTGTACATGAGGTTGAAGATTAATTAAATTAATATCCTTTAGGCGAAAATCGTGAAAATAGTCTTATCGAAACAGTGGCTTTCGTGAGCTCATTCATTATGTTTTTGGTGTTTTTCCCGATTTCGATATTTTCATGTCTGGTTGTAATGTTGGAATTTCAAAGAGCGGTTGTATTTCGTTTGGGACGTCTAAGGTAAACATCAGTAACAGGTTATTTGCATTATTCATATGGAAATATATATATATATATATATCCACCTTTAGGAAGGGTGGTCCACGTGGTCCGGGTATATTATTTATTTTACCTTGCATAGACTCCATTGTCACAGTTGATTTGCGGACTATAGCATTCGATGTGCCGCCACAGGAAGTGCTAACAAGAGATTCAGTGACAGTTACACTTGATGCCGTTATCTACTATAGAATTCATGATCCACTCAAAGCGGTTATACAAGTTGAAAATGTTATGTCTTCCACAATGCTGCTGGCCCAGACGACGCTGCGAAATGTGGCCGGTACAAAAATGTTGATGGAGTTACTGGCCGATAAGGAGGCCATTTCCAAGGCCATTGAGGCGATTTTAGATGAAGCAACCGATCCGTGGGGCGTAAAAGTAGAACTTGTAGAAATGTAAATAGTTATTGGAGGAATTTAAATGTGCATTGCATAATGAAAATCGTACTTAATTATTCTGTAGCAAAGACGTACGCCTGCCTCAATCGTTGCAGCGTGCAATGGCCGCGGAAGCCGAAGCCACGCGGGAGGCTAAAGCGAAAATTGTCGCTGCGGAAGGTGAATTTAATGCCTCGAAAGCACTCAAGCAAGCTTCGGATATAATCGCAAAGAATCCAATTGCGCTGCAATTGAGATATTTGCAAACAATGAATACAATATCTGCTGAACGGAATACAACAATTATATTTCCCTTCCCGATTGAGCTGATGGATATTTGAGGTTATAAATAAAACGACTATGTTCATGATATACATATGTACACATAAAAATGTGAAAGGATTTCCTTAATATATAATTTTTGAAGTACTAACATCCCACAGCGCCGTAATTTTTCACTGTCGTCTCCTTTTTACACGATTTGGCTCTGAAAAGAAAACATTTTGTAGGTCCCTCATATTTTCTATGATATTTTTGGTCTAAGCCAGCTTTTCAAGTGACGATTGATTGATTGTTAGTTGCTGTAGACGAGTAGGTACATACGAGGTATGTTCAAAAATTATCGCGAATTTTGAATATTTCAAATATTATTTATTTATTCAAAGTAATCCCCATGAGATATTATACACTTGTGCCAACGGTTTTTCCAATCTTCGAAGCACTTCGAAAAAAATTTTTTTTTTTATTTTGTTCAGCTCCTCCTTCGATGCCGTCTTTATTTCGTCAATCGTAGCGTAACGTCGTCCTTTCATGGGCCTCTTCAGTTTAGGGAACAAGAAAAAGTCACAGGGGGCCAGATCTGGGGATTACGGTGGCTGCGGCATCATTAGTGTGTTGTTTTTGGCCAAAAAGTCGCGCACAAGCAACGATGTGTGAGCAGGGGCGTTATCGTGGTACAAAAGCCAGTTTTTGTTCTTCCACAAATCCGGGCGTTTCTGGCGGATTGCTTCGCGCAAATTGCGCATAACTTGCAGGTAATATTCCTTATTGACCGTTCTACCCAGTGGCAAGAACTCATGATGCACTACGCCCCTGCAATCGAAGAAAGCTGTCAACAAAACTTTCATTAAAAATTAAAAATCGAAGGTCATCCAAAACAAGCAAGCAAAGCAGCTGTCAACAATTAAGTGAACATTCAAAATGGCCGAGCTTGTTGGCATAAGTGACAGACGTGAGTACCAACATAACGCCACAAAAAAATCGAAATTCGATTATACGCAACCCGCGAAAATTCAAAATTCGCGATACTTCTTGAGCACACCTAGTAGTTGGTCAAGCTACTGGGCGAAGGCTCAAAGGTACGAATTCTGACAAGCTCAACATTCAAAATTGAAGAAAAAATTTCTTCTCTGCTTGGTGGATCGTTTGTTGGGATTAACAACCTCTTTGCGTATGGTTCTGGTATGAAAATCATAGCTCCGGGGGCATTTTAAACCTTTATAGTCGCTCCAATATTATGGGATAACAGATATATTTACCGAAAATCACGTAACTTCTACGAAGTCCCAAATACAAATAATCCATGGATCTTCAGCAAGAAGTGAAAGTCTTAAAGCCAAAACTTTCTTTGCAGTAGTGATCAAAATCATAAGTTAGTATTATTTAGAGCGCGACGTGTTCAAGGTTAAGCTCAAAATCCATATCATTTATAAATTATTAATATTAAATCAGTACCTCACAGGGCTATGCAGCAATAAGGGTTTACAAGAAATAACTCATCTTATCTTCACGACACTCTTGGCAATTTCACTTGAAGAGTAAAAAATTAAAGTCAAAACGAAGTCAATATAAAAATTTTATTGAGCCAAATTTGTTGTGGAAAATTTTTAGTTAAGAAAATATGGGTCGAAGTAGAAAAGAAGACCGATATTTCGCAACTAGTGAGCTCCTGCAACTACACAATTAATTACTAGTTAAATACCTTTAAATGTTTACAGGTGAAAATGAAGCTCCCAGCGCTATTGAACAAGGTGTTATCTTCTTCAGTTTTATACTATTTATAATTACACTACCGATATCGATATTTTTATCGCTGATCGTTTTGTCCGAATATCAAAGAGCCGTTATATTTAGATGTGGACGTTTAAAGTTTGTATATTTTTGTATGAAATTTGAAGAATATTCACAAAATAAAGTTTTTCTCTATTGCAGACGCGGTGGACCACTAGGTCCCGGTCTCATCTTTCGTATACCATGCATTGATTATTGTGTAAGAGTCGATTTGCGTACAATATCATACGATGTGCCAGCACAAGAGATACTCACAAAGGATCATGTAACCATTAGTCTTGACGCTGTAGTTTATTATAGAATTTTCGATCCTTTGCTGGCTGTAATACAAGTGGAGGATGTACACTTAGCCACACGTATGTTGGCACAGGCAACGTTGCGTAATATTGCCGGACAGAAACATGTTTTGGATTTAATGTCTGAAAAGGATTCCGTTTCGATGGCCATGGCGGCAATATTGAAAACGGCATCGTCACCGTGGGGCGTGTATGTGGAACGAGTTGAAATGTGAGTTGGCTTATTATTGAATTGAAGTAAAATATGGAAAAGTATTGAATTACTAAAGTTCCAAAAATTTAATCGAAATGATTTTAAATATGTTTTTTTTTCAATTTTTTCATCTTTGCGTTCTTCTCTGCTTTGTATGTCGTCTCACTATGTGTGGTTGAATTTTTTCAGCAAAGATGTCCGCATGCCATTTCAATTGCAGCGTGCTATGGCTGCCGAAGCGGAGGCAATACGTGAGGCCAAGGCAAAGGTAGTTTCCGCCGAGGGTGAATTAAGTGCCTCGAAATCTCTCAAAGCTGCTTCGGATGTTATTGCTTCGAATCCTGTAGCACTTCAGGTATGTAAATATGTACATATGTATTTGTGTTTTCTTTTTAACACATCTTCTGCAGTTACGTTATTTACAAACCCTCAGCCTTATTTCGGGTGATCAAAATAAAAACATTATATTTCCATTTCCGGTAAACTTAATAAGGCAACTGATCATGGGTAGATCAATTGAATCAAGCCCGGACAGTTTAAGTTATAAAAAAGCGACGGATAGCGTACAGGAAGATATAGGTATGTGCTTTATTATTATTTATCGATTATCGATAATTTTTTTTTTATATTAACGTTATAATTTAATAGAAATCAATTCCGATATTGATGAAGCGCTTGAGGAGGCTTTTAGAATTCTAGATAACAAAATGTGAAAATTTCTTAAGATTAATTAAAGTAAATCTTCTAAATTTGTTGGATCTTTATTTATGTAACTGTGGGCATCGTATCGAACGAGCCCTGGAGGCTGTAACAATAAAATTGAAAATCGTAGAGGACTGCTGCAGATCGCTTAACGCGATGGCCAAGCAATTCTCTCTGCACCTGGTATATTTACATGGACATAGTACCATATCATGTAATGAGATGGCGGAGTTTGGGAATGCCACTTTACACTTATAAGCTCAATATAAGAGAGTTATTGGGTAAGGATGTTATTTTAAAACGGAAAAGTCTAATTACATGACATTGTGGCCAGAATGGAACGGAAGAAGGTCACGTGACCTCATCGAGTTGAAAGGAAAGGAGCTAACTTGAGTAATAGGGCTACAGTAAGAGGAAGAGAGACTGAGCGTACCATCCAACGATTTCTGCAAAGGTTGCAGAGAAGAATGATAACCTGAAAGCTTAAGGCATTCTCTATGCGAATGCCCTGCACTTTGGAGGAGTAAGATGAAGTCTCTTGGGGCGACAACCTTCAGAGACCTAAGCGAGATAGCGGGGGCGAAGATGCTACGACTGTTCAGTTTCGCAAACTTCATCCACTGGTTTCACACCAACTGCATAAAAAGACTAAAAAGACTAAAACTTAGATTAGGAACAGTTGGATGAGACATAGTCAAGAACCTTGTCTAAGTAGGGATTATTCGGAGTTGACGAGGTTTCATATAGAGCAATTTTTACATAGTTTAAAGGGTTGAAAGGAATATTATATTAGATTCCAACACAAGCTACTGGACTGCTTCTGAATCGAAAAACTCGCAACCAAAGCGATCATTTGTAACAGGGAGATTGAACTCCTACCAACATAATGAGACACCCATCAGAAGTATTTCAGTATAAGTGAAATGTGAGAGATACATTGAGCTTAAGTGGGAAGCGAAGACAAACCCGATAAATTGCAGAAACACTGGAACGATTGTAGAGAAACCGAATCGTCATTCGATGACGATGGAATACACGATCCATTACCCGACTATAATGGAGTTAGTTTAGCAATTGCCTGCCAATGAAAGAACAATAAAGGGGAGGGAGCCGAAAGCTATTCAAATATGACAGCGAAGAACTGATACCCAATCGCAAAAGTGATTCACCACAATCTGCATCAATTACCGTGGGATGAGCCTTCCTAATTTCGCATGTATGGTCTGATGACGCCATTCGATGAGACTGCACTCCGCAGGTAGAAGCAGAGGATGAGAGAAATCTCCACTCCGTTAGAAAAATAAATGGAGAACTACCTGGCTTAACTGAGTGTTACCAATTGGCATCGAACGACGAAAAGAAGAAACCACAGGCGGTTTTGTTGATTCGACTATAGTTGCGTAAACCAATTAAGAAGAAGAAAAATAAGTTTGATGAAAATATATTTAATATCGTTCATTATGTAATAATAATACTAAAAAGACGAAAAGTAGATTATTTAAGAATTCGCCAAAGCTGGCACTATATATTCATATATCTCGATGCCCTTCAAGTAGGTATCCGCTCCCAAGTACTCATCGTGATTATGCAGCAAGATAGGTGTATTTATCATTGGAGAGAAGCCCAAAGCTGGAATATTCAATTTACGAACATAACGATTATCAGTGACACCGGGTAAGACATCCGTGTGAAATTTTACATCACTAGAAAAAATATGTAAAAAAAAAAATTGATTACAATTTGGTTCAAGATACTCGTATTCTTTACTCACAGTTTCTCCAACGTTTTTTTCATTGCAATCCAAAAGGTATTCGTATCATTTAGTAAAGTGGGAGGAATCTTTTCATCCTTTGTGGGAAATTCTATATTAATATCACCGCCAGCGTCCTTACACCAATTGCGAAGCTAAAAAATAATAAAATAAATTTAAAAAAATAGAAACCTTAAAAAAAAATACAATATTTATATAAATATGTGTGTGCACATACCTGTTTTTCCAAACCTACAAGATCTTCGTCTACAGCCAACCGTAGATCGAATGTGGCTTCAATCACAGGTGGCAAAACATTATTCTGTATGCCACCCTTCACTACAGTTAGATTAACCGTAGTCACATAGCCGAGACCAAGTGTTTGATCATCTTTTAAGGCACTCTCTGCCTTTTGTCTCAGACCCAACATTTTACCGAGTATGAAATGGAACTTTTCTGCTGCAGTATTTTTATGCAACATTGATCCATGTCCAGTTGTGCCATTTATAATGAATTTCACATCTGAGAGATACAAATTTTGGATAATATTATAAATACTCCTTGGGGTTTCGAAGCTACTTTTTATGCCAGCTTCAATCATACTCACACCAAATAGTTTTCTCTGCATTGAATATTAAATATTCGTCTTTTGGATTTGCGACGCCTTCGTCTAGACAAAAGCCGACGTTTAGATTCTGAAATTGTTCCGTTTGTACAAAACATTTCATGCCAAGTTTACCGCTTATTTCTTCGTCTGCAAAACGAAATTATTCAATATGATTAAAATAACGTTTCGGAATAACAATAATTTATAGGAATGGGAGTTGTTTTGGGTGAGTCGAGATCTCTTTAAGAACGATCCTAGTAGTTAATTTAATTAAATTTGCAATTCTAGATCCAAAACCCGAGGAGATAAAGCAGATGTGAGCTTAATATCAAAAAAAAAAAAAAAAAAATTGTAGTAAAAGCTTATCTTGACGAGCAAAGATCAAGGTCGACAAACAAGAAGTTTTGCAAAAGCGAATATCAAAGCGACAGCGAATATCATAGACGTTGGAACGAAGACCTGTATGAGTTATACGACAATATTGACATATCTCAATGAATTTACATAAGCTAGTAAAGCAGAGGAAAACGAAGGCCGGCATATGTGGCGAACCACCTTGCTTAATTTAGTAATTATTTATAATTATATTTCAATGAAATAAGAAAATATAATTATTTTTTTGATTTAAACATTTTTCCGGTAATTATAAAATTAATTTTAAGAATTAGCGGAAAATAATTTTTCTTTAAATAAAAATATATTACAATTAAAGCTATTATTTTACCTGGCACGAAAGTCACATGCACGGTACGCTTGAGCGTTATACCCTTCTTTTTCAGCGCTCTTATCGCACCCAAGTATTGCATGCCTACACATTTCATATCCTGAGCACCACGCGCAAATATACGACCGTCCTCGTCCATCTCAGCAGCAAATGGCGGATGTGACCACTTCTCGGCACTAACTGGTACAACATCCATGTGCGAGTTCAACATGATCGTCGGTAGTTCCGGCTTACGCCCCAGCCATGTTAAGATGACTATTGGTTTATTCGGCCCTCCTGGATGATACACCTCCACAGGCAAGTCTAAGCTATTGGCTTGTTTTTTCAGGAACTCAACACATGGTGCTACATATGTACGTACGTATAAAGGGAGTTTCATAAGAGAAAAGTTGTACAAATTATTGAAGATTAACAAAAGTATACATACTGTAGTCAACGTCCGGTTGTACACTGGGTATACGCAAATATTCGCGAAATATTTGAATTTCTTCATTGTGCTCCCAGTCGCTATCTGCATCAATTCTACGTCTGCTCATCGCGTTTAAATTTTTAGACTATTAAAGCGGTTATAAATGATCAACTTATCTTAAATCGTCGTAAATATATTTATTCTACTGTTTTGCACTCTTTTTGTTTTTTTCCTTCCGGGTTATCACACACGTTATCTGACTGCACACTCACTTGGCTCATTCGCAACTGATTTTCAATTTTAAAACTTCAAGCAAGACAATGAAACTGATTTTTATTCACATGGCGTGCATACAATTTATCGATAACCGATTACTAATGAGTATTCCATGCCGAAACAAGCATTAGCTTGTTCAAAGCAAAAATGGGTTAGTTTCAGCATATATTTTGTTTTATTATAAAGCTAACTAATGCCACGTCAACCTAACTAACCTTCGAAGTTTTAGTTATGGTACTTTTTCTCTTTTCCTCCTTTTCTCGTTTCATGTGTGGTTTTATAACATTTTCTAATCTCGCAATAGAGAGCTTAAGAGAGGAGCACAAAGGAAAAGAGACCGTTATATACGAGTATGAAGAGCTTGAGAAGCTGGACGACAAGGACCCGACAACTCTATGAAAAGATGCGGCAACTTACAGAAAGTTTGAAGACCGTGGTATAAGTATGTAGAAATCGTGGAGGTACTTTGATGACACACGTTTAAAGTGTACTGAAATTATGGACGCTTCTACAGCTTGTTCAATATTAATGAAAGCGCAACTCATTTAGATGGTGAGCACGAAACCCCAACCGATGTTGATATGCATTATACATTCTCATTTTCCGATTATGAAGAATTTCGAATCCCGTTTAAAAAGTAATAATGCGGCGAATGCATGCCCGACGATTGGAACTTTAATGTGCTCTGCAGAATCCACACAAAGAGGACCCCAAAATACCGTGAGATTAACCTCTTAAATGTCGCATGTAAGGTTCTATGGACCGTATTGTGTGAAAGCCTAAAGCCGACTCAAACCCCTCCTCCAATTTGTGGTTTTTGTGTCTTGATGTTTTTCCAAAACAAACGGAGGGACCTACAGTTTATACTAAGCCGCCTCCGAATAGTTGATGGTTTTTATGAGCAGCTTTTATTTCATGTCACACTCGGAGGGATTGACATTCTCTGCCTAGGGGCGACCGCAATTAGTATATTTAACTTAATTTTTATTTAAATTAAACTTGTATAATTTTTCGGATGTTAATATGACACCAGGATTTGAACCCAAACTTTCCAAATGGCAGTACGCAATGCTAACGACTCGGCTACCGCAGCCGCTCACCATAGCGGGTCACCATGCGTCAAATCTTAGAAAATAATCGATACACACTACCTTTTCACCGATTCTAAAGCTCCCTCTATTGTTTCCCGATGATATTGATATCATTAACCTTAACAACAGCGCCGGTGATTTAGGTTAGATTTATCCAAAACGCCCGTGTACATAAATCAGATGAATGTCTGTTCAATGAAAAATTAAATCATTCTAAATATTTATTCATCCCTACTTCTGTGCTAAAGTAAACATTACTTTCATAATGTTTGAACATATAAATTCCTTATCACTGCAGCGGAGCAATAATATACATACGAATTTAAATCAAATATTATATATATTATAAACATATATAATCTCTGTTGCAATATTAACTTCGCACTAAAAGGGTTTTGTTAGCACCGTAAAAGAAGGGAAAACTGAAAATCATCGCTCCGATTACGATGTTTACAGTCATTATGATTGTACCAAGCGGGTTAAGGAGAAGTGTCGAAACATATTCTGCCTGCTCTGCACTGCATCGCAGTGTGTTCAAGTGCTCCTTCCTTTCGTTCTCTTCTGAGCATGCTTTTCACCGAAGCGATTACAACTTTCTCAGCTCGTCGAGATGATCAGCACAGAATGCAAACACCCTTTTTCTTAGTACAAGTAACCGGTCAGGCTAGATTTACAGCTTTAGGCAGCATATATCGGTTCTAAATGTGTGAGCCATCCGCTCATTCATCTTTTTCTTACCTTCTTCATAAGTGTAACTCTAGTTATGTAATCTTCAATCACGATAGTTTTCTTATTCCGTCCCTTGTTGTTTTCACGCTTTTGAACTTTGTGTTGACATATTGGATGAGTGCATAAGTTCGTGCCCGACTCCGCTGGATGCCGTTCGAATCGTTTGAGAGTGGCGCTCGTGAAAGAAATATATACATATTATATATCGTTGGAACTGTTAATCAAGCATAAAATAACTGTGTTTTGATTTGAGTTGCTTAGTGAAAAGACGCATGGAAGATGGACAACGAAAAAGATCATATGCGTCATATTATGTTATACGAATTCCGCAAAGGAAAAACAGTAGGCGCTGCAACTAAAGATATTCGCGAAGTTTATTTGGACCGTGCTCCAGCACTCCGCACAGTAAAGAAATGGTTCGCGAAATTTCGTTCTGGAGATTTTAACCTCGAAGATCAACCTCGCAGTGGACGGCCTTCTGAGCTTGATGACGATGTTCTAAGGACTTTAGTTGCGAATAACTCACGTATTTCGACGGAAGAGGTTGCCAGTGAATTGAACGTCAACAAATCAACTGCGTTTCGTCGTTTAAAAAAGGTTGGGTACACTTTGAAGCTCGATACATGGGTGCCACATCAGTTGAGTGAAAAAAACAAAGTGGACCGTATGTCAACAGCAATTTCTTTGCTTCGACGGATCAAAAACGAACCTTTTTTGGATCGGCTCGTGACTGGTGATGAAAAATGGATCCTGTACAACAATGTTCAACGCAAAAGAACATGGAAACAGGCACACGAAGGGGCGGAACCGATGTCGAAAGGTGGATTGCATCCGATGAAGGTACTGCTGTGCATTTGGTGGGATATCCGAGGCGTGATCTATTTTGAGCTCTTGCCAGCTGGAGAAACGATCACTGCCAACAAGTATTGTCAGCAATTGGTCGAATTGAAGAAAGCAATTGATGAAAAACGTCCGATTTTGGCCAATCGCAAAGGAGTTCTTTTCCATCATGACAACGCCAGGCCACATGTTGCAAAACCGACCCTGGCCAAACTGAAGGAGATGAATTGGGAAATCATGCCGCATCCCCCATATTCACCCGACATTGCACCTTCTGATTATCATTTGTTTCGATCGCTGCAGAACAATTTGAATGGAAAAAAATTTAAAAATGTGGAAGACGTCAAAAACCACCTTGACACCTTTTTCAACGAGAAACCGCGCGATCTCTATGAATCAGGCATCCGTAAATTGGTTGAACGTTGGGAGTGGATTGCCGAACATGATGGCGAATACATAATTGATTAATAAAAGCGCTTTCTTCAAAAAATTTCAACTTTAGTTTGCACTTGAAATCGGGCACGAACTTATGCACTCATCCATTTTAGTTGGTTGGTTGAAACGTTCACAGTTGAGTCGTGCTCATGTGATTGCCTTGCTTTTATGCTCTTCATTAAACAAATGGGTATCGCCTTCCGTTCATTTCACTTTGCTAGGGAAGGAGTAGGGTGACAAAAGGCTTCCTTTTCCCGATCGTATCGTAAGCTTTGCCCAAGTTCCCTTGGAACTTTCTGTGTACTGACGTGTCCTTCACGTTAAGGGACTGTAATCAGTCGTCAAGGGCTCTTAGGCCACTAGATGTTGAAAGCAGGCACAGCTAATGTGGAAAACCTGCAGAAGGATATTGAGTCCTAGTCCTCAACATCAGGCCAATCAATTTGCAAGTAATATTTTCCCCATTAAATGTGCCCCCTTTCAATATTTTCGCTCGCTCCGAGAGTTTTTGATGACGGTTAAATTGATGAATTTTTGTAAAGAGACAGACTTCAAACTTTTTCTCGCCACGCGGGTAACAGACCCGTCATAGAAAATTGGAATGCTTGCCCGCTGATAGGATGGCAAGATCATCATTAAGCTAGAATGAAGTTCAAGTTCAGAGGAGATAGTACAGGCAATGTTTGATTGTCACATAATTAAAGGAAAAAAATTTATGGTTCGAGTTACCATCACAAAAGTGAACGATTTCTAAAACGACTTATGGGCTTAATATGAAAATATGTAATGAACAAAATTATGGGAAAGGTCATACATCCTCCACAAACGACTTTAAAGCCTGAATCGGCACCCATTGAAGTTGTTGCCGAGTGTACAGTGGGTTTGGCGAATAAGTAAATTCGGAACTCTACGGTCAACAATTAGCTAGCCTAAAATTAACGGAGCTTGGTTGCAATGTTTTGGCGCGCTCACCATATAGTCAAAGCTTTGCACCATCTGATTACCATTTATTTTGATCTTTGCAAAACTCTTTTTTATTGAGAAAACTGGCCGACTGAAGAGCCGCTGATAATTATTTGGCCAAGTTATCCATTGATAAAGTACAGAAGTTCTATCCTTTCGTAGATTTTTTAATTATCAATATTTAGTCCAATGATTTTCTTATACCTTGAGCTTTATTGCATTCCTCTCTTATCCAAAAATATTAGAACAGTTCATGAAAATTGATCTTTTTCTTCGAGATAGGTAGGTAGAATAGTTAGAAATGGTTATCGGGTATCAGCTCACTGGCCCATTGCGGTGCCACTGAGTTCCTAAAGATTCCTACCCGCTAATCAAACCAGCCGCTATTTCGCTCAAGTTTCTAAAGGTTGTCGCACCTAGAGATCTAAAGTGCGGGTTCTTCGCAAAGAAAGTGGTTCAGGTTCTTCTTCTTAACTGCAACTTCTACATAAATCGGTAAAAGGTAAGCTCAACATTTCGTGCGTGCCTGCCCAATAGAAGGTCAGGTAACCTTCTTTTATCCCACGCATTGAGACTTCCCATCTGGAGTAAGAATTTGAATGAATAATTTCCTGTAATGAACCGCATGTTCAGGCACCGACGCTATGTTCAAAGAGAACTGCTAAGCCATTACGTTAAGTGATCTGCGTCAATTCTCTACGATTTTCGTTTTTATTGTTGCAGATTCCATTATCTAGTCGTGATCCATCCGTATAAAAATGAATCGAGTCTGTACTTTTTGTATTTTCCTATCCCATTGGTTTTTTGTCATAATATTAGTGAAAGTTATGCATTAATTATTGTTCCTTTCTGGTAGACGGAATCTTCTTATGATAATAATTTTCATTCGTACATCTTTTATAGCCTTACCGCGACACAAGAAACATTATGCCGGCCCATAATGGCAATGGGAAGTATATCCAAGACACTCATTTATGCATAGGCTTTCATAGCCTCCGATGAGGTGGTACGTAATGCTCCACTAGTGCTAAGTCCACCGGTCCTCCATAAAGACCTATAAGCCTAACAACCGAATGTAAAGCCAACGCACTCTATCAGGTGGCTTGGTCATTTTCCGGCCTGTCGCTGATGGACGCCTTACGCATCCTTTTGTCCAAGTTTTGTGACAGCTTTGTTTCTAGTACTAGCGAAAAGAACAAGTTCTGTCTCTTGAGGGTTAAAGCCTAACCCCACAACATGAACCCATTTTTCTATCCACCTTAGTTCGCACGGCATGTCGTCACTCAAAGTTAATCTGAGTTTATTTGGCATTCACTGTAATCGCCCGATTGCCCACATGCCCTATGCCCATGCATCACCCCTCCTTCGCCGTAATCCTCAGCGATTCGTTTATTGCTAAGATCCATAGAAGAGACGAGAGGGATCCACTCAACGGAGTGCCGATATTCCCGAGTGCTCAGAACTTACGAATAAATTTCGTTGAAAAAATAATAATAGTTTTTATTCTTTAACTATTTTGTATATAAACTGTAGTGAGACCCCTAAACATTTGCGACAGCCTTTATAATTTTGGTATAAATCTCTATTCCTTTCAGATACACATCCGCCTGTAGAAACTCATCATGATCATGCAATAAGACCGGCGTATTGTTCATGGGCGAGAAGCCAATGGCTGATATGCCAGCAGCACGCACATAACAGCAATCTGTACCAGCAGGAAACACAAGTGGCTGAATTTTAAGCGATCTGAGGAACAGTAAAATAAAGTAAAAAAAAAAATTGATAATGAAAAGAAAATATTTAGAACATACAATTCCTTGAGAGCACCCTCAAATGCTGTCCAGTAGGGATTAGAGGCATCAATTTTGGTTCCTTCCAATTTTGGCTCCTTCGTTTCATAGACAATTTCAATGCCACCACCAGCTTCGTTACACCAACTCTTTAACTTAAAGAAAAATAGAATGAAGAAAGATCATAATTGTGTCATAGCTGCGGAGGGATTTTCTTACCTGCCTATCGAAAGCGTCATGATCCACATCTAATGCTAAACGCATATCGAAAACGGCTTCGATAACTGGAGGCACAACATTGCTTTGCACACCACCCTTTATGACGGTCAAATTGATGGTTGTTACATCGCCAAGTTTGAAAAATGGATTAGTTTTCAATCGAACGATTTCGCTTTGTCGAAACTCCATCAGTTTATTGAGCATAAGATTCAGCTTTTCGCCAACTGTATTTTGATGCAACAAGGAACCATGTCCAGCAGTGCCGGTGATAATGAAATGCACATCTGAAATAAATTGTAGTAGAAAAATTAAAAACAAAACAAGTAAACAATGCTAAGTTCGGCTGGAACCCAGCATTAGATCAGCTGATATTTATGCTAAGACCGCAGAGCCTGTTAAAAATAGCAGATCTGTTATATGGGTGGTAGGTGAACCGTTTTAGACGTACTTTAGTCCTCATTAAAAACAGCATACCTGTGTGTTCTGTAGAATAATCTAGGACAAAGGCGTTGTTGTTGTCCGATTGTTCCCCTATTTAATTTTGTTCATAGTAAGCCATTGGAATCAGAAGTACCAAAATCTTGTCGAATTTTGTCCAGTTCTATCCAAGATATACTCTTGCCCCAAACGTACTGCTATGTCCTCAAAAAAATTTGTACACCACTCGTATTTTCCCATATAATGCCACGGTTTCTAATATATTAAGACTTTTAAAAGTAACCGTTATATTGGAGGTGGGCTTCAACATTTCATATCGTGTGCACGGAAGGATGGAGATTTCTTTTGTGATCTGTATCTCGCATTTCATAAGTGCGATTGTATTACGCTAGATGGCGCTATAAACATGATCACTTAACTCAGTAGTATTTCAAAGATGGACCATCAAAGAGAAAATACTCTGTATTCTACAGTTTCTAGGCAAGTCGGGTAGTTGAAACTGTGAATAGTGCTTCTGGCTCTGATATTGTGAGAGTCTATGATGCACAATTTCGGTTTCGTCGATTTTGTTCCGATAATTTTGATGTAAAAGATGTTCCATGTAAATAATGGAAACCGTCGGGTCTCACCAAAATGAAATCGTTGTTTCGATTGCACAAAAGTTAAAACACAAAAAATTGCTTGGAACCACTTGAAACAGGCTGAATACACAAAGAAGCTCGATATATGTTTGCCACATGAGTTAACCAGAAAAAACCTCATGGACTAAATACCCATTCGCGAACCGCTGTTGTATCGTAAAAATATATATATATAATATATAATTGACGCCTTCTAATCGCTGAAGTCATTTTCGGCCGAGCTCTTGCTCCATTTTGTGGCTTTGCATCTTGATATCCCTTCCAATAAACGGAGAGGCGTACAGTTTATACTAAGCCACCTCCGAAGGGGTGATGGTTTATTTACGAGGAGCTTTATTTTATTTTAGAAATACGATCGTAGGGGTTGACATTCCTTGCCGAGGGGCGACCGAAATTGGAAAATTTAGTTTAATTTTTTACTTAAATTAATTTTCTATAACTTTTTGGAAGTAAGTACGAAACCAGCATTTGAATCCGTGCCTTGCAAATGACAGTACGAAGAGCTAACCATTCGGCTACCGCGGCCACAATGAATCCTAATTAAAAAGTGGCTCGCAACGTCAAACGAAAACGGTCATTGTCCAAGCGCAGTGAGCTGTTACAAACGGTCTCCCAGACAGGATTGACAGCCAGGAAGCTTCTGTAAAGTGTTTAGTGGGATTGGCAAGGAATCAGCCCCTATGTGCTGCCCCTATAAGGCCAAACATTTAATGCGGACCATTGCTGTCAACAATTTAACCGTCTGAAGGAAGCCACATCCAGACCACACCATCGCTGCAACTGATTGATATCTGTGGCCAATGATTTGGTCTCAAGAGAAGCCTGTGAAAACCGATTGTCCCAATAGGGACTAGAGCTTCCATGTGAGAGGCATAATGACAACAACTTCAATGTGGCAAAAAGTTATCGAGCAAAACATAGATCGGAAAATTCTAGCTATGGTAAAAAACTTTGTAGAGGGGACTGGTTTAAACAGTTGATGCACGTTTCGTGTTTTGTATCACTGTCAAACGTCTTCAGTTTTGTCTATAATTTAACCATGAATCGTCTTACAAACTAGCAACAAATTATTGAATTTTATAAAAAAAAAGACGTACTCTGTTAAGAAAATTCATCGCCCACTTCTTGGCTTAATGAGCGCGCAAATAAGCAGAATTGTCGACTTTGGAGTGAAGACGAGCCAAAAGCATTGCAAGAGCTACCAATGCATCCAGAAAAGGTCACAGTTTGGTGTGGTTTATGGGCTGATGGCATCATTGGATCGAATTTCTTCAAAGATGATGCGAATCGTAACGTAACTGTGAATGGTGAGCACTGCCGTGAGATGACATCAATATGTAAGAGCTTGACTTGCATGACATGTGGTTTCAACAAGACGATGCCACATGCCACACAGCACGCGTAGCAATGAACTTATTGAGAGGCGAGCTCGGTGAACATATTCTTTCACGTTCGGCACTGGTCAATAGACTATTTTTCGTGGGGCTATGTTAAATCTAATGCCTATACAGACAAGCCCGCTTCAATTGACGCAATGGAGGAAAACATTGAAGCATTTATACGTGAAATACCGGCCGAAATTGGACTAAGCGGATGGACCGTTTAAGGCGCAGTCACGGTTAACATTTGCATTAAATAATCCTCAAACATTACATTTTTTATGGACCGTAATATCGATTTATATAAAGATTTCATGTATTTTTATGACAAACTTTCCTATATCTCTTAAAAAATCACTTTTTACAACACCTAGTTTTTTTTAAGCTACTCACGCCACAAACTTCTTTCTGCATAGAAGGCAGAAAATGTTTCCTCTTCAGTTGCAATGCCTTCGTCGAAACAAAAACCGATATTTAATTTTTTAAATTCTTCAGATTTTACAAAAGCCTGCATACCCATGGGGCTGCTGATTTCTTCATCTGGAAAATGAATTGGTGAAAAATTGGAAAAATTAATTACTCAGCTTTTTCATTCATTACATTTTCTGCGTACCTGGCATAAATGTCACGTGCAAAGTCCGTTTCAAGGTGGCGCCATTTTTACGCAACGTCCTTATCGCTGCCAAATATTGCATGCCCACACATTTCATATCCTGCGCTCCACGTGCATAAATACGACCTTTGTCATCGATCTCTGCCGCGAATGGTGGATGCGTCCATTTGTCGGCGTAGACCGGCACCACATCCATATGAGAATTCAACATAATTGAGGGCAACTCGGGCTGTTCACCTAGCCATGTTATAACAACAACTGGTTTGTCTACACTGCCGGGATGATAAACGTCAATGGGTAGTCCTAAATTAACGGCTTGTTTTTTCAGAAACTCCACTGTGGGTGCTGCAAAGAAGTATTATTTTATGAGTTATTTTGTCTTATTATTTGACGAATTTTTACGATGAATATGATTAACTAACTAGCCACCCCTAACTATTTCAGTTGGCTCACGGTACTTTTCTGCGCAACCCCAAAAAGAGTTTACGAATAATTCCAAGCGTACTCATCGTCTTTACACTGCAGCTTGACGCTTCGTGGCTTGATGTATCTATCAACTGCAGGTTGTGTACTCGTAAAGTTCTTTTCATCTTCGTTTCGGTCTATACTCTTAATGCTTATCCAGTTTGTGCCTCGTCAGTCTACCTGCAAACGTGGCACCATAACTGGAATTACTAAAAGACCTTCTGCTTTGAGAAGAATAATTTGAATGTTTCTTATATCATATTTTTCCAAAGCAAACAACAAAAAAGACAAAAAACTAAAGACACTACAGAAAAACATGTCATGAATGGTCCTTTGCATCAACGATTGAATCCATTGAGAGCAGCGAGTTTATGATATTGATCATTTTGCCAGTAAAAAGAATCAACTGTTCCTTAGAGGCACTAGAGTTTTTAAAACATCACAAATTTAAAATGAAAACTTCCCAAACAACTCACTTGAAAGAATGATAATTGAGACTTTGAAAAATTCCTTTGGGCTCTCAAGCAATAATATACCCTCGGCAGAGAATGCCTTTAAATGTATTTCCGACCTGAAATAAAAGTTTATGCCGTGCGGAGAGGGCTTAGAATGAAATGTAGGTCCATCTGTATGTCGTAAAACCATCAATTACGGTGTAATTGGAGCAGCAGCTCGGCCGAAAATCACTTCAGCGGTTATAAAGCACCAACTGAATAATATGTAGCAGAGCTCGATACTCATTGCTCCACTGCTCAGGTTAAGTTAATTATAATGAATGGAGGCTCAATTTAATTCAAGTTAAGGCAGTAGTCGTGTAGGACGTCAACGCTTTTTGTGAAGTTTGAGAGAGCCTTGATAACCGATTTCGACACTTTCCCCTGACGTAATACCAAGTGAGATTATTGTTTTAATTATTGACTGGCTAATAGTGGTTTTATTTACCTGGAATATACAGCAATACTACTACCTACATCAATTTTGCTTCTTGTTGAATGACTCTTAGAGCAGCTGCAGCAAAAGCCGTTAGAGAAGTAGCCCATCTTTCCACCATGAGTCCCCATAGCACAGTGCCTGGTTATTACGTCGGCTATTATGATTAAGAAGGTCCTGATGGGTAAGGACTAGTAATTAACCTTCAAACATTTTTAACATCTTGTTTGCTACAAGTGACTAGCCGATCAATGTGCTGCATCTCGCTTCATTCCCCTGAGCCTTAATATTCCTGAAGCTCAGCACACGTTCTCTCAGCGCTGGTTCCAGACTATTCAAGATCGCTTTATTTGATACAAAGTTCAATGCTCGACTTATGTTCTGGAATTACACAGAGCATATCCTTAAGCCATAGTGCTCCGTCCATAATTAAAATTAATTCAAAAATGGAAAAAACTCGTCCTCATGCTCGTTAATATTCGGGTAGTGAAGAGATGAGGGAAGCCCGAGCTATTTGAAAATGTTCGAACAAAGACATCAACACTACTCGACAAGTCCATCCACCGTCGCCACTGATACCGATTTGCACAAGAAAATTTCGTTCAGTGATGAAGCTTTAATAAACAAAATTGACGAATTTGGAGTGATGATAACTCGCAAGCCATTTTCGAGACGCAGTTAAATCCTCAAAAATTCACTGTGTGGGCTCTATGGGCAAAAGGAATCACATCTACAATTATAGCTCTCATTTCAGGATATTTTCTATCTCATGATTTCTACAGACGTTGCAGACGAGAGCAGGAACCTAAAACTTTGAGGTACTTCCTTTGCAAACGCCCCCCACTTTGGAGGGATATGCTGAAGACACCAGAAGGTGTGGAGGTTGTGGTTTTTTTGAACACAAGATGAGGGGTCCACAAAACTTATACGGCTATGTAAACTGACTTTAAGCAATATTAAAAGCTCCGTCAGGATCGGGAACGAATTCTCTTTCAGACAAGGTGTTTTCTCATCATGTGACTACTTAAATTTTTTGCTGGAGAAAATAATGAGAACTTCAGAGCTGAATAGAGAAGGAACAATCTTCTATAAGAGTGTACAGCAGCTGGTGCACGCTGATGATATTGAAATTATGGGCCGTAACAACTACACCGCGGGTTCCACTTTCTCCACACTGGATAAGGAAGTGAAGGATATGGCTTTAGTAGTGAACGGGGACAAGACGAAATATCACATGTCGTCAAACAAACAGTCAGCGCATTCGCGACTCGAATTCAACGTCACTGTTGACAGTCATAACTTCTAAGTGGTATTTCTAATTTCGCCTAACTTGGAATGAGTATAACACTAACAACAATGTAAGCTTGAAAATCCAAAGCAAAATCACTCTTGCCAACAGGTGCTTCTTTGGACTAAGTAGGCGATTGAAATATCCTCTCTCGATGAACGGAAACCAAACTCTACAAGTCGCTCATCGTTCCCGTCCTGCTTTATGATGCGTAGGTATGCACGGTGGCAACATCTGATGACTCGGCACTCGGAGTTTTCGAGATAAAGGTTTTGCGTAAGATTTATGGTCCTCTACGAATAGGCGTCATTGGCGTAGTTCAGCGGTTGAAGGAACAGGTCATGTGGTCCGGAAGGATAAGAATACTCCAGCTTTTAAAGTGTTGGTGAAAGCAGATGAAGGAAAAAAAGGTCCTGACTGTGCTTGGTATCTCCAATTGGCGGCAAAAAAAAAACGAAAATATCAAATGAAAGGCACGATGTTGTAGATTCGGCTAAAATCACGCAAGTGGTGTCTGCGCCAGTAAGATGAGGTGTAAGCTTTCGAGAACTGTATTTCAAAGCCTATGAAAGTCTTAACTTCTTCCTTAGTTTCTCCTTTTTATTAATGAATACAATAAATATACATACATACGCATATAAATTTGTATACGTACCATAGTCAACATCCGGCTGAACACTGGGTATACGCAGATATTCACGAAATATTTCGATCTCCTGATTATCCTTCCAAGAGCTCATTATGACAACACTGTTTGACTAAAAAATTATTAGATAATGAACACTTCAACTTCAAAGTCTATCAAGCTATGCTTTCTTATTAAATTTTAAAACGATAAAGCTCAGAGTATTTTTTTTTTTTTTTGTTTGAGATCAGAGTAGAAAGCCTCACTCTTTTATTTCTAGTTAAATCGCTCATCACTCGCGTAACTTGAATTAAGAGCGAGCTTTTGTTTTGAAATATTACAACAAGTCCCTTAAACACATTGCATTGTTATCATTCTCATATGCAAGTAGTATTTACATTGTTATCTACTTTTCGCAATTGTTTATTATCTTTATGATTTTAAAATTCAATGAATTTAATAAAAAAAAACTTGCACTCACTCTATTTTATGCACAAACACAATTTCACACTCACTCCAAATTGTGAAAAACGGTATTCTCTAAACAAGGGAACTTCAAATACTGAGCCTCTAAGCCGATTTGCTCTTATATTTATGTTCCCCGTTGTGATTGGGAAGAGCAATGTCCACCGCAAAGTCGGTTGGTTGCGAATTTATCTGTATGTCATACACACATACAAACGATATACATATCTGTGCTCACTTGATTATATTTTTTTTAATTATAAAAGAATTGATTAATGCTTAAAAATTCGGTGTAAATAAATAAAAGGCAAGAACGATGGAGCTCTGCCTTTGCGCCTTCAAGGATGCCACTATTCTTCTTCTTTATTGGCGTTGGCACCGCTTACGCGATTACAGCCGAATCAAGATTAGAGCGTCATTCATCTCTTCTTTCCGCTGCCTGGCGCCAGTTGGAAATACTAAGTGAAGCCAAGACACTTTTTACCTGATCCTTCCAACGGAGTGGAGGTCTTTCACTGCCTCTACTGCCACTGGCTGGTACTGCATCGAATACGATTAAAGCTGGAGTGCTTTCGTCCATTCGCACGGCTTGACTTAGCCAGCGTAGTCGCTCTGAACTAAGTCAATATCATCAAATAGCTCGTACAACTCATTGTTCCATCGTCTGCGGTATTCGCTGTTTCCAATGCGGAAAGGACCATAAATCGTTCGCAGAATTTTTCTCTTAAAGACTTCTGAGGCCGAATCATCGGATGTCGACATCTGTAGTCGCACTATATAGTAGGACGGGAATGTTGAGGGACTTGTGGAGTTTGGTTTTCGTTAGTGGAAAGAGGACATATTATTATTGGCGTCCCTAAATAGAGGAAGTTATCCGAGACTTAAGTCAATAATGACGTTTTACTCAAGTCGCGAATGCGATGACGTTTGTTTGATGGCAGGAGATATTTCGTCTTATCTTCGTTCACTACCAGATCTAATCGTTTTGCTTCGTTATCAAGTCTGGAGAAAGTAGAAGAAAAACTGAAGCCACGTTTTATACAGAACGGCTAGGAGAGGGCTTTCCCAGTTCTAACTGTACTTCTGATGTTGTCCAGCGTCAGTTATCCCCTCCGTATATGTTTTGGGAGGATATCAAACTAATAATAGTGGCGTAGTGTCAGCTCGCCGTATTCTGTCCTTAGAATCAGATAAGGAGTAAGTTCGGCGGCCGAGGGAAAACTGGGTTCCTGGTCACAAGGGTGATAATATTACCGAAAGTGTCTTGCTTACAAGCCAGTAACGATATACAAAATTCACTAAAAACGATTTATTATGTATTTTCCGAAAGAGTTGGGTGCCGGCAGATGGTATGATTAAACGCATTAACGGCATTCGAAATCCTGTGCAAGAGCGACAATTTCTTACTTAAACGTTCAACTAAGGACTTCAGGGCAGATGCAAGCAGAATGGCCATTAGTAACAGTGACAGGTGTAAACCCGAGAATTCCCTCTTGCTTTCAGTAGGGCATTAGGCAGAATTCATCTCATATATCTAGCAGTTGACCCGTTCAAACGACTAGAGGAGGCTGGAGGAAATTGGATATTAAAGCTCTTTGGAACTTCGCGAAAGGTGTTGACGGCTTATATGGCGACAACTTTGGTTTGTAACGAAATGTATCTCCATCTGACACTACAAATGACCGACGTGTCTATGTAAATATATCCTAACCTAAACTATGGTGTGATACTCAGTAGCGAAGCTTAAAAAAATCGTGTTCGTGTGTTGAACTTATAGACAGTACTCCTTATTGACAATTTGCTGATGACAGGAATTCTTGATGCACTATGCCATTGAAATCCCAGTGATCATTTACGTGCGGCCAACCCTGGAGAGCTTTTTCCGTGGCATTGACTTGGCGTGCCGTAACGGCGCTACTGTAAGGTTCAAACCTTCAATGCCACATCCGTAAACTGATGTTTCGTCACCTGTTATAATACGTTTCGATAATGCTGTATCTTCATTGACTTATGTAATTTAGTGATGCCTTCGCAACATCCATTCATTGCTGAACGCTGCCACCCTTTTTATGCCATAAACATTAGGAAAAAATGTCATGATATGATGGAAAAAATATTCGAACAGCATCTTAGACTACTCTTATTGTGGTTCGGCGATCGTTCGTTACAATTTCTTTCCACCTTTTCATCGGTTGTTGATGTGCTGTGGCATCCAGGCTCTCTACCTACTTGGAAACACTTATACCACTCTTAGAACCTGTCTTTCCCCAAAGAAAACTTACAATAGACCTTGGTTTTATATGCAAAATTGTGTACAAATGAAAACATCCAAAAGTGTTATCTGACTTCAGGTGCATGTACGCCAGATTAGGTTAGTTTTAACTGGTTAACTCCTCAGGTAATCTCACATACTCAGATATTTCGGGTCTTAATGTATACTGAAGATACTGCATTTTATTCTTTACAAGTGAGATTATCCGTTGTCTGAAAAATGCCGCACACTCAGATTATATGCTGTACGTAGAGTGGGTGGATTCCCAACATTTCCCGCATTTGTTCTCTTCAATCAGACCTGATTTGAAGGTAATACGAAGCCAATAGCCAATGCACCGTTAACTACCCTTGTAGCTGCCTTGAATCTGACCAATTTGTCGCTAGTAGAAACCTAATAAGCTCTCCGTTGTACTTTTTGCATTCCCATAATCGCTATATTGCAGCCTTTTGCTCGTTGCCAGAGCCGATTAGCCTGATGATAAAAATCGTTTTCTTGTGCGTGTTTAACTTAAACTTCGTGTTGCGATAGTGCGTCCTCTTTAGCTAGTTCGGCGACAATCTCGTTACCCTCTATAGCCATATGACCTGGTACCCAGTAAATGCGGATTTTTCTTTTTCCTGTTAATTTTTTCGTTTGCCGCTTAGAAAAGTGCAACCACTGCCGACTTCTTTTAATATGAAAGTAAGGCTTTTATGGCGGAATGACTGTCTATTGTACATAGCTAAGTAGTACCTCTGCCGCCAAATACCTCGGTTTGGCTTATGCTGCAGTGGTTACATCGATTGAATGATCGTTCACTTTCCTGTACATTTTAGAACCATCTTTAAAGCTATGCACGTAAACTTGAGTCCCTTTCGTCATCGTTCTGCCTTTGTGGAAGCGGTCAGAAGTTTCTGGGAAGTCAAGCTCGGCACAATGGAATCTATGCGTCTACTCAAAGATCACGTTACACTGCTGTGCCCATATGTTCTGACTTTCAACTGACTTATGGCGTGTAACCTAGAGACATTTATGAATGCCCCGCTTTTAGTTACTAGGCCTGCTGGTGGTAGTATTGTTTCAAGTGCTCCGGTGATGCTGATCATTGAAATTCTGAAGACTCTTTCCAGCCTTTCCAGATACTTTATTTTCATCTGTAGCACAACCGTAACAAAGATCCAGTGTAATGGGAACGGTAACAGGTCTCAAGTGCAGTCTACGTCCACACGTGTGCCTTGTTTATTCCCACTGCATATTGAGCCTCCACGACAATTTGCTATCCAACAGAATTGCCATGTCCTTAGGTATTCTAATCGCTGGGATCTGTGCTATCAAACGAGAGCGGATTTTTGAGCTAATTTTATGATTTATCAAATTGCAATTACGAAATTAGTTTTTTTAAAACTTAACTTTAAAATATTAGATGATGGTCTGTGCAGATTTCGAACTCACGACTATCAAACGTATTAGTAAGCGCTGCCAACAACTCTGCTAATGCGCGCGAATATACTACGGTTTATCATTTTCTGGGTGGTTAATTGAAACTAATTTGTTTTGTTTTGAGAATTCTTACTATATTTAATCATTTGAAAGTTTATTGCACTCAATAGTAGGTAATCTGTCGCTCTTATCATTATTACACCACAAGCAATTAATGAAAATTATACCACAAAAAAAAATTACTTTTGTGTTAATGTCATTTACAACTGATAGATAACTCAACCAACGATTCCATGCCATATAAGTACAATACTAGTGCATGAATGTCAATTAATTGCAATTGCATATTTTAATTTGAAAACTCATATACATACAAATAGATGTTCATATATGTAACTAAAATCCATCCCTGCAAGAAGGCTTCCCATCATTTGAGCCAACATACACGGTGTATCCCATAAATAACCGAACTTTATATTTAAATCATACAACATACAGCGCCATCTATTGATAATTTGCAACATTAAAAAGATACATCCTCTTTCAAATGCACTTAACATCATGTAAGTCGGATGACAGATGTAAAGGTGACAACCATTTCAATAAAACCAAAAGTATGCTAATGGTTCAAAAATAATTAAATGACGACCAAAAAATCTCTCGCGTGGAGCATTGCAAAGACATTATTGAAATTGCTGAAAACGATCCAGACTTCCTTGATTCGATCATAACTGGTGATGAGACATGGTGCTTTAAATATAACCATGAAACTAAGCGTCAATCTGCTGAATGGAAGTCCAAAGGCGAGCCAAAACCCAAAAAAAAAATACGTTTTCAGTAGTCTCAAATCAAGACAATGTTGATTACTGTTTATGATTTGAAGGGTATTGTCCACAAGGAATTTGTTCCAGAAGGTCAAACTGTTAATGGAGAATACTATCTAGGCTATTTACATCGTTTGTGGAAAAGAATCGGTCGTGTTAGATCAGAATATCCAGCAGGAAAACAACTGTTTTCATTGCACGATAATGCACCACCTCACAAGACCAAAAAAGTGAACGAATTTTTAATGAAAAAAGGGATTTCTCTCATCGACCATCCTCCGTATTCACCTGATCTAGCATTATGTGACTATTTTTTATTTCCAAAACTGAAAACCAAGCTGAATGGAGCATTTTATGATGATATCCCAGCCATTCAAGCAACCGTAACCGAGGTACTGAAGAACATTTCTATAAATTACATAAAAAAATCTATGCATGCGCTGGTTGATCGTTCCAAACGTTGTATTGAGTCAAATGGAACCTATTTTGAATAAATAATAACTCTCAAAGATAATAAAATGTGTATTTTATTTTATATCCAAAAAGTTCGGTTATTTTTGGGACACACCGTGTATGCATGATGTCATATGCCGTCAGCACGTAGAACGATTTTCCAATCACTTTCTTAAGGCCGAAATGATAAGTGTGATGTTTACATTTCTATAATAATTTGTAAATCCAGATTTAATTTCATTTAACTATCAATTCAACAAAATTAGTTAAAAACCAATTGCAAAATCTTCTATATTTATTTCCCACCTAAAATCATAATAAAAATTATACATTTTCTATACAAAATTCAATAGAAACAAGCGCAGTCTAAGCGTTAGTAACAGCTGGAATAATTGTCTTATAGTAATCAATTCCTTTTAAATACACATCTGCTTGTAGAAACTCATCATGATCGTGCAACAGCACAGGTGTATTGTTCATCGGCGAGAAACCAATGGCTGGGATGCCAACTTGACGTATATAACGGCTGTCGGTACCACCAGGAAAGACAAGTGGTTTGATTTTCAGGCCACTAAAGTAAAAAAAAATTAAAAATTCTAATATGAAATAATAAACAAATTTAAAAGTCACATGTGTACTTACAGCTCCGTTGTCGCGCGCTTGAAGGCCAACCAAAATGGATTGGAGTTATCAATTTTTGTGGCTTCCACTTTGGGTTGCTTTTGTTCAAATTTGATTTCAACACCACCACCAGCTTCCTCGCACCACTTGTTAAGCTATATAAATAAATAAATATGATAAATAGCTTTACTCTAAGATATTCAACAATAAAAAGGGAAAAGAAGTTGCAATGAGAATAAAGAAAGATCCTTCTCTTTATCCAGTGACTTCATAAAATTGTGTATATAAACATACATATGTATGTATAATTTGCGCTTTATGAGCGGTGAAGTGATTTTCCGGTGCGCATATTCTGAGCTGAGGGACCTAGAGTTTATTATAAGCCGGTTCGAAGAGGCGACCGTAATAAGAAATAATTTACATTCTATGATTTTTGGCTAATCGTTTTTACTTAGAGTTACTTAAGCTGGAGAAGTTTCTCCGATAAATTCAATATAGCATTACGGCTATACTTGATTCTTAAAGCAATGTCCTATTCATCAAGTCATCTTGGAAACAGCACCATTCCACGATCTGTAAGAATGCCTGTGAGCAGAACTGATAGAGCTATACTGAAAAGAGGAATGGGCAATATATTGTTTCGCAGATTCTTTACGTCTTACGTATTCATAGAAGCAGCATCAAGTTGGTAGAACCCAAAAATGTAGTGCCTGTCCAAATTGTTCGATACTAAAAGAGGATTGAAACCGTGTAGCTATATATCATATAGAACTTTATATAAACATTAGCTTTATGACCGCTGAAGTGACTTTCTACCGACCTCTTCGTGAGATGGCGGATCTGTATGTTATTCTAAGCCGCCTCCTAACGACTTGTAAACTGTTATAAGGATATTTTCATTTCATGTCAGAAATATACGCAGCGAGGTTGACATTCCCTGCCGAGAAGAGAAGGGATCGCAATCAGAAAAAGTAATATTCTTTAATTTTGAATCGATTCTAATGGCTAATTGATGTCCTCCAGATGGACGAAAGCATTATAGCTTTAAAATTATTCGATGTAGTACCTGCTGACGGAAGCCGAGGAAGTGAAAGATCTCCACTACCTTGGAAAGAGCAGGTGGAATATTGCTACGGGAGTTAACAAGCAACGTTTAACTCTACAGGCTGCTCATCATTGTTGACCTGTATGATGTTGTATGGTGGACGATAAACATACGGGAAAAAGGTTTTCGGAAATTTTTTGGACTCTTGTGTACTGACGATGGCGAATATTGTTGTGACAATGTAAGTTGTACGACGAAATATAAAGTGGTATTGATATACTTAGTTCAGGGAAGCTTAATTCGCTATTATACCCATCAGTCCGAACAGGTATTTCTGACATGAAATAAGAGTTTCTTATAAAGATCTTAAAAGACGTTAATTATAAGTCGGACGCCACCGAATAGTCAATCAATCCACATATTAAGAGTATTTCAAAGTCAAACATCTACCCGGGTCGTTCTAGTATAAAGACCCGACTGTCGCGGGTTTAGTTGCCTCTGACGACAGGTATGCCTTAACACGGGTATATTCTTGAACCCCTAAACCGCAGGGGCTACCAAGCATTTGCAATAACAAGTTGCTTTAAACAACAAGACTTTCTGTCTGATATCAAACTTCGAAAGGAGGCCAAAATGAGTAAAAATCTAGGTACATTTGTTGAGATTGGTAAGATTTGATCGCATCGTTATTACTTTTAGCTGGGTGACTGAAGTAACTTGTTGTTGGTTTCTTCGTCTCTGCTGGTTTTAACATCAATTGAAGGCCTTTAAAAGTTCAATAAACCACATCATACAGAGAACTATTCTTCAGTCAAGCATGTTGTCCACGGTAAATGTATGCCCAAATTTGATTTTGACATCTCATTGCTGAGAGTCTGCGTGTGCTTTACGAGAATAGTTTCCTCGTTGTTCTTTTTAGCTAGGAAACTGGCACAGTTCGGAGTGAGTCTTATGATTGCTTTAACATTTAAGCTTAAGTTTGAATCCTTTAAAAAAGAAACCGCGCATAAAGATTCATAAAGCTCTTCAAGGGAACCTCTTCAGGCGTAGGATATCCTTGAGGTCTTGCAGATTAATAGTCAATTGTATTCTTTAACTTAATTCATTAGCAACTACTGTAACTTTGCTCGCCCTCACCTGCTTCTCGAAATCATCATGATCCACATTTAAGGCCAAACGCATATCAAAAACAGCTTCCATTGTAGGTGGCACCACATTACTTTGCACACCACCATTGAGACTGGTTAGGTTAATGGTTGTAACATCACCAATCGTTAGAGAACTATCTTTTGCTAATCGTTCCACTTCGTGTTGACGGAAGTCCATCAGTTTATTGAGAATAAAGTGCAGTTTCTCACCAACGGTATTCTTATGCAATAACGAACCGTGCCCGGCTGTGCCGCTAAATATGAAGTGAACATCTATGGGTGTGAGATGTATGAAAATGATCAAAATCCATTTTTTTTTATCAACTCCCAACTCAGCACTTACGCCAAATGCTACGCTCCGCATAATACACTGGGAAAGTCTCGTCCGCCGATGCTATGCCCTCATCCAGTGAGAAGCCAACATTTAAGTTCTTATATTCCTTTGATTTAACAAATACGCGCATGCCCTCTGTACCACCAATTTCCTCATCTGTAAAAGCAAAGTGTTAAACGTTTAGCAATTAAGTTTATTATTTCATAAAAAAAAGCATAACTGTTCTTGTATGTATGTACATATATCTAGAAGTAGACGCGTGTCATAAACAATATAAAATTATACAATGAGATAAATTTGACGTGGGTAAAGAAGGTCTATATAAATCTACAACGATATTTGATTATGATAGTCTAGCATCTACTTGACAAATCCATATTTACTTACCCGGCACGAAAATCACATGAATTGTACGCTTTAAGGTCACACCGTTCTTACGTAGCGCACGTATCGCCGCCAGATATTGCATGCCCACACATTTCATGTCCTGTGAACCACGTGCAAATATACGACCCTCCTCGTCGATATCGGCAGCAAATGGTGGATGTGTCCATTTCTCGGGAAACACGGGCACTACATCCATGTGTGAATTCAAAACGATCGTCGGCAACTCTGGTTGCTTTCCCACCCATGTTATGACAACGACGGGCTTGGTTGGACCGGCGGAGTGATAAACTGCAATTGGTAATCCCAAATCGGTTGCTTGCTTTTTCAGGAAGTCTACGCAAGCGGCTGAAAAAAGGAATATGTGGTTGTGATTTAAAAAAAAAATTCATTCGAACTGAGCTTGTCTGGAATGTAGTTCTTTGAGGAAACACATCATCCCTAAACCAAGTAAGTATGCATAAAACTTTCCAATTTACTTACTATAGTCCACGTCTGGATGTACACTAGGTATACGTAGGTATTCACGAAATATCTCGATCTCTTGATTATTCTTCCAGGCGCTCATTATGTTACTGAACTGCGGATAAAAAAGCAACGGAAGATAGAAGTTATACGAAATGTATCTGCAGAAAACAACAAAATAATTGACTACATGGTCTTTAAGATTATACGAATGCTGATAATCTCAAGTTGAAAAAGTAAAAGATATGAGAACAAACACAACAAATCTAGCGACACTGATCTCAGGGTATTTTCTGAATCTAAGCTTCAAGGTAGGCCGCTCAGAAGGCTTGCGTTTAAATCCTGCTGTCGGATTAACATCCAAAAAGTTAGAGAAAACTAATTTAAATAAAGAATTAAGCTAAATTTTCTAATTACGGTCGCCCCTCGGTGGAGAATGTCAACCCCTCCGAGTGAAATAAAGGCTCCTCATAAGAAACCATCAGCCGTTCGGAGGCGGCTTAGTATAAACTGAAGGTTCCTTCGTTTGTTGGAAAACCCACCGAGACGCAAAACCGCAAATTAGAGGAAGAGCTCGGCCGAAAATCGCTTCAGCGGTTACAAAGCGCCAATATATATACATAAGCCTTAGGATAGTTCATGGACGAGAATTCCAGTTTCATATTAGTAGAAGACAATAAAAGTATTGACTTTTATGCAGAGGTAAACCACCTAAATCTATTGACAAGCGGCAGTTAAGGCCCTGAACATCGCCTGGATCTTAAGTCATACGGATGTAGAGGGTAATGAAAAGGCTGATTCACCTTGCTGCGATTGAGGTTGTCACTTTTGACTGCCTCAGACCTTTCAGCGTATTCAAATGTTGCCTAAAGCAATGGATCCTAGAATTTAAGTATAGTTACAGCCTGAAAGTGCTGTACGATAGCGTGCATTGCAAACACATAAAACTGTTACCTGCGCTAAACAAAATGGAACTTAATATTCTGATAACTGTACTCACGGGGAATCAGCCACGGAGATTTCATATTTTCAAACTAGGTAATCAGCGGAGTAGAGTGTCACTGCACTGACTACCTCATATCGCCCAAGTGGAAGATAGCTCTCCAGCTCGTAAAGAATTCGATGCAATAGCCGCTGTTGGAAACAGAAGAAGACCTCCACGCTCTTTATAGGTTGAGGTACAGAGCAATCATGTTTCACTTGGTATTATATTAGGAAATGAATGGTGCGTTGTTGTTAATTTGGCTATAATCGTGTTAGTGGTGCCTGAGAAGAAGATGGGAAACTCTGGAATACTACATTTTCAAATGTCTGGCCTTCAAGAGAACAGGAGACGTCATATCTTACACGATGCCTCAAGCGCGGAACCAAATGAAAATGGGCACACATGGATAGGAGAGAATAAATCGAGTTAACAAGCCTAAATCCATAAACTGTTGGCCCACAATTTCGGCCATTTACGATGGATATTTTCTTCCAATAACCTCAATAACACTCTTTATGGACCGTCTGTTCCATTGGAACGAATTCATTATGGACCAAACCAAGAAAATAAAAAAAACGCTATCCGGGAACTTTGTCCGGAATGATTGAAGGATCAACCCACAGCCTGAGCTACTGGTCGTAGAGACCTGAAACTAGGAAGGTGCGTTTTGCGTATGACGTACGCATTCGATAAGAAAGATTCGGAAAATGGCTCTGGGACCCATCTATTTCAAAAAATCGAATTTACGATTAAACAGTTTGATTCACATGAGATATGGTACATAGGTATTTCTTTGCCTGAATTGATATGGTGGAACACTTCTTCTTCTTCCACTTCCTGGAACCAATCTATTCTAAGAATTTGTATTTGTCATGTGATTTACATAAGATTTGGTACAGTAGTAATTTTGGGCCCAAATTACCATTTCGTATACTTTTAGACTTGGGACCGATCTATGTATTTTTATGAGGAGCTTTTTTATTTCATTGCAGACATTCACTCGAAGGGCTTGACATTTCCTCAACTTGTTTCAACAATATTTTTTTTTATAATTATACAATAGATGTTGGTCAAAACAGAACCCGAACCACGGTTCGGTCATCCGAAGTGCAGTGCTAACCAATCCGCAACTGCCGCCGCCAAAAATTACATTTCACTGAACTTATTTATTGTTTTAGAAGACTTCAACAAGTTATTAACAAACTCTTAGAGGATCCAGGATCAAATCCTCCAACAATTTATGTTAAAGAATTGACGTTGAAGTTTTGAATCAACCCTCCTTCAACAAAAAAATATGAAGTATAATATCCAAGGAAATCCCACTCACTTTGCGGTCGCAAAGTAAGACGTTCCCACGACAATTTCGGAAATGACCGAAATCGCTGTCCGGTCAGAGCTTGCATCGTTGAAAATACACAATTAGGCAATTACAATACTTCAATTTTGCAGATAAGTATCATATCGTATAATAAATCATACATACACGTACATACATATATTTGTACATAGTATAGTTGTGTATACGCCAGTTTCTGTCAATTTAATTCCACTAATGCATATTGAACGATCCAAATAAATTGTTCGCTTTAGCAAAATAAATTTACAAAAAGAAAAAATTTTTTATTTTTAAATGAATTTTTAAACTACAAACAAAAAAGAAAACAAAAATTATTGACGGGCTATAGAGGTTTTCTAGGCCATCAATATGTGACAACCACCAATTGGTTTTATATGGAAATGAGAATCACTTCGAATCTGACACACTTGTTGTAAACACATTTTCCACATAAATATTTTACACAATTTTCTTGCGAACATACATACACACATATATACCATACATATATACCATACATTCATGCGCAAAGTATATACAATAGTACTCAAGAAATAAGACCGAATCACCTTTTTTTTTGTATTGAATTAATGAAAAATTCACAATCTTAAATCCGTTTGATTTTTTTTTTTCACCCAAATCAGCTGTGTTTACGTTGGAAATACGTATTTTCTTTTGCCGACGATAATTTATGTATATTCAAATGCAGTATCAATTGACCACGCGCAATTCGCGAAAACTCTTTTAATACTGGAGAGCTTGATGCCAACGCCAGAGTATTTAAGCACTTCAAGAGGAGCCGATAAGATTGTGAACATTTTTTTACGTATTATTGGAGGCATATGGGAATGTTATAAGAGTAAAGACCCCCGAAGAAAAACTATACTTGTATTTTCGGTATACAATACAATTACAATGATGTTTAGAAATCATGATTTGTATGTTACAAGTAGACATTTCAAACAGTGTTTGAGACATTCAAAAAAAAAAATACTAAAAAGGACAGAAGCAAATTTTACACAAAGTAAAATACCTTTTATCCGAGATCTTGTTGGAAAACATATGCTTCACATAAGTACGCTTTTCCACTATGGTGGGCGTAATAAATATATGTAGGCATACTCGTACTCGTACATACTCATACACGTATGAGTTTACATATGAAAAGATTGCCGGTGTTCGCTTTGGCATTTGTGATCACTGCTGAGAGTTTGTCTCCCACATTAAGGAGGGTGGATCATATACTAGTTATTACTTTTATATTTTGATTTGATATTATGTTTTTTTCTTTTATTTTATATCATTGTTTATTTTGTTTTTTAGTTTATTTTATACTGTTGAATTTTATTTTCTCTTATATTATTTATTTTAATTGTACATTACATTTATTTTACTTTATTTTATCTTATATTATACAAGTATATTTTGTTATTTAATTTTGATTTAATTTACTTCGTTATAATATTTATTTTTTTTTTATTTCATGTAATACAATTTAATTCAATTAATAGGTTTTTTAACCAATTTTTTGTTTAATTTATTTTTTTAAATTTCATTTTATTTCATTTTATTTTGTTTCATTTTATTTTAAAAATTTTAAGTTTTTTTGTGTCATTTTATTTCATTCCTTTCTTTTTGTTTTATTTTGATTTATTTAGTTTTTTTTTATCCTATTTTATTATATTTTATTTTATTTTATTTCATTTCATTTAATTTAATTTAATTTTATTTTGTTTTACTTTATTTCATTTTATTTTGTGTTATTTCATTTTATTTTAATTGTTTTTATTCTATTTTATTTATATTTTTTATTTTATTATTCTATCTATTTTTATTTTATTTTTATTTAAATACAAAATATATTTATTTTTATTTTATTTTATTTATTTATTTTTTCTTTTATTTTGTGTTATTTAATTTAATTTTATTTAATTTTTTTATTTTCTTTTATTTCATTTTATTTTTGTTTATTTTATTTCATTTATTTCAATATTGTTTTAGGTTTTCATATTTTATTTTTATTTAAATTTAAATTAGTTTATTTTATTTTTTTTTCATTTTCTTTTTTTATTTTATTTTATTTTGTTTTGTTTTGTTTTATTTTATTTTATTTTATTTTATTTTATTTTATTTTATTTTATTTTATTTTATTTTATTTTATTTTAATTCATTTTATTAAATATATTTTTATTATTTATTTTTATTTTATTTTAATATTATTATAATTTATTTTTTTTTATGATATTCAATTTTATTTTAATTAATTATATAATTCTATTTCAATTTGTTTTATTCTAATTGATTTAATTTTCCCGGTTTTATAATTTATATAGTATTATTCAATTTTATTTTGTTTTCTTTCAATCATTTTTTATTTTGCTCTATTTTATTTCATTTTAACATATTTTATTGTGATTTATTGTACTTCATTTCATTTATTTTATTTTGTTTAATTTTTTAATTTTTGCTAGGTTGAAGTTTTTATTTATTTCATTCCTTTTTGTTTTTTTTTTAACTTTTATTTATTTCGTTTAGTTTTATATTTAGTTTCTTTCAAAGTATTTGATTTTATATTTTCATTTCATTTATTTTAATTGTTTTATTAATTTAACTTTATTTAATTTATATTTTAAATTTTTATTTATAATTTTTTTCTCTTTTACTTAACTCTTTTTATGTTAAATAATATTTAATTATTTTTCATCTTATTTGATTTTGAGCTATATCATTGTATCATGTTCTATTTTATTTTACTTTATAAAGTATATTATTAAGTTAATAAAAATTAATTTATTCTATTCTACTTTATTTAGAAAATTTCGTAATTCATTTTGTTTTGCTTATAGTATAAATAAATATAAATATATATATATGTATGTAATTAATTTTGAACCACCCATTAAGAGATTCCCTGACATCAAATTGGAGGCAGCAAAACAGTGAGTAATTTTCGCTTTCTCTCATTCTGAGGGTTTTGTTATGATTTATCATTGTTTGCATAGCTAAGTGACATAATTTGGATTATAAATACATATCCACGTATATTTATACAAACTTAAAGACACATTAACATTGTTTAATTTTTTGAATTTCACAGTTAATCTTATCAAATACACATATTCATATACATACTGGGCAAATGATTTTAGAGCCCCATTAAGTCTAGGGTGTTGTAAAATTCAATTTATATATTTTTGCAAGTGTTCTTAGGTGCAGGAAGATGATAAAAAACGTTGAAGAAAATACTTTTACGCACCTTTATGCGGAATGGAAAACTAAATTCGAATTTCAAATATTTGATTTTATTTTTAAAAAGTTTGCAATATCAAAATTTGACACAAAAACAAACCGAAATTATGGAAACGAAAACAAAAACAGAAGAAAAAACAATAAAAAAAAACAACAAATATAATAGCCACCTGTAAGTGTGCACCGCCCTGTGAATGCGGATTGGAATAAAAACAAAGCAACAAAAGAGTAAATATATGTATAAATGTGTTTTTTATTATAAAATGTGTTTCTCTTTATTTTATTTTGCTTAAGAGTATTTCTCTTTTTGCTTACAAGCAAACTTCCATTAATCAAAAATTAAGTTTTATATATACTAACATGTATGTATGTATGTTTGAACTAATTTTGAAATAAACATTCAACACCTCAAATGTTCAGAAGATGTAGAAATAGTTAATGGTAGTTTTCCAATTAGGGTAGACTGTTCCGTTAACATTTTCATTTTCAGTATTGTCTGGTTTTGGTTTCTACCACAATATATATTTCTGTTAAACGGCTAAAAAGCAATTTTATTTCGTCTATTCGTTTAAAAATATATCTATATGATTGAGAAGGATCATTTATGTCTTAATGCTCTTTATCATTATTTCAAAGATCATATCGATATATTAGGAAATTGAATTATGTGCAAAAAAAAAACGATTTTTCATATTTTTCAATATTTCCATAATTCTTTATTTTATCGAAAATGAATAAGTAATTAAAAAAATGGTTTCATAAATGTGACAGAGTCATGTGTGTCAAACATGTTTAAAAATAATTAGTAATTATTACGATTCTTCACTAATCTGCAGGTACCGTAAATAATGATTATCTGTGTTTTATTTAATGGAGAAATAATCGTTTGCTTAGAAAAGCAGTATAAGCAAACGGATTTTACGATGAGGCGACAACTTGCGCTCTCAATTCAGATCTGTAGTGATTAATCTTCTCATATTTTTCAATTATAAAAATTAAACCAAAATCAAGCAAATTAAAAAAAATTATTGAACTAAAAAAAAAATTAATATCTAATATTTAATATAAAATGTGTAAAATTTTAAAGAATAAAACAAATTAAATAAAGTAGCAAATAAAAAAAAAATAGTAAAATAAATTGCAATAAAATAATATAAAATTGAACTGAAATGAAAAAAGATCAAGTAAAAAAATAAAATAAAATCAAATCCATTAAAAAAATAAAAAGCATATAATAAAATTATGTTAATTGGTTAATAATAATCATTATTATTGTGAGCGAGAAAAATATCACTCGGAAAATAATACTAAATTTGTATGGTTCTTTTTCCGAACGATATCGCTCAATCATTTCAACGATCCATTTTTTTTTTTCTTTTTTTATATACAGTATATTTATTATATGCTTTCTTATTTTGTGCATTTTTGATTTCTTTTTTTTTTCTATTTACTTTATTTGTTTTTATATTATACATTTAGCTTTTAGTTTTTCAATTTATTCTGAAACAATATAATTGGCGCTTTGCAATCGCTGAAGCGCTTTTCGGCCGAGCTCCTCCTCTAATTTATGATTTTGCGTTTTGATGTTTTTCCAAGCTGCAGTTTATACTAGCCAAACGTCGGATGGTTTTTTATGATGAGCCCTTACTTCATGTCAGAAATACACTCGGTGGGGTTGACATTACCTGCCGAGGGGCGACCGCAATTAGAAAATTTTATTTAATTTTTTAATAAAATTCATTTTTAATTTAAGTTGGTCGTAATAGCATTTGAACCCGGGCCTTCCGAATGGCAGTACACAATGCTAGCCACTCGGCTACATCGGCCGAAACAATAAAAGCGGGAAATATTATATGAAAATTTTAGCATCGGGGGTCCTTTTTGGTATCAACATTGTGATTATAACCCGGGAAAACTTCTGATTTCAACACTTATCCTACCATTGCCTTTGAAGATGTTAAAGAAATGATAAATCATCAAAGAACCTGGTTTCAATTATAGAATTTTATTTTTAGGTTAGCTGGAATTATTTTGGCTCGTTATATAAAATAGTAAAACACTCAGGCGTTGTAAACACAAACACATTAATTTAAAAAAAAATGCAATGCATGTACATTTGTGTTATCAGTCATCTCAATTTGTTTATCTCACTAATCTTTATAGTCTTAAGAAAATGCTGTGTAATAATAAATATTCTTTTTTGTTTTGCTTATGCGAAAAGCTACTAAATTTGAAAACATCAAAACTAAACAAACCAGTCGTTCCAGCCGTATATGTTACATACAAACTAGATATAATATAGGCCTATCCAATTCGTGGTTTCAAAAGTTCCAAAATGATGATTCAAACATGGCCAAAAAATTTTGAAGATATTTGAAGAGACCGGATCGATTACAGATATAGTCGATCCTGTGCATCATCGTTTTGCTCCTTCCATCTCAAATATCGCTACCGTAAGAGTGAAAGTGGCCACTATACAAAAAAAAAACACTTATTGACTGGTACGCTCTTTGGTCCGAAGGTACGATTTGTCATCACTTTTTTGAATAGGATAACGGCGAGGCTATCACTGATCTTTTTTTGTGTATATGCGGACAAACCTCTAACACTTAAGCACTTAAAAAATTTTAGTCATGTCTATTTTCTAAACCTCAAAATAAATAACCATGTACGGTACATAATGTAATAACCTGCAGTAGTAGTTGTAGTAGAGTAAATCAGGGGCACATAAATTTAAATAAATTAACTAAGTAAATTCGTTGATCAAATACAACTTGTTGAAATTGTACTATATTTATGTGTGTACGATGTAGATGCAGTTAGTCTTACCTATGAGTGATAAGTAAGTGCATAGTGGCATGCCCAGTAGGAATGTAATGAAATTTTGAAACACGCGCTTTTTAGGACTCAAATATATTTTTAATGTGGAATAAAATTTTAATTTATTAATTTAATGCAAATAATATTTCATTAATAAAATATTTGCTTTATTCATATATCAGGGAATATCAGCTTACAAGCAACTCTTCATCTAACCTCTGAGATTTTAATAATTTTTCGAAAGAAGCCTTTATTCATCCAGACAATTTCAAATGACTGAGCGCGTATATAAAATATGCTTATTTAATTAGAAAATCTAAGCTAATTAATTTTCGAATTTCCCTAATACAAATAAAAAACAAATCAAAAACAAAATCGTTTACTAAATTAAGAGGTTAAAAATATCTGAAGATGACTTAATGTCGAGACGCAATTGCATGGCAATTCTTAAATTCAATGCAAATATTTCCTACAAAGCACATGTATATTCTATATGTACGAGTACATAATATAAGGCAAGTAAATGGATGTAATCTGTATGTGATCAGATATCCCAGTGAAAATAAAAAATTTTTGCAGTGCGACTAGTATGGCTATCGATAAACAGTGAAGTCTACAAGCCATTGCGGTAGAAGTGATTTGCATTTGCTAATCTTTTTTGTGTATCAGCTGTTTTTCTACGTTAAAGAAGGTTTTGCGTTTGGCCTGTATGGCCAGGTATCCTCAGTTTATTAGCTTCTATAATTTTGCTTGAAATTGTAAGAACTTAACGTCAAGCCGATATACATAGTTGGATTCTTGATAAAATTGTTATTAATCCTTTTAAATTTTATTTCTTATGTGTACATATATGAAATTTCTAATTCCAAAAACGCCACAGTGTTTTCCGTACGAAAATTTTGGTATAAGAACGCGCGTTGGAAAACACGGCTATTATTCCACTTCCGAATTATTTTAGAGTTCAGAAATTTGTAGGATGGAGCGAAACTCTCACTGATGTCATTAAAATAACGTTAAATCGTGGACGTTAGTTACCAAATGTACTTTTTGTAAACTCAGTGAAAGTACGAGGAATGTCAGACTTTTCGGCGTTAAAATTTTACACAAACTAAGAACTGAGCGTGGTTAGTCTTGGCCTCGTTAACTACTGTTTTTCGAACACGCTTCAAGACGGGTTTCACCGACTAGTTGCCAAGTAGTACCATTTAGGTAAGATCAATGTAATCGCTCCTATTTTACTACATGGTTCACTCTAGAAAAATAAAATAAAAATAATGATAATTTTGCTTAAGTTTAAACGTTAAATCGTTGTTGGAAATTTAGTTCAGTGCATTGTCAACTTTCAGCGTTGAACACTGTTTTATAACACTATAAATATGGCGAGGAAAGCAGAATGGGAAGCTAACGAAGAGTTAGAATATTTTCGAGAATATCTGCGCATTCCAAGTGTACATCCAGATCCTGATTATAGTAAATATCCGGTGATGGTATAATAATATCATAATAAACTTAGCTTTTCTTATTAAATATTTATAGAACCATGTGTGACTTTCCTAAAACAACAAGCCAAGCTACTAGGTCTTCCAATTCAAGTACACTATCCAGTTAATGATCGCAATCCGGCAGTGATATTAACATGGCTTGGCAAGGAACCCTCATTGCCATCCATACTTTTGCACTCACACATGGATGTAGTGCCTGTATTTCCGGATAATTGGTCCCACCCGCCATTTGGCGCTGAAATAGATGATGAGGGTCGGATATTTGCACGCGGCACACAAGATATGAAATGTGTTGGTATGCAATATCTGGGTGCAATACGGGCTCTCAAGAAGAGCGGTGCAAAATTTAAGCGTACAATACACATATCGTTTATCGCAGGTAAGCAAGATTAGAGAATAGTTAGCAAAATTGACAATAAACGTAGTTAAGAGAAGAATAGTAATATAAGAAATAAAGAATTATTTATCTTTTGTAGATGAGGAAATGGGTGGTCGCTATGGCATGCGTCCATTTGTACACACCGCCGAGTTTAAGAATTTAAATGTTGGATTTTCCCTCGATGAGGGTCTGGCATCACCCACCGAGGAGCTGCCGGTATTCTATGCCGAACGTAGCGTGTGGCGTAATTAATAAAATTGAGCTATTTTACAGTTAAACAGATTTTATAATATACAGAACACCCTTTCAGGTATATATTTTCAGATTTCGGGCACAGCTGGACATGGTTCATTACTCTTGAAGAATACAGCTGGTGAGAAACTGAATTATATTGTCAACAAAATGATGCATATGCGTGCGCAAGAGCTCCGAAAATTGGAAAATAATCCTGTTTTGACCATCGGTGATGTCACCACCATCAATTTAACACGTGCTGGTGGTGGAGTACAAAGTAATGTTGTACCGCCATCGCTGATGGTTTGCTTCGATGTGCGTTTGGCGATTGACGTGGATCAGCATGAGTTTGAAAATAAGGTGAATAATACTTAGAGAAAAGGTTTCAAGCTCATACTCTTTAATTTTTTTAACTCTGAAGCTTCATCAATGGTGCGCAGATGTTGGCGGTGGTATTGAACTTGAATATGAGCAAAAACGTCCACGCGTCGCGCCGACAGCCACGGATAAAAGTAATCCATTTTGGGTTGCTTTTAAAAGCGCAGCGGATGAGCTGTAAGAGCATGTGATATAAGAATTAGTTTGATTTGTATATAACAAAACTTATTTACCTGCAACCATATGTTCTTTCAGGGGCTTAAAAATTTCGAAACAAATCTTTGCCGGTGGCACTGATAGTCGTTATATAAGAGAAGTTGGTATACCAGCTTTAGGTTTTTCGCCTATGAATAACACACCAGTACTATTACACGATCACGATGAATTCATAAAAGCAGATACTTATTTACGTGGTATTGAGATTTATAAGAAAATTATACCAAAATTAGCTGAAGCTTGAGTTACTTTTACTATTATGTGTTTATGTATATAAAGTGTATTACGAGTATTTACTTGAATCGAATTTGTGTTTTTTCTCATATAAATTCACATTGAAATTATTATTGCAGTTACTCCCATTCTATTGTTTACGTAATATACCATTGGTTATTTAAAACCACGAGCTCGCAAAATCTGACTTCGGCAAAATGTTTAACCAACTTCCAATAACCAATACGTCTATACAGCAAAAAATTCGATATTCCGTTATTAACGGAAAACGGAAACGGAATCTATGTGACACTTCCATTTGATACCAATAAATCATTCACATTCATTCTTATGTCTATGGCAGGGTTGCATTAGCTATACAAAAAATTTTAGCTATCCACAGTGGAAGTCATTTAAATGTAACTCTATATTTCTTAATAAAATCCAAATGCTTTAAAAAAAAGTCAGAATATTTTCACGATAATTAAGTTAAGTTATAAATATCATTAAACTTTCGTTTTTTTTAGAATATCTTTAAGTTCTTATGCAAAATAATTGACACCGCTGTAATTTTTTCATGAAATTTGTTGTTTCGGCTAAAAAATCCCAATTCGTTTTGCTGTTTGAAAATATCGTATATGAATTGAGTTTATATGTATTTCCCTATCTATTCTTATTCGTTAATCAAAAATGGTAAGAACAAAGAGCGTATATGAATACGTTCTTTGCCGTCACTGCTTACAGACGTTTCGTACAATTATTTACCGGTGGCAGCGCTTTATTTGTAATATTTTCGGAACCAGGCGGCAGCATGGCTCATGCACTCGCTCGAATTGTACATAAGAAAATGTCAGAATAGCGCGTTGTTATATACACTTTTTTGTCGTCTGTGAAGACGGATTAAATTTTCTACTACGAAATTAAATCAAATTTTTTAAAAAGCTGTGTGTTTTTCCAATCGGAATCAAAGCAAAAAGTGTAAAGTGTTGAATATTTGTAATAATTATATATAGAAAATCTGGCTAAAACAAGCCGAGCATATATTTTCCGTTCAAAACGTGAATACACATTGTTCGGGCGTCAGATCAGACGGCAGCCAAATTAAGGAACAAAGCTAAAATGGTGTGAAAATATTGCCGGAGACCGGGTTTTTTAGTGTACAACGGTCGTTTTTAGCTGAGTGATTTTGTTGTTTATGCATTTTCATTTTCGAGTATTTATTTTATTCGCATTGTGTTCATTTTAAAGAATCTCTTCGATTTTTCACAATTAATACGTTTCACACATATTAAGTCGTATATAAACAAAAGCTAAGGTAAGTCTACCATCGTTTGCACATACATATGTATATACCTAAGAATACTTCCTTATTTACCAATAGGCATATACATACATAAGTATTTATGTCGATATGCAGATAACATTATGTTATGTTCAAATGCTTGTTTAGTTAAATGTTGATTGTGTTTCTAGTAAAGCGAAATTATTTATTTTACTTTTTTGCTGATTTATTGACGCACTCAAAGCCATTGACCGCAGATGTTGCTTTAGTAAGCCAATATTGCAATTAACTAAATTGAAGCAGGGAAGGGTCAAATGTATTATAAAAAATGTATTAAAAAAAAATTTTTAAGCTTTGAAAAAGTATATTGAATTTCGATTCCTCATGTGTCGAGTGGTATTGTTTATTGCGCATATACTTGCCATCTTAGCAAAAGTATCCGAATTGGTAATGACCAGTTAAATGAAATCAGATTTTGCTACCTTCCAGAAAAGCTAAACATGCTCCTCGGTAGAATTCTTAAAAAAAAAAATTTTAATTGTTTATATTACGAATATTTGTACTTATTAATATTATATATTTAATTTCATTTTAGTTATGTCATCAACAGTGAGCAAACGTAAAGAAATTTACAAATATTTAGCGCCATGGCCTCTTTATTCAATGAACTGGAGTGTTCGTCCCGATAAACGATTTCGTTTGGCATTAGGTAGTTTCATAGAAGAATACAACAATAAAGTCCAGATAATTAGTCTCGATGAAGACACCAGCGAATTCAGTGCTAAAAGGTAACCTTTGCAACATAACAAAAAAATTAATTTTACCAAAATTTTAACTTTTCTATTATTAACTTTAGCACATTTGACCATCCATACCCTACGACGAAAATTATGTGGATACCAGATTCCAAAGGAATCTATCCAGATTTACTAGCAACCAGCGGTAAATTAAAATTTAAAATAATCTTATAGCTTTTTTTCTTATTATATATAAATATATATATATGTATAGGTGACTACTTGCGCGTTTGGCGCGCTGGTGAGCCGGTTACCCGTTTGGAATGCATACTTAACAATAATAAAAACAGCGATTTCTGCGCACCACTAACATCATTCGATTGGAATGAAGTGGATCCCAATTTAGTTGGTACCTCGTCCATTGACACGACCTGCACAATTTGGGGCCTAGAAACGGGACAACCCCATGGTCGTGTCTATGTTTCGGGACATGTGAAAACACAGTTAATTGCGCACGACAAAGAGGTCTATGATATAGCTTTCTCTCGCGCTGGCGGCGGACGCGATATGTTTGCATCGGTTGGCGCCGATGGTTCGGTGCGAATGTTCGATCTTAGACATTTAGAACATTCGACAATTATATATGAGGTAACTTTGGCTTCTGTTGGTACAAAAAAAAAAAACGTATTGTATAAAATGTTCATATCACCTTCCTTTTTTCATAATATTTCCATAAAAAGGATCCCACGCATACAGCTTTATTGCGTTTGGCCTGGAATAAACAAGATCCAAATTACCTTGCCACAGTTGCGATGGACTCATGTGAGGTTATCATATTAGATGTTCGTGTTCCTTGTACTCCAGTTGCAAGACTGAGCAATCATAGAGCGTGCGTCAACGGTATTGCGTGGGCGCCGCACAGGTAAATCAACAAACTGTTTACTCTGCTATTCAAATCATGTGTTTGTAATTTATTTTTGTTTGTCCCTTCACAGTTCCTGTCACATATGCACTGCCGGTGATGATCACCAAGCACTGATCTGGGATATTCAACAAATGCCGAGGGCAATTGAGGATCCAATATTGGCGTATACAGCCGCTGAAGGTGAAGTGAATCAAATACAATGGGGCGCGACTCAGCCCGATTGGATAGCGATTTGCTATAAGAAAGCATGTGAAATTTTACGTGTCTAGAAATGGCATAAGAAAGTATGCATGCGCACATATATCTACACATACACAATCGCCACAGTTACAGCAAAAAGAAAAAACAAAACGAAAGAGAGAGGAAAAAAAAACATTTATGTATTTTATGTAGCGCGTATATGACGAAAATTACAAGTAGCTACTATTATATACTTTTGGTTTGATACAAAAACAAAACAAGACACAAAAACATATATAGTTATAGCGACTATAGACCTAGACATGCTTTGCAGCTAAAAGCTTACAAAGTCAATTTCTTATTATGCAATTGTGTATATTTTGTTTATTTTATTCAAATTTGTAATTGCCTGTATTTATTTGCTTTAGTTTCTAATACATATATTAAAATTTTTTTAGTTTATAATTAGCATAGTAAACAAAAAAAAAAAACACAAAAATACAAAACAAAAGAACAAAATTGGTAGTAGTTTTTATTTAACAAAATTGGAAACATTTGCGATGATGTTACACATGCTTTCTAAATTTAAAATTGCATTAAACACTTGAGCAACTCATTTGATCAAAATTCGAAGCATCTTTGTTATTTTTAAGGGTTAGCTGTTGACACATATTTTTTGTTTTCATTACAAATCGGCGTTATGATAATTCTGTATCTACAATCCAAACTGAATCTGATTAATGCAACCGTGTGTATGTTAGAAAAATAAAAAATTAAACAATATAAACAAAAAAAACATTAGTGCTGTGTGAGTGTGTGGCGGAATAACATTTTGTAATTTAACATTTCATTGTATGTACTATACTAAACATTTCTTACGACTACTTCAATTCAAATACACACATACATACATACATACATGCATATAATGTAATCACAACTTATATATACAACCGTACAGACATACCGATAGTATAGTGACTCAAAAATCGTACATACATAACTTAGCATATAAACAAACAAACAAAAAATTGAGAAGAAAAAAAATAAAAGGGCGAAAAATGGAAAAGTGACTAAACCTAAAATTAGCCTAGCAATACGAACTATACATTTATATACATACATATAAAACATGAGCCAGAGCCACATCAATAGAACTGATTACAACTTACTAAACTAATTATTACTTACTCGTAAATGCAATAAAAACAAAATAAAACTAAAACAAAAAAAGAAAACAAACAACAAAACCAAAAACAATATATTTATAAAATATATATATATAAATCTAATTTTCTTTATATTATTATATATCAGCAATGCGAACCGAATCGAAAACGTATTAAATGAACTACATACGAAGAGAAATTAAAATAAAACAGAAACAGAAACTGAAAAAAAAACCAAAACCAAGAATAAAAAATAGATGCACAGATTAAGTAATAATAAATGAAAAAAAACAAAAACAAACAAAAAAATATCTAGTGTAACTGAGTAAATTTCAAATAAACAAAATAAACTTTAACAATATTTTGCGAGAGAGAAAACAAGATTGTTGCCAAAACCAAATGAGTAAATAAAACAAAATAAAAATGCAAAAAGAAATAAAACAAACAAAAAGCATACGAGCAAAAAGGATGCAAACAAAAATTAAAAAAATACGCATACAAATAACAACTGAGTATATAGAATAGGAGATTTCCCCTTAAAGTAATAATAATAAAAGTAACAACAACAACAACAACCACCTGCTAAATAACAAATACAATACATGTATGTAATTACATTTAAAAGTTTTATCGAATGCATATAATATTTTCATCTTCTACCCAATACATGCAATAGAAACATTTATTTATTTAAATAAACAATAAAAACATATTTATACATTTTTTTTGTTAAAAGCTTAAAGAAAATGTAATGTCATAAAATGAAAAAAATTAATTTAACAGTCTTTTAATTTAATTTTTGAAACATTTTTTATGCTATAAATATGTATTATAAACTTTTATACATATTTATCAGCAATCCACCTTCAATTGATGATATTTTATAATTCTGAACTGATGCCGAACCAAATGTTTTATAGAATTCCTAATTAAAATAGCCAAATAATTGTTTTTGAAATTCAAAAAAACAATTTTTTTTGAATTCCGCAGTGAAAAGCAATGCATTTTTTTACTTAACAAATACATATTTCTTTTTATAATAAAATAAACTATCACCAACGCAAATCACGTTTCAGAATGTTTTCCGGTTGGATTTTATTTCTGTTCTGTTCTGTTTAAAAATATATTTGCGGTCAAAATAAGCGTCTGAAGAAAAATAAGATTTAAACAATTTTGGAGATGAATCTGCTTTGTTGCAAGGCAAACTCACACACGGTAGTAGCAAGAATATAAAAACAAAAATCCCATGTATTTTGTTTGTGTAATCGTAGTTTCGAAAAATCAAAAATCAACGTTCGAAATATCAAAATCCATTTCGCACGTATTTTGTTCGTGTAAATATTTGAAATGGAAGAAAGAACAAGCAGTCATATGGTCTGATAACTTCACCTTCCTGCTATAAATTCGCCTTGCTTTTTTATTCAAAAAAAAAATTAAAAAAAAATATTTTTATGTAAAAATATTTTCTTTTTAAAAACTGTTTCGGAAATCTACTCGGAATGTTGTTTTTTTTTTATTTTAAAATAGAGACAGTGTGGACAGTTGATTTTTTTTTAAATTTCTGCACTCAAAAACATCAAATAAAGCAATTCCAAAGAGTGTTACAAACACAACAACAATACTGTAATATGTGAAAATTTTGTCTAATTCATTACATTTTTGGCAAATATTTTTTCCAAAAGCGGTTCAATGGAAGATTATAATAAAAATAATTTTTATGTTAAAATAAGTACTTTGAATATATATATATATATATATATATANATATATATATTACATACATATAAATATATAATTAACGCCCTGTAAGTGCTTATACGATTTCCGGCCGAACTCCTTCTCCAATTCGTATTGTGTGTCTTGATGTTTTTTTTTTTTATTTATGAGGAGCATTTATTTTGTCAGAAATTCACTCGGGGAGCTTGACATTCCCTGCCGAAGGGCGATCGCAATTAGAAAAATTAATTTTCTATAATTTTGCTTAGGTCGGCACAGGATTTAAACACTGGCCCTACGGATTTTAGTACGCAATGCTAACCTCCGTAAATGCTTGAAACTCACTGTAACTATGATAAAGGGTTTTCCAATAGGAGGTAATTTTTTGACTTTTGACAAGTAAAAACTACGTCAGTAATAAAAAATGGAACGATACACGCTTCAACAATGCATTGAAATTATTAAAACTTAATATGAAAATTTCATTGAAAAATCATTTCGACTGATGCAGCCCATTTAATCTTCGATGACCACGTTAAATAGCAAAACTTTCCCATCTGGGGTTCTGAAAACTCAAGATTTACTGTTGAAAAGCCTCTTCAAACTCAACGTAGTACTGTTTGGTGCGGTTTTTTGTCCGTTGTGGTCATTGGACCTTATTTATTAGAAAATGAATGGATTGCGCTATCTAGATATATTTATACATTCTTTTATGGCTGGAATCGTCGACAAGACGGCGCTACGTATCACACAAGCAACGAACGTATCGATCTTTTAGGGAAAAGTTTCTATGAACGTCAAACTTAGGCCTCTTATTGGAAAGCTCTTTATTTATTAAGTACGATACAGTTTTCTCGATAAGCTCACAGATCGGTCAAAAATAGACGGTTTTCGCATAACAAGGAATTAGTTCTATTACTTGACGTATGTCAGCTGTTTTAACACGACACGCCACGAAAGAAGCATTCATATCAATTTTGGTTGAAAATAAAGCCGCTAATTAATATCTTAAATATTCGATTGGGAATTTGAACCCGTCAATTGCAATATTTAGCTACTGAATTTTCGATACTTTCGTACTTTTCAAAATTACCCTTATATGGGAGTTGGGCACGAACTTTGTCCTCCGAGCTTACCGATTTAAAATTGCATTTCCACTTGTGTCTGTGGTAATAGTGTGTGAACCAAATTTTATCAAAATAACTCAACGGGGACGGTCTAACGGTTTGCCGAACAAACATAATATACCTAATCTCTCCACATAATACAGTGGAGTATAATGAAATGAATGTACATAAGCTCCAAAAAAGATTTATTGCTATTGATTAAAATAGCAAAATTTTAAAAGAAACTTTCCAGAAAAATTTTAAATTCTTAGGATGACTTCAAAAATTTATTATTTCGGTTCGGAATCTTTAACGTTGTACAGCCGTAGCATACTTCGCGGAGATTAAAAAAAATTTTGAAATTTTAAAAAATTTAATTTAAACAAATTTTTTTAATATAAGAAATATTTGGAATTTAAAATTTTCGCTATTCACAAAAACGTTAAGACAATTTCTTTTATTTAAAAAAAAAAATCCTTGTGTCATAAAAATTATGCAAAAATAATTCTATGCATTCCATATTTATATATATGGAGCATACTTCTAGGCGATTTTAGCTAATTACTAAACTTAGCTAATTATTAATTATTGACTTACTTTAAAAAAAAAAAACTTCGAATATTTCAATTTGTTATTAAAAACATTTTCACCAAAAAGATTGCATACTTCACGGCGCTGTATAAAGTTGGACAAATTTTAAAGCACTTAAACAGAGAATTTATAATAATATTATTAAAGATTCTCGGCTTAACTCTGAATTCCTATCAAATAATTATTTCAATCAAACTTTTATTGATTTTTTTTTCTCCCCGATAACCGTTAAAACTATGAACACCATCCATAACCATCGCACATTCCTTTCGAACAATCTTAACGCTCCAACCGCTTAACACATAAATATGTATGTATATTCGCAAGTAGCATACCCAAAAGCAGTAATTATTATTCTCATGCACATACATACATACATAAATAAAAATCTGAAAATCTGTGTAAATTAATATGCATAAATTCTGTAAATATAAATGCAATAAGACATATTCGTGCATACATACCGACATACATACATTCAAGCATACATACAAACTCGTGCATACCATAACCTTCGAGTAAAAATAAATCACCGAAAATAATAAGTACATATTTATTTTGTATGAAGAAAATGAAATAAAAGCAAAATACCAAATAAATGAATGAAATTAAATTTAGCATTAAGAAACAAGCGAAAAGACAAACAAACAGATATGATAAAAAAAAATTAAAAAAAAAAACAAAAAAAATAAACAATATTTAAGACAAACAAAAACAAAAAAAAAGAGAGAAAATTAACAACTCAAATTCAAAAGTTGATTTCAAAAACGAATATTTTACGCCTTCAGATATCAAGAATAAGTTAAAGAGATACAGACCTACTTTACATTTTTTACAAAGCAAAACCGAAAACAAAAAATTAAACAAAAAGCGAAAACAAAAATCAACAAGAAATAGATGAAATCTATTATTTTTATGTGCATGATGAATAGAATGGCAAACAAGGCAAAGATAAAAAAAAAAAAATAAAATATAAAAAATGGTAATTTAATTACAACAACAATAGCAGACACGAACACATACCTACATATGTATGTATGCATGCATGCATGCATGTAACTGCGCACGCGCCTGCGCATAGGTTACCAGATTTAGGAAACAGCAGACAAGCAAGCGCAGGATATAAACTTAATTTTTAATTGCAATTTTTAAAGCAATAATTTATTATACATACATAAATATTTAAAGGATTGTCAAAGAAAAACAACAAAAAACAAAACAAAACAAACCAATTAAGCAAATAACCGATATGACATAAACAAGTGCAGCTGAATTTATATAATTTTTCTAAAAAAAAAACAAACAAAACAAAACAAAACAAAATAATACTAAACAAAATAAACACAAACACACACACGCAAACACACTGACACATGTATGTATGTATAAGGCAGATGCAGAGGCAGAATATTTCGTAAATTTCATACATACATATGCATCTATGCAAGTATATTATATATTGCCTATATAAAAACAACAAAAAAAAATTAACGGAATATTTGTAATTATGCATTTTTATTTGAAGGCGAGAAAAAGCCAAGCGCCACCACCAAATGGTACATACGAGGGCATGTACATATACATAGATATGTATAAGCTCCTTAAGAATGTTATATGTATAAACAAATGTAAGATCAGACAAAACAAAAACAAAAAATTTGTACAAAACGGCTACAACTACAATGTGTACACAAAATGGTGAAATACATACATACATACATACATATGTATATACAAACATACATACATATATATGGATATAAATATATATTATACTTACATGTACGTATGTACATACTACATATGTACATACCTATGCATAACGGTAATTGTACGAACAATTACTCACTGTACTGTATATTTCGCTATGTACATGAATACATTCAAACAAACAAACCAACAAACAAACAAACAAACATGAGTACTACCCTTTCAAGAAATAAAAGATGCGATTTTTATTTAAAAAAAAATATATGTATGTATATATATATGCATGTGTAAAAGTGATTAATTTATTTTAATTTATTAAGAGTTCACTGCGTCGCGGGTAAATCCTTCATTCAATTAGTTCGGGTATATCCATTTCCGCGTTTTTGTTGTTATTGCATATATTATGTATGTCTACAACGCCTTTTAATGCCGTTGGTTTGCTGTGAAAGAAGAAAAATATGCAATATTAATGAATTATTTCGCTATGGAAAATTATGAAAGAAGTTAAGACAATTTTTTCTAGATGCAACCGCTGTCGCCCTTGGCACGAGAAGATTAATACAAGTTCGGTCAGCTGGTTACTTTCAAGTTGTTTTTGTTTAACTAAAAAATACCAAATCCTTTGCAATTACTTTAGTAGTCTTCCTATTAAATATGAGAGCGATCGGCTAAAATGGAGACCAGAAAACTCCAGGATGGCTGAGGATAGGTCCGACGAAATTCCACCAACAACGCAAACAGAAATTCGCCATGCGATTCTCTTCGGATTTCAGCATAATTTACAGTCAATACAAATATTCAGTGAAAGCCAATTTGCCTATGGAAAGATTGCACCATCATTAATGACTATTTCTAAGTTGATCTGAAGATTCCAGGACAGACGTTTTGGCGTAGAGGACGAACTCCGCGAAGGTGATGACGTCACCGTGGCTGTGGGTTGACGCAAGAAATGGTTGCTAATGAATTGGGCTTGAATGTCATGGCTGTATCGCGAATATTAATCATCTGGGATACATGAAAAAATCTTCTCGAGGGGTACCACGAATTATAAATGAGAAGTTCAAAAATGATCAGTTTCGCAACTTTAGTAAAATCGTTACTGGTGACGGATCTTGTTTCTATATGTACGATCCAGTAACCAAACAGCAGTCAACAACAAGAGCAAACCCACCCGTAAAATCTAAGCAATAAAAATGATGTCAGTTTACTTCAGCGGATCTAAAATCAAAGCTGCCATTCAACTTTCAAAGTGTCAGACGGTTAACCGAAGACTGTTTGCAAAATGTTTTCAAAAATTTTGTGGAAAACCGGAAGAAAGAGGGTTTACGGCGCTACTTTTTACATCATTACAACGCGCCATGCCACACTGTTGAAATAGCGATTAATTTTCTTGCGATCTCTGGGATCCAAGAAATACGTTCAGCAGCATTATCCCTGGATACAGCACCTTCTGAGTTCTGGTTATTTCGAAAAATTTTAATTTACGGTAAATATTGAAGTTGATAAGCTTAAAAAGCAAGATTTCGAAGACTGTTTTCTGAAGTGGATCTATAGGCTTGAGAAATGCATTGAAATCAATGCCAATTACGTAGAGAAGATAAAAAAGGACAAAGATTACTATTAAATACGAAAAAAAAAAATCGGGTCAACTTACGGAACTTTTATTAGTCCCCTCCTGTATACCTGCTATTTAAAGGCTTGCACTAAAAAATTGCTTTCAACAAATGAGTCTAAGGTCAAGCCAATCAATCAAAGGCCTTTCAATTAAAGCTCCTTAACTTAAAATAAAAACACTCATAAACAATAATATTTAAAAGTATCCAACAGAAATAGGAGTTTTCCACATATTAGCCGGGCAGCCAAAAAAGCCGGGCAGCCAAAAAAGCCGGGCGGCCAAAAAAGCCGGGCGGCCAAAAAAGCCGGGCAGCCAAAAAAGCCGGGCGGCCAAAAAAGCCGGGCGGCCAAAAAAGCCGGGCGGCCAAAAAAACCGAGCGGTTAGCATTGCATACTGACATTCTGAAGGCCTGGCGGAGTTCTGGTTCGAGCAAATAACTAAAAATTAATTTTTCTATTTGCTGTTACTCCTCGGCAGAGAATAACCAGCCCTCCGAGTATATTGTTGACATGAAAAACAGGCTTTTCATAAAACACATCGTCCATTCGGATTTATAGGTCCCACCATTAGTTGGACAGTTGAACAGCCTGGCTACAAAACGCTAATTATATATAGAACCACTCGCCTTAACGTGTATGTTCCAAATATTAAGCAAAACTGAACTATCGAATCGATTTTCGGTCCTCTCTCCGGCAGATATTAATTCCCATGCCTAAGTGAAGCAAATGCAAGTAGAATGGGCAGTGAAATCAGTGATTCATTTAAGAAGTGTAGGGAGGAAAGCACAAGTGTGACGTTAAAGCACCTCCTGTGTCTCTATCCGATCTTAGCTAGAACCCGTATTAGATATCTTTGAGCCACAATGTTCTTGAGTTTCGCGAAAGTTGATGTCCTCCTATACGATCGTAATAAAACGAATATCCTTCTGGCACTATAAAGCACCAACGGATAAGTGTGATGCGCATCAGCCAGCCAGAGCAACCTAACCAAATCTGTATCAAATTTTAAGTAAATCAAACCATAAATAATTTATTTTTGAATTTATCGTGGATGTGGGATTATCTACTCGGCGGCAAAAGAAGGAGTGTCTCTCGTATCTATCCTCAATCATCAGAAAAAAGAAAAGATTGCCTTGATCTGTGTGTGTGCCAGGCGGTATTACCAGCCTATCGTCGCCAATGATAAACAACAGTTAATAAATTTAGGAAATTTTTAAGTCTGCTGCTAGTTTAATCGGGGATACCGGGGATAACCTGAGCTCCCGGCCAAAGCAATACTTTCAGTAACAAAAATGCTGACAAGTTCATCAAGTTGGGGTTATCTTTTAACTCATCCGAATCAAAGCCAACGACATGCCTAGAGGAACGATATAAAGGGAGTCAACTAAACGATAAAGAAGCATATTTTCTCAAATATTCCAGAACCTGAAGAAAGAATCTATAAACAGATCTAGTAAAACTATATATATTTACGTCCGCGCTCACTGTACCTTCAGCGGGCTTGCAGCCAAAATGGCGCTGTGCTATAGGGTATTTTTTTGTCTTAGCTGGGAACAGGAAGAGAATACTATACACTCGATAAAAAACTTCTCTCTCCAACTCACTTCATAAAAAAAAATTCTTTGCAAAATACAGAAAGCAGATATGTGTATGAGTGTTTTCGGAGATATTTCTGGCTTTCGTTCTCTACTAAAACTCCAGCTCGTGATGAGAAAGCGCGTACCGATCCTTCATTCTTTCATTTCTCAACTTTTTGGACCGAGACATTTGTATAATTTCAATACCCATGTCCATGCCTGTTATCATCAATATGATAATTTAATATTTGTTAAGCAGCCTTTCGAGCTGATTTATCTTATCGTATTATTTTCGGTACTTCACTACATCCGTTATCCGTTTATCCTGATGAACTTTTGGGGAATCCCTAGCATTTTTAGCATTTTTTTTTTGGACCGAAGCTGATTAGCAACATTTAATCGTCGCCAGAGCAATCACAGAGGGTATTATGAACTCAGCCAAAGTAGGACTCAGCGCAAGGAAGCGCATAATTTAGTAATACCGATCGTAGAATATCTGAACAAGCGTGCAAGACCAGAAAGTGCGCACTTAGTTTTTACGACTTTGTTCCTCAATATAATTACCTGTTGTCTCCTTTGGATTTCGCTTGATTCCCAGTGTTATCTAAAAGAAAGTAAAGAGATATTAAATTGTGATCTCGTATGTATAGGCCTATTGGGCGAGGCCAAAAGCTTGTAAGATTTGCGCCAAGAGAGCTTACTTTTCACACCCTAATTTCCACAACGAATAACTGTTACATGTTTACCTGTTTTCGGGCGCAATGTGAGTAATTCTTTGGCATGCAACTTTGGCATTTTTACAACCAAATAACCCGTTATTTGTGAGCGTAGAACACAAGCCTCGGTTATGTTAATCTCTTCGTGAAAAGCCATTTGAAAAATTTTCCCCTTCACCGCTACGCGCACATAATTCGATTCAACATCGACTTTAATCTGTGAAGTGTCCAAATATCTGCGGAGGAATGAAGAAAGTTGTGCTAAAAAAAAAAACAAAAAAATCGTTGCACCTACTTGTACACGCCCAGCTGCAATATGTACTCATTGTATTCGTCCTTCAAAGTGAATGCCAATTTCGCTTGGTTGATATTGTAAGGACGCCCGCTCGGCGCGAAGAGTGTTAGAGTTCTACGTTGTTTCTTGTTATCGCCGTCTTCTGCAGTTCTCTTTTCTCTACCCAATTTATGATATTTTGCAATATCCAAACGCGTCTCGGGGCAATGCTCACTTTTGGCATCCCAAAACATTTTCAAACGTTCATCCTCATTTTCGATTTCTGCCATTTCCTCTGCAAGTAGCTGCTTCTGCATTGCCACGCGCAACTTTTGCTCGTCGCGTTTCATGAAATAGTCGGCTTGTTTTTGTACAATAACAGCACGATTGTTCGCTAGAGACTTTTGCGCGAGTATCTTCTGTGACATTTTAATCTCTTCACAGTCCAATCTATCCAGCTGTGGTAGCGTAGCCATGACGTACTCCCTATAATGGGGATAGTCGCAGCAGGGATTACCGGTGAGTATAAGTTCGCGTAAATTGTAGTTGCCCTTCAAACATTCGATCGACGTTAAATCGCCTATGAAATTCAAAGTTAAATCGAGTTTATTGAGTGATTCGAGCCGCTCTACATTCTCCACACGCTCTATATTGTTTATGGCCAAATTTAAATATTCCAGTTTCTTTAATTTGTGCAAATTTTCTATTTTGGCAATGAGATTCGATTGTAGGAGTAGAATTTTTAGTTCTCGGCACCAATTCTGTAAATGCTCGATTCGTTCAATATCCTCCTGATGGAGAGAGAGTTCTTCCAGCGTGCTGATGAGGCATTCATTATGTTCGGACTTCTTACGTACCAGCTCTTCGGTGACTGGAAGTATGGGAGTGTTAGGTAAATGGTAAAGAACATTGAATCGGTTAGTAAACTTACTCTTTACCATGCTTCCAGAACGTTTTTAAAATATTGTTATTTATTATTGCATAAACGTCGTGCCTTCGGAAAAATACCCCGACTAAATTTCCGTTTCCGTGACAACGGAAAAAAGTTATTTATTTAACCCGCTATTAATAATTAGAAGGCCTTCAAAGTGAGTGGTTATGAAAATGATTCTCAGAAACCAATCTAGACACGGTTCAGTATTACTCCCTTCTATTCCGAGCCGACCCCAACATACCCAACATATGCCCTACATGTGGAGAGTATCCGACTAAAATTGCGCCAATGTCACGAGGGTTTCTCGAGGCAGCTCAAGCTCGTTGTTTTCAGTAGGTGGTGCTTTTTCTCCGAGCACGTCATTCAAGGAAGGGTGTCTTTGAAGGTGATTGGCGTTCAGTGCTTGACTGCACGCCGTCCTGACCAGCGGTTGTTGCATATATTGCTGCATAGTGTGCTTCATGTCAAGTATTTCCTTTCTTATATGCCTAGGTTTATGTTCTGCTTCTATAAGATGACTATTGGGGTGCTCTTTTCGATAACATCCCAATAGGAATTGCTTGCACTGCAAAACATTATGGACCTTAACTCGTAGCATAGATGTTTCGCTGTGCTGAAAATCTACTGTCGCGGTACTGAGGGCATTGATCTGGCAAGCCCGTAGCTTTTTCACATGCGTCTTTTTCATATTCGGAGCCTAGATCGGTGCAGCACAGTTTACGACCCGCCGGCAAATTGCTTTGTACGTTGCCAGTAAGCTTTCTTTGTGTTTATCCCACGTACTGCCAGCTAGTGCTTTGAGTATTTTGTTGCGGCTCTGGAGCTTTGCGGCAATTGCGATCTAATGCGGACTGAAGGAGTGCAGGCTGTCGAGTGTAACTCCCAATATTTTTGGATTATTTATAGACGGAATTTCAACGTCATCGACCTTCACAACTAATTCGAACCTGTATTCCTTTGTCCAGCTGGTGAAGAGGTTACCGACGATTTAGTAAGCTGGATTTTCAGCTGCCTTGCAGTAAAGAAGTGGAAGCTTTCCAGACAGCCGGTTCTACACACCGGAGTTGACTCGGCCACCCTTTCGGCGGCCTAACCCCGTTTAGGTCCGACTAGTATTCCTTTGTTCCGCTGGTGAAGAAGGTCGCCGAAAATATCATTGGTTGCAGATGCGTATCTTTTTCAGTGAAGAAGGTGAAGACGGAGAAAAGAATAAATAAGCATCAGCTAAGATTGGAACTGGCTGGCATTAGGGTAAGTAGGCAGTATGATATCCAATTGTCCGTTGACAGTATATGGCAGAGGCATTATTTTACTTTTGCTTGACTTTTATCGACACCATATACGAGGTCTATGTACGGACAAGATCAATTATTCAAATTAATCTGTCTTGAAATTTCTAGCACTTGGCAACCCCACAATTAGTTAATTAATATTGTGTGCATCTGCTAGAGTGGCTTATCAATATGAAATATTCTGATAAAGCACTTATATCAATCGTAGGTGTAGCTCAAGTATTTCATGGACAAAATGGATAGTCACACAGATATTTTACGTCCACTTTCCGAGGATGAATTTGAGGAATTACTGCAATTGTATCGTGAAAAATATGGTGAAGAAAATTTCCACTATCTGCTGATGTACAATCAAAATAAATGGAATGAGCAGCTAAGAAATTTGAATTACGAGGCGAAGGAAGGTGAGGCAGATGAATGGATATCATTCCGGAAGGTTTTCTATACATACAGGGATGGGGATTTTCGAACATACGGTACCTATGTGAGCCTGCATTATGATATTGTAAGTGGTATTGTACACATACTATATACATATATTGTAAATAAATATATACAGAGATGTGTACATATATACATACATATATAGTATTCTATGCGTGCATTTATAGATGCAAAGCGTATCGTTTCATTCGTGGGAGCCCAACCAAAGTGATTTATTAAAATGTTTGCGTGAGACTAAGTTGATCGACTGGTGTGGTGGGCCGTTATTAACAAATGTTGACCTTGAAATTTGTGAAGAGGTGAAAAAGATCGCTTTGGCTAAGGGTACAAGTGTACAACGCGCAAGGCTATGTCTCTTTTTAATATTGGATCATGACAAGGCGGCGGTTTTGGATGTCGAACAGTGAGTAGAGTTATTATTATTATTTTTTTTTTTTTCAAAAAGTATTTTGTAATCCAAATAAGCTTTCAATCGTAATAGAGTAAAGTCAGGTTACACCGTTAAAAAGCTAAACACTGAAAATGCTGCACTCATACACGAACTCTGGCCAAATAAAAAGGAAGGATCCTTGCCTTATGTACTCGGCCTGATCGAGCTAAATCATACAGTTGGTATTTTTAGGGACGATAATGACGAATTGGTTGCTTGGGCATTTCAAAATGATTTTTCTGGTTTAGGGTAATTTAATGCTGCACAATTCTCGCATGCTACTGTAGATTTTTATTAAATTTAAATTTAATTTTTACGCTATTTAATATCTAGCATACTACAAGTTTTGCCCACCGAACAGCGTAAGGGATTTGGCGCCCTTTTGGCAGCGACTTTGTGCAAACAAGTCGCTGTAGTGGAGAAAGTACATTTAAACGCTTGGATTGTGAGTGAAAATTTTAAATCAAAAGCTTTACTTGAAAAAATTGGCTTTCGACCAAAGGCAAAGGCAGAGTGGATACAATTGAATAAGGTGTAGAATAAAAGATGAAAAGTGGCCGAAAATCGTTTTTTATATGCAAAAAAAGAAAGAAACTTATTTTGTAAAAAGTTGTATACTCATTTATTAATCAAAGATTATGTGCCCTATTTCCCTTGTGATTTCAAACTTCAAATAAAACTATGTACCTTTTTAAAGACTTTTTCTTCAATGTAGTGGCATGAATTAAACGAAAATAACTCACTTCCCGTACAAACCTTTCCAGGAACTAGAGACACAATCTGACAAATTTTCAGGTTGGTAATTTTTTGAGATATGCGGACCAAACGAGCTTAAGTTTTTTATATATTTTATACATACATACATACACACAAATTTAAGAATTCATTGTTATATAATAAATGTAGGCAAACACGATTTTTATTTTAAGATTTTTATATTTTTGATTTCGTCACGTTGTTTTATTGCTTGTTTATTTTATTTTACATACATAAACAAAATTATTATTTTTTACCAAAATAACAGTAATCTTAGTACAAACTCTTACAAATTGGCCCTGTTTATGAATCATATTTTATTTATTTACATACATGCTATAAATCTCGCTGGGAAAATTATGTTAAATATATACACATAATTAGTTAATTATTACTTATTATTGTATATACTTATGTATATTTTTGTATTTAATGCCCGTCCTGAGACTGCATTTTCAGAATTATTTAGAAAAATACCTTTTATATTTATATTTACATACATATTTTTTAGTTGCACTTTCTTTCTTTTTAAATATGTATAAACAGAATATTATTATTATTTATCTAGCTACATAGTACATTTTGCCTAACCGTGTATACTGTCTCTTACGAACTATCAAACAAGTACAATTTAAAATTAAACAAAAAGTAAACGTGTCGTCGTCATCGTACTACCATTTGGAAACACATTTCCATTCGATAATAAACTATTTGTTGGTACGGGATTTAAATTAGTATACTGCTTTTCAGCACGTTTGCTAGCAAAACCATTGGGGTTACTTGTCATTGCGCCCTGATAATAGGGATCGAGATTTCCTTTGAGGGGTTCGTATTTGATACGATGATTTTGGGTTAGAGGTAATATCGTCTCCGACGCTCTGGTCACTTGTTTAGCCTTTAAGTAAGATTTTTGAATATCAAAATATATGTATATTGCACGGCATTATAATGGCTACTTACCCGATTATAACATAATACACCGAATATGGCCATGGTCATGCCCGCGCAATTTAACCACGTTACGGGATTTCCTAAAATAAATAGTGATACAGCTATAACAAAAATTCGTTTTGATGCGCTCGCAACCGCATAAGTCAGTGGTGTGACTAAATGTAGCACATTAAAAGCTATAACATTTTGCAGCCAATTTAGTACGCCATCAGTGAATAGCAATGCTATCACACGATAATCGAAACCAGTCTGAAAGGAAAAAGTTTCATTATACTTTATATTAAAAAGCATAAATACAATTTGCGTTCGACTTACAATAGCTGGATGTTGAATTACTTTAAAACTATCTACAAATACCCAAATGGGCAAAAACATAAACAAAGCCAATTTTCCTAATAAGTGCAAAAGTCGCAAATGATGCATGCCGGTATCTTTGAGTACCTGGAAAATGTAAGAACACAATTAACATATTCTTCTCATAATAATTTTACTACAATATATTTACGCATATATTTTTTACATACCTTTTTGGAAAAAATGTTCTGCAAAGAAAATCCCATTGTCGATATGAGCGCACTTATTAAACCAACCATATCGAATGAAATCTCAGTCAAGGTGGCAATTGCAACACCAGTTATAATTGGCACCAAACTGAGGTAGACTAAAGTAGGTTGCTTTTCACGAAACAGCAGACGTGTCAAGATTACAGTGAATAACGGCATTGTTGCTTTGACTGAAAAAGAAAATATGAATATTATTGTAAAACAATTTTCAAAATATGAACAAACTAAATAAATAGAAAATATTATCTAAATATTTTATGATTTATTCTATAATTATATTGTTTCAATTAGTATTTACAATGATATTAATGCAATTTTTGCGCAATTCAGTTTCATATTTCTTAACTTCGGTATTTTTGGTATACGTTAGAATTGAAATAATAAATTAAAAGAAAAAAATAGTTTATTGTTCAAGACGAAATACACATTTCTGAAAAAAAGTAATATTATTTTATATTATAATTTTAATTTTAGGGTATATTAAATACATTTTACGCCATTATAACGCTTTAGATATGCATTTAATTATTTAATTCACTCAGACTAAGTCATAACAAATACAAAACTCATGTATAAAATTCATAACAATGGGCGCCAACTCTGTTCATGTGTTGGGAATGTACATATGTATATTGGTTAAGTAAAAATTTTAAACTTTATCAATAAACAATCACTTACTCTCATGCCTATCTATATATGCATGTAAAACATAAACAACAAGCCATTAACCAAAGAAAATCATGTACTATGCTTTCGTTTTTTGATTTTTTTTGTTGACCGCACATACCACGTCAAATATACTTGTAATAGTTAAACGTGTCAATATATTTTTTCTCAGTAAGCACCATTGGTTATCCATTGATGCTGTTGAAATTATACATCGTTTTCTTTACCACCACTTACCAGTATGGGCATAGGAAACTGGCACTTTCCAAAGGGAGATGTGTGATGTGACAGAGGCTAAAAATTTTCCCAAAGCTAATGGAATAATCAATCGCCAATAATATCCTCTTGAAATATTTTGATATTTTCTTATACGCCATAGGTTGAAAAATGGTCCACTGTACAGGGCTATGCTGCATAACTGCACCATTGTCACGGTCATTGGAAATGGGAATTCGTTCAATACCATTTTGCCGATGACATTGTTGCTCGAAGAGATCACATACCAAGCTATGCAAAATAGTAGTACGGTAAGGATATGCCTGGTTGAGGCATTTTGTATTTTGTTATGCATTTTAATAATCTCTAGCCTTCGTAATCTATCACACGCTGTTTAAAGTGCAGCTTGCAACAGCCGTTTATTACGATCAGATTTCCACACTGTTTACAACATCCCTTCTAAGCTCAGGGAAAATTTACGACAACCAAATTGACTTTTTGGCAGATTGTTTTAATAATTACGTTGACAAAATGAGGAGAGCGACGATATTGCAAAATATATTCTGTAGTGTTGCCGTGTTGCTTAAATTTGAATATATCCGCTCTTGAAAAAGGTTTGCAGGAAATAGCTGTATTTTTTTTTATAAAGTCATGGTGCATATCCCGTTAAATAAGAGGGATGAAAAATGGTGTAAGGAAGGCAATAATGGTGGAGGGAAACTGATGGAGGAAACCGGAAATGCGTGTTAACTTAAGTAATAAAGCAACTGTTCTTGCTTAAAGTGTTATAAATTTAGGTTTACGCATAATCTTCAAAACATGGTTTGTATTCAAATATTATATTTTTTATATCAGAAATGTAGAAGGAATGTGAAGGGAATTCAATTTCATATAACAGAAGAAGTTATATAAAATACTAGAAGGAAACCGATCGCGCAGCGCTGAGGTCTCAGCATTATGGGTTAGTTCTCAAAAATGTACGTGTACTCAGAAACTGTTACTGCCGCAACATATTCGAATCATGCGTTATTTGTGTCAAAGTGTTTACTGTTCATTATGGACCAGCCCTATTCACCCTATTATTGAATTTTCTTGGAAAAACGTCAAGACCCATATCATGAATTGGTAGGAAACTCGACCGAAAATTGCTTAAGCGTTTATAATTAATTAATATTAATATTAATAATTACATATATACATGTTTTGAAAACTTAACTAACCGGAAAAAATTCTACACATACCCAATGATAAAGAACGTATATCAATATACGTTCTCTGGAAATAAGAAACAAATATTTCACACAAATAATTAATCTGGCAATTGGTTCAAAAACATATGATATCTCAGGCAAATTTCATTTGTCCAAAGCGTTTGTTAATTACACCTACACGTTGGTATTTTCCCATCTCTGAGGCTTTTACAAATTGTCATCCAATCATAGAACTCTTCAAAAATAAAAAAAACTGAAAATATTTATTTATTTATATTAAAGGTTTTTACAATTTTAATTTACACAAGTTAAAATCGTAGTTAAAGAAGTGTAAATCTGCAGCTGTCGATGGGTGTATTGATGTAAACAAATGAAAGTCTAGGGTGAATGAGAAGAAGAAGCAGTAAGAAAACGTGTATCCAATATTGCGTCTGTGTGTCGGAATTTTAGTGATTAAGCGCGTTTCTGTGTAAAGAATTAGCAGAAAAATATTGTCTATTGTTTTAATGAGGAAGAATTCAATAATCACAACTAAATCTGAACTTCCATAGCCTTGGTGACGGATTATCGGTGCATTTCCTTAAATTCTTAACGTCTTTGCTAAACGAAATACCAATTGTGTATATCTTGTAAATACAATACAACAAATGTGGTATTGTTAGAATTCCACATTTTACATCTTCTATTACAAGTTAATCTTTGTATATGTTAGAAGAATACACTTTTGATGACGATTTAGCAACAACGATAAAAGTGTGCTAAGAATTGTTATAATTTTTATAATCAAAATGGTAAGTGCTTTGAAAACCAAAGTGTACTTACATACACCTATACAAATATTTTTACACTGGTTGATCTTACAATGCAGTGAAACAAAATTTGCTCTATTTGCAGACATAAAAATCAATTTCCATAAATGGAGTTGTAAGGTTATAAATTTAATGAATTGTATTATAGTGTATTTTTCATGTAAACCACTTGATTTGTGTTCTGATTTGTAAACTTTAGCCGGAAATGAGCTGTTGTTGGAACTAGTTTTAGGGATTACTGACGTAGTTGGGTAGTGCATTGAACCACTGTGCGATTTTTTTTTTTTAAATTCTTTCCACCAAACCGGTTTCCACTGCCAAGAAAATTCTATGATAGGTGACCATAATCTGTAACATTTCTTACAATGAATATCTGTATTAGTGGTTGTGCATTACACAAACGAAAGGTAGGATGTAAGATTGGCCACAATCATTGGCTCCATATGTTAAGGTCATTTTGTATGTGGACGTACATCTGCATTTAATCTACAAAATATTTAGTAAAATTTATTTTAAATAATACGAATATATCAAAAAAAAAAAACAAAACCAAAAGTATTTTATTTTATTTTTTTCTAAGTTATTGTCAGCTCTTCACAAGTGTAGGCAAAGAAAATATAGTAAATTTGTACCTAATCAAAAGAAAATAGTTTTAGAGTTGTCATTTCTTTATGACATCGATACCTTCATACATAGACACAATTTTATTTACATAAATACTTTTATATATGTTTATCCGTCTTTTTCTGCGATAGAATCAATTATACACAAACTTTGATTGGGGATATAAAGTATACAATAAATATAAATTTATATATGTATGTACATGTCAGCATGTATGTTGACACCCACATTTTCACTTATTTGGTTTACTTAATAAACCGGAAACCATAACCATTGACATTGCATTATTGATCAGCTGCGGATCATACAGTCCGTTAACGCACTTCAAAAAGATCAGACGTTTCATCTTGAATATTATTGTTTTTCATCATATACAAATATCGCTTGGCTCTTAATTTTCCAATCTACTTGTTAACACGAATATACATATATATATTTAATTTGTGTACACACACATGTATGTATACATATTATTTGCATTTGCTAATTAATCAGCTTTTTTCGCTCATCTCTTTTCTAACGTTGTTATTATGTACTGCTTTTTAGAGCTCTCCAATTGTTACTCGCCGCGGTGCGCAAAAATCTAAAATACAAACTCGTGCAATGGTTAAGTCTGCAGTCACAGCAAGCAAGCCGAGCGCAGCACTACTCGAAGCTAAACGCAAAGCTAAATTACTTAAGATGCAAGAACAAAGTCAACAGGATCAAGTGGTGAAGGATATCTTTCAAAATGTAAGTTTGTATTTTAAATAAGCTGAAATTAAAAATAAAAATAAAAATAAAAATAATTGTGATTATTTTATGTTTAGGCGGTAACTGCAAAAACAATGTTACTAAAACCGACTGGCATCGTTTATGATGAGTCGATGGCACTGCATCGTTGTCTTTGGGATGATAATCATCCAGAGAGGCCAGAACGTTTTACACGTGTGTTGGAGAGGTGAGCTTTTCATATATTTTCATATAGGGTTACTCAATAAATACCATTGAAAAATAATAAAAATAAAAATTATTTAGTATATTCTTAAAATTATAATATAAAACACATGTATATATTTATATATTTACTTACATATACATACAACAATATTAGTAGGCCTTATAAATTAATACACAAATTTATTTTTTTTAGTCACCTCTTCGGACCATAAACCGCAGATATAATTGCAGTTGTGTTGTTGTTGTAGTTGTGCGTTTAACTTTATTGATAAGCTCCTCTTTTTGTATCAAAAACAACGTAGTTATACAATATTATCATTTCCAGTGTCGGTGCAGCAACGACAACAGCAATTACATATTTCTGATAACAATCAAGATTTGATTTGAAGAAATAGTAATAGATAAGTAAAGTATAAGCGCATTACTGCAATGACTACGCAATAATTTACACTTTGTGTAATCTTTACACTATTTTCTTTTATAATCTTGATACGTTTTTTTTTTTTAATAATCACCCAAATAAATTGTAGAAAAATAAGAAATATGTGATGCGCAGTATATTTGACGATTACTAAAAGTCCTAAAGCAACGAAAGGTTAAACTAAAACTTGAATATCAGTCATTGAAATTTTTATCTTTAATTTTGTTACATTCCAGATTAAAGAGAAATTAATTTTTTTTTACTTCTAGATGTAAAGAATTACAATTAATAGACCAATGTCAAAGAATACCATCACGTCGTGCAACAAAGGAGGAGGTGCTTCTCTTACACAGCGCCGAACACTATGCACTTCTCCAACAGACATCCGGTGTGCACGATGAGCCGGCCATGGAAGATTTCAGTTCACGTTTTGATTCAGTTTATATACATCCGGTGGGTATTACTATTTTAGTTGTTGTCAATAAGTTGTTTTTAAAACTCCCTCCATCTCATTTAGTCCACATTTGAGCTGTCCCTATTGGCTACCGGTTCGACGATTGACTTAATTGAGAACATAATTAGGGGCAATGTACAAAATGGCATGGCAATTATACGACCACCCGGTCATCATGCAATGAAGGCTGAATTTAATGGGTACTATATTCAAATTGACTTACACTAAACATTAGTACTTGTAGTAATTTCGAAGAACATAGTATTCAGTATTCAACGCTTGTGATGATGTGTGTGTATGTATATATTCCTCAGTTACTGTTTCTTCAACAATGTGGCCATTGCAACACAATACGCTTTGGACATTTTGAAGTTAAGCAAGATAATGATTGTCGATTGGGATATACATCATGGACAGGGTACGCAACGATTCTTCTATAATGATCCGAGGTGAGTGTGTGTGTGTGAGAGGAAATATTTAAAAATATTATAATTATTATAATCTTTGCTTTCGTTTATGTTACATACACTTTAGAGTACTGTACTTCTCTATACACCGTTTTGAACATGGCAAATTTTGGCCAAATTTGAAAGAATCGGATTTTGATGCCATCGGCTATGGCAATGGTTTGGGTTATAATTTTAATGTACCTTTGAATAAGACTAAAATGGGTAATGGTGATTATTTGGCAATATTCCAACAATTGGTCATACCTGTTGCAGTGGAATATCAACCGGAATTGATAATTATTTCGGCTGGTTATGATGCTGCTTTAGGCTGTCCGGAGGGTGAAATGGAGGTGACTCCCGCATTTTATCCACATTTATTGAATTCATTAATGAAATTAACACAATCACGTATCGCCGTTGTGCTTGAGGGTGGCTACTGCCTGGATTCTTTGTCCGAGGGTGCAGCGTTGACATTACGCACACTACTTGGCGGCACATGCCCAACGCTGGTAGAGAAATTAGAGCCACCGTGCGATGTACTGCAAGATACAATACTCAATTGCATTTATGCACATCGTCAGTACTGGCGTTGCTTGCAAATTCAACCAATGTATACTATGGAAGAGCTAAATAATGTTAATCCACAGCCAAAGTTGCATAAAGTCAGTCGACTGTTCATTGGCGGAGAGCCATTGCCGGAACGTTTTCCCACTAGAGGCACAGCGCCGATCACAATACCGGAAGTAGTGGCGCAAAATGAGAAGCGGTTGAAATATCTTAAAAGTGGTAGATATTTGAAGTGTTTTTGAAAAGTTTGTCCGTATATTAAATTTACAATTGTTTCTAGCAACCAAATTATTAGCACCAAAAGTACGCGTTTGCTATGTTTACGACGAACAGATGCTGCAACACAGTAATACCTTCGAGGAGGGCCATCCCGAACAGCCGGAGCGTATTAAGCGCATCTATGAAATGCACACCGATTACAAACTCACCGAACGCATGCAACAATTGCCCATACGCATAGCAACAACAGATGAGATTTGCTTGGCGCATACTCGTGCGCATGTCAACTTTATACGGCGCATAAGCGATAAGGATGAGCTACAGGGCATGGGTGAGAAATACAATTCTGTTTACTTCCATCCGAAAACATTCGATTGTGCCACATTGGCAGCGGGTTCGGTGTTGCAGGTGGTTGATAAAGTGCTTAAAGGCGAAGCACGCAGTGGTGTGTGTATTGTGCGCCCGCCAGGCCACCATGCAGAGCCGGATGTGCCACATGGTTTTTGCATTTTCAATAATGTTGCCATCGCCGCGCAATATGCTATACGAGATCATGGACTTAAGAGGTAATATTTGAAAATGTTTGCCTGTAAATTGAATTGTTCTTAAATTTATAATATTTTAGGGTTTTAATCGTTGACTGGGATGTGCATCATGGTAATGGCACACAGCATATTTTCGAAACCCAATCAAATGTGCTCTACATTAGCATACATCGCTATGATAACGGTACATTCTTTCCTAAAAGTAAAGACGCTGACTACGATGTTGTTGGCAAAGGTGCAGGTGTTGGTTTTAATGTCAATATACCATGGAATAAGGTACCGATCTATTGAAAGTAAAAAAGAGGAGTATTTCAATTAAAAAATATGTTATTTATTTATTTAAAACCCACAAACAACGTATGAAGAAGGGCATGGGCGATTTGGAATATGTTATGGCCTTCCAGCAGCTCGTCATGCCAATCGCTTACGAATTCGATCCAGAATTGGTATTGGTCTCAGCTGGTTTTGATGCTGCAATTGGTGATCCTCTCGGCGGCTGTAAAGTAACACCCGAAGCATATGGTCTCTTCACACACTGGCTTTCGGCTTTAGCCGGTGGCCGCATCATACTGTGTTTAGAAGGAGGCTACAATGTTCACTCAATATCCTACGCCATGACTATGTGCACAAAATCTCTACTTGGCGATCCAATACCACCTATACAAGTTAACGGTAATATGGCGCGTGGACTTAGCGCGGCGTATATGAGTTGCGTGGAGACAATTCAAAATTGTTTGAATATTCAGCAGCGTTACTGGAAGAGTTTGGTCTTCAACAAGCGGTTGCCACAATCCGCAGGCGAAAATAATAATGAGGATTTTCTTTCTGCTACTATGAAAAATTTAGATATCACAACGGTTGAGTCGAAAGGCGTTATTGGCTGTGAAAATGTCGCCGATACGGCAGTGGCATTGGAACCGAGCGGCAGCAAGCCGAAGGTAAAAGTTAAAACACTAACCGAATTTATCAGCGAAAATTTAGAGGTAATTTATAAATAACGGTAATATGCTGGTGTTATAAAGAATTAACATGCGACTTTTTTTCGTTTACTTTTCATGATTGCTCACAAACAAACAAAAAAAAACTAAAAACGCAAAAAAAAAAACAAAAAAAACAATGAAATCCTCAAAAATTAAATTTCATCATCAGGCTTTGCAAAATAACGAAATGTTCGCCGTTGTTCCATTAAAAACATGTCCTCATTTAAAACAGTTGCGTCCCGAGGAGGCGCCGAAAAGTAAGCAGCGTGTCTTTTGTTTTGTTTGAATGAATTTATTCAATGTCGTGTTATATGAGAACTTTGTAGGTTTGTTTCCAAATTTTACTTGTTTTGTGTTTTTGTGGTTGTTGCCGTTGTTTAGTTATTGTTATGTGCTTCTGTTATTTTTTCCTTTTTTTTGTGGCGCTTTTATTGCTTTGGCTTATTTTGTGCGGAGGTGTTTCAAAGTTTTTTTAATATTTATTTTTGTATTTGATAGTTTATTTCTTTTTAAAAGGCGCATTGGGCGTTCGCATATTTTACACTCATTTTCACTACAAGCACTATATATAAAGACATACTGCATACATATGTACAATCTAAATGTTGCGTCATTCATATTTTGCATGTGGCAAATTCAAATAATCCCAGATAATAATTGCATGACTCAAGAATAGTGGACACTTTATAAATACACCAATATGTTTGGTTAAATCAGCTTTATTGAATAAAAAATTAATTTATATTTTTTATTAGTTACTGAAAAATTATTTATTACTTTTTGAGACTGAAATTGAAAAATTTCAAAATTAATTGCTGAATTGATTTTATCGAACCTAACTTTAGAAAATTTTCTTAAAATAGATGATAAGCTAACTTAATATATTTGAAGTGGAATGAAGTAATTTTATTTTCTTGTTCGAAAAATATAGAATTTTTTTATTTCGTACCATTTTTTTGTTTTAAATTTCATACAAAAATTTTTTCCCATTCTTAATTTGATATTTGAAATATTTCTAAAATAATATCGTTTGTTTTTATTCACTGACATGAAATACTATTTTCCTTCTATATTAAAAAAAAAATAAAAAAATTTAGCTCGAAAAAAAAAATTATTTCGAATATACGTAATAATCATTATGATAATTCAAAAATATTTTTCGAACATAAATTTCTTAGCATCGTTTTTTATTTAAAAATAATTTTCTTTCATTTGCCATGCTATATTCTTTCGAATTTCATTTCGAAAACAAATTTTTCGAGCATTATTTTAAACAAATTTCGGATATTAAACAGTATGCTTTTGATTAGTACATATTCGAAGTGAAATGATGTGATATTTATGCGACAAAACAGCAAAGAAATTATTTATTTCGAATATATGTACGTAGTAATCATTATGATAATTCGAAAATATTTTTCGAACATACATTTCTTAGCATCATTTTTTATTCTAAAATCGTTTTTTTTCATTTGCCATGCGAAAACCATAAACGAGAACTATTTTCTTTAGAATTTCATTTCGAAAACAAATTTTTCGAGCATTATTTTTAACAAATTTCAAAAATTAAACTATATGCTAATGATTATTTGATATTCGAATTGAAATTATGAGATATTTGTGCGAGAAAAAACCTAGAAATTACTTATTTCGAATATACGTATTAATCACTTCGATAATTCGAAAACATTTTTGGAACATACATATTTTTCTATATATTTTTTTTACTCCTACATATTATTTTAAGCCATTCACATTTTTTATTCTCTTTTATCGCTGTTTAACTTATGATATTTACAATTCGAGTACAAATTTTTTAATGATTAATTTTTTTTTCCTACATGGTACAATAATTGGCGAATTTTTATTTAACCCTAATTTGCAAATTATTTTTAAATTTAGTTTTTAATTTATTACTCATTATGTATTTATTTTTAATTCATTATATAATTTTTTTTTTGAATTAAGTACTCGTTTATTTTATCATCGATTATATTATTATTATATATTTATTATATTATTATTATATATTTATTATATTATTATTCTTACATTTCATTTTGTGCAAGCTTAATGGGTTTTCAAAAATTTCTATCTACTTTGATAATGCATTATTTTTTCGAATTTCACAATGGTTTTTATGTTTTTTAATAAAGGTGTTTTTTTCAATTTTTTTTTGTACACCTTATCTGAAATAAATTAATAAATTGTTTGTAATACCTGTGGCTTCTTTCAATTCTGTCAAGTAAATTAATGTTATATTTTTTTAGTTTAAATAATTTTATATAATTTTTTTTTATAAATATATTTAAATTTTTCATTTACGTTTTTTATTTTTATTTAATTTAAAAAAAGTTATTTAATATAATTTATTATGTATTAATTTATCGCTCATGACTTAGTTATTTCCATCCATTTGCTTCCTTAGTTTTATTATTCGTTTTGTTAAAAATGCGTTTTTGATCTTAGAAATTTGCATTCTTTACAAGCTATATAATCCGCGCTTTTTTTTCTAAAATTTCTCATACGAAAATTTTAATATTTTTTTATTAACTAATATTTTTTCTTTTCCACAGCCATAGACAGTAATGCACCTTGCGAGCTGTGCTCATCAGCGGTCGAGAACTGGATATGTCTGAGCTGTTACAAAATACTCTGCGGTCGTTATGTTATGGAGCATATGCTTATGCATAGCCTTGAGACAACACATCCCTTGGCTTTGAGTTTTAGTGATTTGTCGGTTTGGTGTTATCTCTGTGAGGCATATGTAGATAATAGTAAATTGCATGTATTTAAAAATCTATTACATCGGCATAAATTTGGTGAAGATATGGTGTGGTCATATCCAGATACAAAATGCAATAACAATAATGGCCGGCCTGATGGTGACAGTAATAGAGATGATGACGATGACGATTGTGATGATACACATGTATTTAGCATACAACTTGAAGATGGCAACTGACAATATCTGTTATTACTGCTGACGACAGTACAAAATTATTTATGTACATCATTTCCACCACTTAGACATGCTTTTCATTTTATTGCCCAGTACCTTTGGCCGTTGATCTATCGCCTATATATTAAATTGTTGTATTACTTTATATCGAGTTGATGATTTATATATTAGTCACATTTAATGCGCATTTGTATGTATGTATGTATTTAGGAAGGTAATTCCAAGCACTCATAAATATATCGATTGTAATAATAACATGTTGGCTTATATAGTCTTTCTAATAAAAAAAAAATATTAAGTATTTTCTTACATACGCTAACCAAAGAATTGAAAGCAAATATAAAAAAAAAAAAAAAATGAAAAGTTACTAAATTAAAAAAACTATATACTATTATGTATGTATAAATCAGAAAGCAGAAAATTTATTTCTTACAATGTTATACATATAAAAATAGGTATCTTATATACATACATACATACATGCCTATCACTTTTATTGTTAACCACGCATACATTTCGATCTTTTCTTGAGCGCTATGGTTGCTGCTAAGAGATTACAAAAACGAAAGAGAAAAAACAAAATTAAATACTATGCGTATACTGTACCATTAAAAATGAAAGCATATTCAAAATTTATTTTTAAATAAGCGAATTATTAATCTAAAAATTTAAGCACACCTATACATTTAATTTTGATTAAAACAAATTGGTTAAGACAAAATTATGCGCATAAATGCATATAGATGTTCGCATATATGTATGTGTTTAGTATTAAAATTTATAAGCAATTAAACTTGACTGTTTTTTACAAACGAAAAAAAGGAAGTAAATAAAAGAATGTAAAAAAAAAACATAACTAAAAAATTACAACCAAATTAACAAGATAAATAAAACATGGAAAAATTATTTTGTATGCTTTTTTTTTATTAGAATCGTTGTTGTTGTTGTTTTAGCCGCAAAAATATTTTCCAAGTACTTTTTGGGTCAGTACTTGGCCGGATAAAAATCCGGATCGTTCCGGTATGAAAACCCGACTGTCGCGGGTACAATTGCATTTTCGTCGCTTCTTACGACAGGTATGCCTTGCCGTGAGTAAATTAAATGAAACCCTAACCCTAATGTGCAGAATAAAAGTGCTTTGTGTCAATTACATTTACCATATTACAATACTTGTAAATTGTTTACGCGAGAATAAATAAAAAACAAATTAAATTAAATTGTTTCTATTTTCTATAATTTTATTTAAAACTATTTTCACTTGAAAATATTAATTATTTTTATTATTTGGTTTCTTATGCAATAATGGTCCTTTTTGTTTTTTCTTTTTTTGCGGTTGGGCCTTTACTACGTGCTTCGCTTTACGTTTATTGGATTTTTGCTGCTTTTGGCTAGGACTGGTTTCCTTTGTTTCTGAGTCATTGTCTTCACTTTCGCTCTCCTCGTTCTCGTCTTCTTCTTTCTCTCCCTCTTCCTCCTCATCATCATATTCAATAGTTACAATACCACGTTCTGGTGGTTTTACACCCTTTTTTATTGTTACATTTGTTGGTTTTATGTCATCTTTATCGTCATTTTGCAATCCATAATTATCGCCGAACTGTGTTAGGTCTAAAATACTAAGGCATGTTGGACGGCATCCTATGTTAGTTGTACATAAGTGACTTAACTTTCGCTTGTCAATATCCAGGCGCCAGGCTTTCATTTCACCGGAGCTGTAAATATTTTATATTAAAATAAAGCTCTTTATTTAGTTCAATTTTTTTCTATACAAACCTTGATAACGTTATCAAGATGTCTTTGTGTAAAGCCATCACTTTTACCCTTGTCTCGTGCGCTTCTGTTTGCTTTACCTGTAAATAATTCGTGAGTTTAATTAGTTTTACATTTTTCAGTAAATCAATCTCCACATTACCACTTGTTCTTCATCTCCAGTTGCATCGAGCCACAAAATTTTTCCGTTTTCCATGCCAACTAAGCATATCTCTTCTGCTACCCAACAAACGCATATAGGTTTTTCTTGTGTCTTATGACTAACCAAAACATCCGCGGTCTTTATTGACCAAATCTCTGCAGCACGAAATCCGCACAAAGTGAAGTAATCACCTGTTGGTGACCACGCCAAGCAGTCGGGTTGTATGCCTATGGTGCTATGGCTTTTCAAGTTGGTTCTATATGCCACACGTCCTTTCACTAAATTCCATGTGCATAACACACGATCGCCACCTAGTGACAGCGCGAGCTTTCCACTAGGATGACAACTTATTTGATTCACTGCAGCGCCTTTGTGTGCTTTCCAATTACCCTCCGTTGTCCATGTGTTAAGGCGTGTAGCAATCATACGTCCATCATCGCCTCCTGAGAGCAAATGCGAATTGTCGGGCGTAAAAGCCAATGCATTGATGGTGCCTTCGTGTGATAAGATTATCTGAAGGTAAAGAGAATTTGAATTATTACCTTCCGCCCGTTTTGTGATTATCAAAATACTTACATTTGTTTGTTTTCTCGTACGCATATCATACAAGAAGATACGGTCATCTGTCGCGCCAGTCGCTACAAAGTGTCCATGCACTGCTACACATTTTAAAGGACCCGCATGGGACTTATCCGCAAATGATTGTACGAAACTGTTATTTTCGTTTGTTGTGAATTTATAACCGAGGAGGAACTCCTCATAGGTGCCTACAATCACTTCCATGGCAATTAATGTGTTTTGTTTTTTATTTGTGTTCACACCAGTTGACAATTCATTAGCACGTGGGGAATGCAATGAGAAACGAAACACTTAAGAAAAGAGAAAATATATCGATTTTTTTACCTCGAACCACCGATTCTCGATATATAGGAAATAATTAAAAAATAATTAGATTTTTCTAAAATGTATACACATACATACATACATACATACATACATATATTTATATAATTGACGCTTTGTAATCGCTGAAGCGATTTGAGCCCGAGCTCCTCCTCCAATTTGTAGTTTTGTGTCTTCTTATTTTTCGAACAAATGGAGGGTATAAAAGCTCGACTGTTGCGGGAGTTATTGTATTGTTGCGAAAATGCGAGGCGAATGTCAGATGAAAGAGAGAAGCCGATAACTAGTACGATAAAACGAGAACCTTCCATAGCGAACAATTTGATGCTTCTACGCTTTCGTCTGCGAGCAGCCGACTGCTATATAAAGGCGACACTCAGCTGCAAGTAAAGCAGTGACAAAGCAAATTGGTTGGCGTTAACATCAGTGAAGACGTAAAGTGAACGCGTTGGGAATTACATTTAAGTAGAG